CGGAATTTGGAAATTTTACAGCAGAAAATTTTTCCGACAACCGATTGTCTTCGTCCGATTGTCTTCGTCCGATTGTGAGAAAAAGAGCTTTTCGACATCCGATTGTCTTCGTCCGATTGTCTTCGTCCGGTTGTCTTCGTCCGATTGTCTTCGTCCGATTGTCTATTATCTTGAAAGCGATTGTCTTGAAACACACTATTTAAGTTAGATCTCACAATCAATTCTATGGCAAGATGTTCCCCAAATTGGTAAGAGTAATCTTTTAATCCGTTACTTAATATTAGGTTGATGCAAAAAGTCTTTTTCATTTTTTTCGTACTTCCGTTAAAAAGTAACAAATGCACCAATTGAACAACGGTTTATTGCATTCGAAAGGCCAATTATTTTTTTGCAAAATGACATTAAAACGAGTTTAAAATGTCTTATGTCTAGATTTTTTGAGAGCCTGAAGTCGGGTAGCAAAAAGGCGACGGCTCGAGATGCATTTTAGACGCTTTAGCTAAGGAAACCAATCTTGATGTTAATAAATAAAAGATAGAGCACAAAAAGGTAGATATTTTTTCAGATTTTCAGAGAAATTGATTCAGCCAATTTCTTTATAGAGGTTTTTATAGATTTTTATGAAAAACCCGTTTTCACTCTCGAATTTGCTTGAAAGTGAACCCAAATTGAATTAAAAAGATGGGAAATTGAACAATAAACACTTTTCATTTAGAGCAAACTATAGGTTAATTGATGACTTTGTTATTTTTCAAAAGAAGTACGAAAAAAATGAAAAAGACTTTTGCATCAACCTAATATCTTTAGAGATTCCTCTGTGCCGTTATCGGATGTGCGCTAGCAGCACCATATGGAAACGGCAAGGATATACATGGGCATCGAATCGAAACGAATTGATTCGAGTCTTCAAAAACTTCGATTCGATTCGCTTTGATTCGATTCCATTCGCTTTGATTCGATTCGATTCGCTTTGATTCGATTCTAAATCCATGTCTACAAAGTACCAAAGATGAAACACCTTTAGGCAACAGTTATGGCCCGACTCCTTTGGCCCATCAATCCCTGCATCAATCCACCATCCCTTGTGTATTCCAGCGGTATTCCAGCGGGCAGACACGTGAGTAGAATGAGTGCCGCTCAAACAAGGCTTTCTAAAAAGCGCGCAAACCACCGTAGTTCGCATGCTAATTTTAATGGACGCAAATTAAGCAAAAACTTTCGAAGCATGCTTTTGCACATTTTTCCCTCTATTTTAAAGAAATTCTTTCAAAATAGCAATTTTGTAATTTAGATTTGATAGGGAAATATTACAGTTATTCTTTAAAGATAATAAGGAAAATGGCAAGCTCAAAAGATTCGGCAATTATTTATTTTTATAACAAGAAACGTTATTTTAAGAACAACCCATCGCCAATAACGAAACCAAGCTTGCCTTCTGAATTTAAATTGGTTAAATTGGTTAAATTGGTAAACCATATGGTTAAATATAAGGTGAATAATGTTACCCGAGCTAAGTACAATCTTTGCCTGCTAACGTTTAATGTTTCCTAGTTGCCTAGTTTACGACATCTGGCAGATTATCGAAATTTAAAGAGCTTAACTGAATCTAAACTACCCGTAAGTGGTAAGCATGGCAGATGTCGCAGTCCTTTACCACTTACGGGTAGTTTATATTCAGTTAAGCTCTTTAAATTTCGATAATCTGCCAGATGTCGATAATATTTATTAGAAAAAACATCCGAAAAAGTTTTAAACCCTTTTAAACACTCTAGACTAAATGAAATTAAAGATTGAAAAGAAAAATTGTGTAGTAGCGCTTATGTACTGGTTTACTCGAGATATGTGCACTTTAGAACGCCTTCTTTCACCTTTGTTTGACCCATTATTTAAACATAAAATTTTTTGACCAAATTATTTGTTTGAGAGGCACGCACTCTACGCATAAGAATATATACCGTAAAAGCTGTAATAGTAAGCCTCCCTAATAGTGCTAACGAGGGATAACGACAAACCTGACCTGAACACTACGCATGAGAATACATACCGTAAAAGTTGTAATAGTAAGCCTCGCTAATCGTGCTAACCAGGGCTAACGAAAAAATAGTGACCCCCTCTAATAATAGCCCCCGCCTCTCTAATAATAATGCCCCCAGAAAAATTTGCATCTACTTTTGGCTGAGAATTGGATTTTGCTGCAGAATCGGTTTTTGGTGAACGCACAAAAGGTGGGCCCCTAAAGGCCCTGGAATAGACCTCTACAGGGTGTCCGAAAAAAAGTAACTTTGTGTCAAATTTCTAAAAAACTTTAAGTGTTCAAAGTGGTAGGTATGGTGCAAAAATGATTTTTTTTGGCTCGCGAATTTTTGATATTTTCTCATGATTTTTTTTACTATATTATAAGCCTCTATACAAAAAAAATTGAGCCACTATCAATGTGATTCAATTGGAAATTGAATCGCATTGATGGTGGCGCAGACCTACTCAAGGCTTGGCACAAGCAAAACCAAGCCATAGCCCGGCTGTGCTACGCAAACCTTGGTAAACTAGGCAACTAGGAAAGGTTAAACCTTTGTGCTTGTGGATGCTGAAAAGGAAATGATTTGTCACAGCTTAAGAATGGATACACTTGCGGTACATAATGAGCTTTTCAACTTGTATCGTTCGATTTCAGTGCTCAAGAACTGCACCACAACTGAAAAGTTGAGCGAAGGTTTGTTAGAAATATAACATTATTAAAAGTAATTTTATTAAGCACATAAAACTCAGTACTTGGCAGTAACAACATATAACAAATATTTGTTGTAGACTAAAATTTTCACGATCAATGAGGCAATTTGTGAAGGTAGAGTTGAGAAACTAAATTGTTGCATGGTATTTGATGGCAACTAGTCAGCAGACTCAAGAATTTGTAAGCAAAACCAAGCCAGAGCCCAACCAGAAACCGGGCCTGGCTTCTGGAAAGCTCAAAGATGCTCAGGAAAGCTTGGCCAAGCCTTGACCCGAAAAAATAGCCTTTACACAACTAACTACAACTCACTCTTCGACCAAATTGAAAACAAGTGTTGAGGCCATGAAACAAAAGCAATAAAATAAGTATGATATAGCAAGCCGCGTGTCGGCGCTGAGGTAACGCTGAAAGAGATCAAAGATCAAAGATTTGTTGATCAAAGATCAAAGATTTGTTGATCAAAGATCAAAGATTTGTTGATCAAAGATCAAAGATTTGTTGATCAAAGATTTGTTGACAAACCATTCGTCGAAGTATCACCCTCGAAGTGTCATTCTTATAACTCATATCACACTTTGATTTCAATATTGTAGCAGTTAGATTAGTTTCTAGAAATTTGATATAAACAAGAAAAAAAAGAGTTGATACTGGATATTGTTGTCTTTTGCCAAACGTTCGTTATCCTGGCAACATTCCGCACAATAGTCGGTTCATCTGAAAGGAAAGCGTCAAATCTGATAGCTTTGAGTTCAATCAAATGATTCAAAATGGATTTTCAAATCGAATTCTCAATCAAATGTTCAATCAAATGTTCAATCAAATGATTTAAATGAACTTTCACAATGAATTTGAATATGAAAATTACCGTTTGCATCCGATACAGTCGACGGTGTTGAAGTCAATCTCGTGGCTCTCTTCAATCGCGTCGTCGTCATTTTCAAAGACTTTGGCAACTTTCGAAGGTGAAAAAATAAACAAATAAATGCGATAAACATTGAGAATATGCAGAGACTCTGAAAAGAAGTTTAAATTAAAGAATTGAGACTGAAAATAGTATTTGAATGAGGTAACAAACTTGCAAAATCGCGTCAACCGTTTTATAAGTCGTTTGAGGCACTCGAGTGAAGTCATAATTCCAATAATAACCCGGGATATAAAATCGGAAGCCATCATTGACAACAATTGGCATTAAAATGACTAAAGAGTTGATTAAATGAAGAAGAAACTTTCATTTTAATCTTGCCCGTAAGATCTGAGAATCAAGACTAAGCGTTACCTAATGCTGGGATCGATAGAACCACGACGAGCAAATAAACGTGTACTTTTGTGATTCGCCGAAAGAAAAGAGGCCAATTAATAGAAATTACATAGAATATTCCAAGCATTGTGTTTAATATTAAACCACCGTACCAACGATATGTGTCCACAAAAACAACCACTTTGACAAAAATCGAAGCTAAATTAGAATAAGATGGGATTGTGATGACTTCATCTGAGGGATAGCTTTTAGAAAACACTTTAAAGCAAGCCTTCAAAGCAAAGCCTTCAAAGTAACTCCTTCAAAGCAACTCCTTTAAAGCAAGCCTTCAAAGCAACTCCTTCAAAGAACCTTCAAAGCAACTCCTTCAAAGCAACTCCTTCAAAGCAAGCCTTCAAAGCAAATCCTTCAAAGCAAGCCTTCAAAGCAAATCCTTCAAAGCAAATCCTTTAAAGCAAGCCTTCAAAGCAAATCCTTCAAAACCTAAGCCTAGCCTCACTCACCGAAGAACTCATCCTTTTCAAATGAAACAGAGAAATCGTGAACGCTTCTTAATGTTAAATCGACAAAGTCTAATACGATAAGAATTTGAGTAATCTTTATGACAGGACTGAAATGTTTTCTTCTTGATAAGCTAATCGCACAAATGGCTTCGATTATGATAGAGATCGTTGAAGCGAAAAGATCGATCCATTGCAGTGCCACCAATCCCATTTTGAATCAATTTCCGAAAGATTTTCCTCTCGAATCAGGAACTACTTGAAAAGTTTTGACTGAAATTTGAAACTTTCGCAAAATGCTTTTTTACAAATATACTTTTTCCCACCCAGCTAGAATCACTTTTTGTGCGATTGTGGGAAAATATTTGATTTAATGTGAACTCATTGATAATTAGGCATGTATTTTGGGATAAAACCTGTGTTGGTATCAGAGAACAATTGCTGGGAGACAATTGTGTTTTCTTAAATTATTCAAATGTTGAGACTAAACGATTTATTTGGCAAATTCAGCTCAATATCGAGCCAAGATCACATAGAAGATATATTTGTTGTATTCGAGTGCTTTCACAAAGAGGAGAGCCACTTGGATAAAAGTGGAAGAGTAGCTAAATGTTAGATGTTGTATTCGATTTAGATTTTTATCCGATTTAAACTCAAGAATAGTTTTAACAATTGCTGCGTTGGTAAATCCTGTTTTTGACAGTTTTTTATGCAATTTAGAGACATCAATGATAAAACTTAGCACTTAAAACTTTACTTTTCCTTAAAAAGTGGCTAAGTTTGCTAAAAGTTACAGGCTTGTTACAGTGCGGCTATTGCTGTTACAGTTACAGTTACACTTCTTACAGTTACAGTCACGCTTCTTACAGTTACAGTTACGCTTGTTACAGTTACAGTTACAGTTACGCTTCTTACAGTTACAGTTACACTTGTTACAGTTACAGTTACGCTTCTTACAGTTACAGTTACGCTTCTTGCAGTTACAGTTACTCTTGTTACAGTTACAGTTACGCTTCTTACAGTTACAGTTACGCTTCTTGCAGTTACAGTTACACTTGTTACAGTTACAGTGCGGCTATTGGTTCTGATCTTGTTTTTGATCTAGAAAACGATTTACGCATCAAAAAAACATGAGAAAAAGATGATTTACCAACGCAACAATTGTTAAAACTATTGTTAAATCTAAATTGGATAAACTATCGTTTGAAATTTGATTAAAAAAGGGTTTTAAGGGTTTTAAGGGTCGCTAGTTTTAAGATAAACCTTCAGTTAAAGTACTAAAGTGAATAAAACTCGAATTCTGTTTGACTCTGACTAGATTTTGTACGAAAATTGAATAAAATTCTTAGTGAAATGAGGGTTTTGGTGCGGCTGTTGCTTCTGATCTTGTTTTTGATCTAGAAAACGATTTAGGTAAAAAGACGATCTAGGTAAAAAGTTTCAAATCAATTTCAAAATCGGACTCGGCATCGGAATTAAATGGTTTCAAAATTCGAGCTAACATATACTATTAGTTAGCTCAATAGATTGGGTTAAAACAAGCCTCATAGCTCAATAGATTGGGCTATAAACAAGCCATGTCATACTTTTACAAAATCAAAATCTCAAATGAGCTACTTACTCAGTGACTAAATTGAAAATAAGTGTCGGAGTGAAGAAACCAAATGAGTAGAAAATGTAGGCAATCGCTAGTCGAACGTCGGCTGAGAGGGTTTTCTAAAAAGAAAGCTTTATATAAAGAACAACGTTTGTGCTTGCCTTTGATCTATTTACAGTAATTGTTGGAGTTATTTTAGAACCTAAATTTTAAAGGTTAATGAAAAGAAACGAAACAAACTTGAGATATCAATTGATTGTTTTGAATAGGAATTGTTGTTGATAGTTTCGGATATTTCTGAAAGTTGAGCCTGTTTAAGTCCTTCTTTTCTCTCGTTTCAGCATTTACTATATATGTCGTAGCCGATTATGAATGAAATTTTTTTGGCAAATCTTTCTAGTAGAGCAACCCTTTAATGTATGAGGACAATATTATATCATCTTGTAGCTAATTAAGTTCTGCGTCGATTAATACCAAAATTGTGAGTTTAGGTTAAAAATTGCCGGCGCTACAACGTTTCATTCAAAATCGGCTGTATCCCCGTAGCCGATTATGAATGAGTGGGTCTAGGAGCGTCCAATCATCAAGTATTTAGTATCATTCAACGCAGAATCATTGATAATTATGTTCAATTTTTGAAATTAGCAAGATTTGATGAAAAGAAAAAAAAATTAGAGCAAAAAAACTGTTTGTTCAAGAGAAAACTTTGAAGCCCCATAATTTGTGTTCTTTTTATCCAATCTTTCCAATTTCAAAAATTGAACATAATTATCAATGATTCTGCATTGAATGATACCAAATACTTGATGGTTGGACGCTCCTAGACCCACTCATTCATAATCGGCTGAAATTCATAATCGGCTACGGGGATACAGCCGATTTTGAATGAAACGTTGTAGCGCCGGCAATTTTTAACCTAAACTCACAATTTTGGTATTAATCGACGCAGAATTTAATTAGCTACAAGATGATATAATATTGTCCTCATACATTAAAGGGTTGCTCTACTAGAAAGATTTGCCAAAAAATTTCATTCATAATCGGCTACGACATATATAAAAGAGATATCTGTCCGTCTGTCTTTAATAAAAACACTTACCAGTCGAAAACACTGTCACGATTGTCTTTGTTTCGACAACTGTTGTCGACTTTGATACAGCTTTCATCTTTTTTGGCATTTTTCGAATATAGAAAAAGAGACTAACGAAAGCCAAGAGAGTTGAGATCACACAAATGCTCTGAAATAAGAAATTAGACAAAGAAGTGGGTGACAGAAGTTAGATTCTAACAGGCTTTAACTATCGGAGATTTTTATTAAAGATTTCAATCAAATAAATCTGCAGGAACCTGTAATACGTAGGCAAAAGTTTGATAGAGACTTTGCGAGACATTTGACCAATCGTACTGCCAATAGTAACCAGGAATGTGAAACCGAAAGCCGTTCACAATGACAAGCGGTAGAGTCAAGGCTGAATTCAAGTTTAAAACTAATAACACTCACTACTTCTTAGACTATGATAGTTTTAAAATCACACGCCAATACTCGATGGAGCCAATACAAACCTAGTGATGGAGCCGATGCAATAAAGGCCATCAGATAGACGTGAAATGATTTAATTTGTCGAAAAGACATTGGTTTATACATTGAGATTATATAGAGAAGGCCGAGAAACGAGTTTAGAAGAAGTTGAAAGTACCAACGAATGATATCAACGAATACGACTACAGTCACAATTGGTGTGGCTGAAAGCGGGACGATGACGATTGCGCCGAGTGGAATTGTCATTTACCAAAGCCCTCGCTTTGTGCAGTCTGATATAAAAGTCTGTAGCGCTTCAATTGGGCTACACGATGGTATAAAAAACTTTTCGAAAAACTGTTGTTTAGTACAAGAAAAATGGAGAGCAAAGTGAGAGCGAATTGAGGGGAAAATCCAGCCCAATTGAAGGGGTAGATTTTTATATCAGACTGCACAAGGCGAAGGCTTCGGTAAATGACAAGTGTAGCCCAATTGAAGGGCTACATTTTGATACCAGTCTCGCACAAAGCGAAGGTCCTGGCAAATGACAAGTGTAGCCCAATTGAAGGGCTACAATTTGATACCAGTTTCGAACAAAGCGAAGGTTCTAGCAAATGACAAGTGTAGCCCAATTGAAGGGCTACATTTTGATACCAGTCTCGCACAAAGCGAAGGTCCTAGCAAATGACAATTCCATTCAATTCTATTTTCATTTTTTACACAATCTTCATGATTACTTTAGATTTGCATTTGAATGAAACAAGGCTAACATTTTGGTTTTTTCGTGAACTCACGCAAACATTCGACTCCTGTATAAATAGCTGGATAATCGTGCAGCACTTTCAAGAAAAGATCGACGAAATCGACAAAGATCAACATTTGAGTGATTTTGATAACTGGACTGAAAATTCTTCGGCGAGTGAGTGCAAGGAGACAAAATCCCTCGATGAGAATTGTGCAGGAGCTGACAGCGAGATCACCCCATTGCAGAGCGGAGAAGCCCATCGTGAAATTGAGAGACTGAAAATGAAGTAGGTGAGACAAATAACTTGATATCAAATAGATAAGTCTTTCAAAAACATGTTTTAGTTCACAATGAGAGCAAAAGAATGAAAGAATAGTCTCTTCAATTGTAGAAATCGTACGGTAACTGCCAGTTTTTCTGTTTTCTAATATTTTGATTTTCTTCTTATATGAAGTTTTCATCTTGTGACATTCACACGCTTTCGTCTTCAAGAATTCAGGAATTTTTGGCAAATTTGCGTGCGAAACTCAGGGAATGCACTTGTTGAACGATTTCATCGGGAAGTTTTTGTGATGGATTTTCTTTCGCCGAAATATTAGAGCCGGAAAAGCAAAGATTGAAAATTTGGACACGGAAGTCAAGTGTAGTTTTCTAAATTAAATGTTGAAAGGAAAAAAAAAGAAACTTCCTAGGGAAGTGAAAGTTAAATTTAAAAGTTTGCTATGATTTGCTTGGAACTGGATTAGGTAGCAAAGGTTTTTCATGAAGTGAATCTGAATTTCGTCTTGCCAACTCGCCCAAGCCAACAATTTGCCTGTCATTTCTTCAAAAGCCATAACTCTTGTAGCTTGATAATTCCTTTTGCAGCTAAATCTTTTGCTTTTTGCTTATTTAGGTATTTCTACGCTTAAGAAGAACTCACGCTGGCCTTTCAAAATAAGACCCAGATCATGAAATCTTATAAAAATTATCATCAGTGTTCGTTTTATTAAAAGTTTTATTTATTCTTTAATCTTATTCAAATAAAAGTCCCCGAAATATTTATTTTCATAAAATATACGATAGAAAATATAAACAAAACAAAATTCAGCGTAGAAATACCTAAATAAACAAAAAGTAAAAGATTTAGCTGTAAAGGGAATTGAACCCGAGTAAAAAGGTACACGGCTGGTCCTCGATACAAGTTCACTACACTACTGAGGGAAAGTGGCGTGCTCGGGATTTCGCGACTTTCACTCTAACGGCCCGAGCTCCTCGAGGCTACCCCAATCAATTTCCGACCAAGGAACTATATTTTTTAAAAAGTTCAAGCTACAAGACTGTCTAAACAGTTTTTTAAAAAAAAAATTCAAAGAGCTCGAGATTTTTGCATTTTAATGCAAAAATTTCAAAGAAACGGATTTTTAGGCATGAATAATTGATTTTACAAAACTAACGTTATGATTTTCAGAAAGTTGAGGAAATTGGACTAGGCCCCTGAGCAACATGAAGAACGATTGTCCATCTAGCTTTTGAGATTTTCGCGTTTGAAATTTGAGTTTTTCAATTTTTGATCGCGAGAATCTCGAAAACTAAAAGAAAATCGAAAAAATCGACTATTCATGCCTAAAAATCCGTTTCTTTGAAATTTTTGCATTAAAATGCAAAAATCTTTGAATTTTTTTAAAAAACTGTTTAGACAGTCTTGTAGCTTGAACTTTTTAAAAAATATAGTTCCTTGGTCGGAAATTGATTGGGGTAGCCTCGAGGAGCTCGGGCCGTTAGAGTGAAAGTCGCGAAATCCTGGGTACGCCAGAGATCTTTCAGGCGGGTGTGTGGACGCCTCAAATAGACATGCCAAAAGATGTTTTTCCTAGATATCCTGCATTACAGGTCTTGAGGGGAAAAACTAAAAACTGGATCGGATTCCCCGTTCTCTACACCGAAATTCTCTACAAGATGGTCTAGGTCTTGTTTTGAAAGGTCATGCTTCTCCCTAGTAAAACCCAGCCAGCAAGTGCCGTTGATTTTAAAGTCCGATATTGATAAATTTTTCACTTTCAAAAAACTGTAACTTTAGATACTGTATTGTAACACTAGAGTACTGTAGCATTCAAGAAAATCCTCAAAGAGCAGCCTGTCTCCATGAAAACGAGCTGAAGTCAGTTTTGCGAGGTTTTTTTGCTTGATTAGTGCTTATTTAAAGATCGTAAGCTAAAGCTCGTTGCAAGGCTGACACTTTTTTCAACTGGAAGTTTGATTGTACGTTATTCAACTGGAAGTTTGATTGTACGGTATTCAACTGAAATTTTGATTGTACGGGATTCAACTGAAAGTTTGATTGCACGGTATTCAACTAAAAGTCTTAAGTACCACGCACGAAAACTTACTCAAACTGTGTGTATTTTCCTGGAAACTTTTATGTACTTGCAATTTTAGAATGAAAGCCCATCGCGTGACTGTCTAGAGTATGTGTTCATTTGTTTTTTTCGTACCAATTTTGTGCGTCAAATGATTGCAAAAGTCAGCAGATAAGTGATTTTGTGAGAAAATCCCCATTTTGCAACTTATCCTTTTCATCGTTTCTTTCATTTGCGACAATGTTCTTTCAAGCTACAATTGCATATATTCTCTCATATTTTGATGATTGTCTTGGGAAAATTCTTTGCTAACTAACGGGTGGAATTTTGTAGTTTTTGAAGTTGAAATGTGTTGTTTGTGGCGTGAAATTGTTGCAATTATTGCTGGAATGGCGTTTTATTCATTCAAATAAAAAAAAATTGCTAAAAATATTATGCTTTACGGATTCAATACCCGGCCGGAGCACTCTCCTGTCCTTTTCTGAAAGTTTAATTGTCTTTTTCAGACTTTTTATTAGTTGAATAAGTCTTCTAATGTTATTTTGCAAAAAAAATTGGTCTTTCTAATGAAAAAAATCGTAATTCAATGGATAAATTTGTTGGTTTTAAAGAAATTTAAACGAAAAGTAAGAAAAATGGATAATGTTAGCCAAAAAAAAAACCAAAACTTACCGAAAATCGGAATTAGCGTACAGCTGCCCGTCAACTTCTCTAATGGCCGCTGTTGCTTCAGTAAGATTGCTATCTTTCATCATCGTTTGACCTCGGTTTTGTAGAGCTTGAACAAATTCCTACAATAAGCCAATACTAAAGCATCAAAGCTCTCCAACCGGTGGCAACTCAGTCTCATAATATGTGTAATTGGGCTCCAATTGGTTGTGAACTCGAGGAAAATCGACAGCCTCTTTCACCGTTTGATTCAGCCACATTGTGTGAAGAGCGATTGCTACAAAAGTTCTTATTTTTTTTGACAATCGTGGCCTACCAGCTGTTCCTGTAATGATCGTTGATCCGCCAGCTGCACCAACTGCCATCAATCTCTAAAATACTAATTCAAAGATCAACAGTTCAGCTTACATTTGATCCATCATAATCAGCGATCACTAGTGGACACATACTGCTCAACGGCCTCTTCCCTGGACGGATAAAGTTAGCCGGCGATGGCTCAAATCCAAAGTAGTTAGGGTGGCCTAAAAGAGAAGGAGAAGAAAGCTGCTGAAAAAAGAAGAAAGAAAACAAGCCTGGAGAGCTGAAGTCGTCCATTTCATCATTCCAAATAATACCCGTCGATTCAGACATAATCTTGGCTCCAAAGCTGGAAAGAAAGAGTAAGACAGAGCTCGATAGCTAGATAGCTTTGGCTTGTTTAGTTTTGGTCTTGTTTCATGAACAATTTTCAGATTTTGAGTACAAAGTTTATGTTGAAGCTAACAAGGAAAAGCACCGAGTCAATGTTCAACTCAATTATTCATTGTAAATCGGGAAACGGTTTTATTAAAAAAGCAACAAATAAAAGCGGGAACAACAAAGAAACAACAAAAGCTGGAACCTTCTAAAGTATTAGAATCAGTAGATAACTATTGACAAATTTAACATTTCATTTCTGAAAGCTACAGAAAGTGGTGCAGAAGATTCAACTCAATTCTTCATTGCAAATTCGTAAGCAAACGGTTTTTTAAAAAAGGCAAAAAAACTCTCAAAGAAAACCGCGAGTCGGACTCGAACTTGGGGGCGAAAAAGAAAACAGCTTCGGCAGTCAGTCAGCTAAGACTACCCACTAGAACAGCGAGACAGTTATCGGGGAGCGTGTGGCGGCTTCTTAAGGAATTCGAAATTAGTTTACGAAGCCTTCTGCAAAAATTAAAAACAGATTCGAGATTCCTATAAGATGAACTTGGTATGGAGTCTGCTGGCCTTTTGCCAGCTTTGCCAGGCCTTTTGCCTGCCAGCTTTTCTCTTGTAATCTATATTGATTTCCCATGTTGCTTGGAAAGCTTTCAACTCACAAAATATTAATCGTAGAAGTGATTGAGACAGCATTCCCAAGCTTATCAATAACAGATAGATGTGTGGTTCCGTGATCGGGTGGAGGCACAGCATAAGAACCGCCATAGTAAGCATTATCGTGTGCTTTATCCGTTATTCTTGATCTAAAATTGTTTCTCATTCAATTGTTCATTCATTGTGATCATTGTATCATTGATTCATTGATTCATTCCCTTTTCACCTTGCCCAATCAGCCCATTGTCTTGTCGTCAAATTCCTGGCAATTTCCGTTGCATTGGTGACAAATTTCGGATCTCCTAGCCATGTTCGACCGGAGTAGGCGAATTTTGCGGACTAAACTTGTTCAAGCACATTTCAACCAATTATTCAATGAACATCACTCACTTCTATAAATCGATGTAAGAACAAATCAATAGAATCAAAGTCTTCAAGACTATTCTTGTATTGATCCATAATTTGAAGAATTCCAACAGCCACTGCTGCACTGCTTGGCGGTGGAGGACCACAGATTTTTCTCCCAGAAGGCAGGCTAAGAATTTTCTGATTGGAAATATTTCAGTGACTTCTTTTATTAGGTTTTTCGGATATAAACAAGCGTTATTAGGTTGTTCAGATATAAGCTTATTGTTGTAAGAGAAGTTTTTAAAAAATGCCTTTCTGTATTTGAAAGTACGTTATCTTGTGTATATTTGGAATCTTTTTAAACGGATAATTTCTTATTTTTAAGATTTTTTTCTTGCTTTAGATGACCGACTTCAAACATATCAAGTTCGCGTCTGCCTACTTTACGACTTCAGCAATAGATGACCGACTTCAAACATCAAGTTCGCGTCTGCCTACTTTAAGACTTCAGCTTTAGATGACCGGCTTCAAACATCAAGTTCGCGTCTGCCTACTTTAAGACTTCAGCTTTAGATGACCGGCTTCAAACATCAAGTTCGCGTCTGCCTACTTTACGACTTCAAACTGGCCAAAACAGTCGCGGAATCCCATCGAGATTTGGTCAAAGCATTTGGGAATGATGTATTGTCCGAAAGCCGATGCCGAGCATGGTTCCAACGCTTTCGGAACGGTGATGAAAGTCTCGTGGATGATGAACACTCTCGTCGACCTCAAGCGGTAGAAAACGATATTTTGAGGGCTGCAATCGAATCGGATCCATGTCAAACGACGCGTGAACTTGCTCAACAGTTTCTTTGTTCAAATTCTACCATTGATGAGCATCTCCACGCCATTGGAAAGGCGATCAGATGCGGGAAATTGCTTCCTCACGAGTTAAGCAGTGCAAACGCTCGTTTATATCCGAGCAACCTAATAGTTCGATAATTCACGTAATTTCTCACGTTGTCACCATCATTTCCTTTTCCGAATAAACGATGCTTTTATAGTTTCGAAAATCATCTCTCGTCAACAATCCGCCTAAAATTTTTCATATTTTCTTTAACATTCAAATTCTTAAACCATTTTTTTGAAATTCGTCAACCATTGGCTGTGTAAGTTCGTCAGAATCATAAAAGAATTTGATTGGATCACTCTCGGAGGCAATTCTTCGCAATGTCTCAGCGAGTTTTAATCTAGAACTTTTGAACATTAAATGAAATTAAAAATAAATTAAAATTAAATGAAACTTATCAAGTTGAAAGCTTCATTTTCTTTGCAAAAATCATTCTATAAGTTTTCAGAGCTGTAAAATTTCTTCAACCCTTTTAACTTGACCTTTTAACTTGATCCCCAGTCGTGTAGACATCTCCCGTATCCGGATTCACGAATTCTTTCATCGTCGGTTCTTTGGTGATCCAAAATGCGTACTCCTGCAAGGCGATTTGCATGTGAGATGAGACTGGGACACCTTAAATTTGTTGATCGTTTTAAATCTGACACTTTACAAACCATCTGTTAATAGTTGAACGGTTGGCTCGATCAGGCGATTCCAAGGGACCTATAGTTTTATTGATAAACCAGAAAAACCTGAGTAGGTTGGGCATTGCTGTTGCTGTAGAGCAGTCAGTTGCTCGCTTGTCTACAGCCTACAGTACCCGGGTTCAACTTCCGGCTGCATTGTGAATTTTACTTTTAAAAAAAAAGCTAACTATGATTTGCACAACTAGATAGCATTTTAAGCCTAATAAACTAAAAATAATGTAAATCGGCTGACGGGGAGCCGAGCGTACAGAAGCCAGACACTTTCATTTTATATATGTTACGTCCGAATCTGAGGAGACGTCCATCTCCGATCCGGACGTCCGAATCCGAGGAGATTCATTCTCCTCTGAAACGGACGTCCGACTCAGGTCCAGACGTCCGACTCAGATCCGGACGTCCGACTCTGAGGAGATTCATTCTCCTCTGAAACGGACGTCCGATCTTGAGAACAAACAGTTTAAATGCAAATCCAATGTTTTGAACAAAACAAATGAAAAAGGAAGTTAAAATGGAAATTCTCTCAATTTACTTTTTTTTCTTCACAGATAATTTGGTAATATGTGCGGTTTGGCAATTTGGCAAGATGTTTTATTTTTTTTCTTTTATCTATACATTTTAACTATGTTTTTAACTATATGTTTCTTTTTTAGTTTGTTAATGACGGACGTCCATCTCTGAGTCGGACGTCCGTTTCAGAGGAGAATTGCCAAACCGTACATATTACCAAATTAACTATGAAGAAAAAAAGGAAATTAAGAGAATTTCCATTTTAACTTCCTTTTTCATTTGTTTTGTTCAAAAAATTGGATTTGCATTTAAACTATTTGTTCTCAAGATCGGACGTCCGATTCCGAGAAGGATGATCATTCTCCTCAGATTCGGACGTCCGGATCTGAGTCGGACGTCCATCTCTGATTCGGACGTCCGTTTCGGAGGAGAATGAATCTCCTGAGATTCGGACGTCCGGATCGGAGATGGACGTCTCCTCAGATTCGGACGTAACATATATATGTCGTCGCCGTTTACGAAGTTCAGCCGCTAACGAATGAGGGTATTTCCGGGCATCCAATCAAAAAGTCACCCACATAAAAAATGTTCATAATACATATATTTTCTAATAAATTTTTGAAATTAGCTCATTTGGTTCAGTAGAAAATTTTTTTTGAGCCCCCAAAGTTTAGGTTCAAAAATGCCCTAAAATGGCTATAAAAAATTTTCTACTCAGCCAAAAAACTTGCCTAATAGCTCATTTTGTAGCCAATTTGATGTAGTTTCTTAAAGTAAAGCTACATTGAACATTTGTTTTTCAAAGCTAGGAGAAAGAGGGCGAGGAACGACTTCGGTTGAAGCCGGGGAGCCGAGCGTACAGAAGACAGACACTTTCATTTTATATATGGATGTAGTTGTAGAATTAACAATGAATAACCAACTTTCCCACTCCCAAACTGTTCGTAGGCAGTCCAAAGTCCGTGAAGCTCTGATGGGACAGCCACCGCTCTCCAACCTGATGATGAATGAATTCTTTGTAAATTTTTAAACAAGAACTGAAAGCTTGCTAGATTTAGGTCCACACAATACTTATCCATCATTTACCTACTATAGTATTATTGATTGTTTTTAAATCGAGTTTTATCAGCTTAAAGTTACCATATTCACTATCATTCCATTTGCCCACATACATATCCTCAGTAGCCGCAGCTGGCGCCACTTCTCGTGCATCGATTGCAAAGCAGCTTTGAGAAGCGCTAAATATATGTTTAAATTTGGTAATGACTTCGTCAGATTCTTGATTCTGATTAAAATTCAAGATTTGAAAGATTTTTTAAACAGAAAGGTTTTGCTCAGACTAAGACTCAGATGGGCCGCCCACGTAGCCAGAAGAACAGATGACAGATGGACGATACGGATCACAGAGTGGCTACTACGAGACCAGAAGAGGCCCATCGGAAGACCAGCAACGAGGTAGAGCACAAGAGTGACAGAGACGGTCAGAGAAAAGATGGCTAGAGTGCAACCAGCACCAGCACCAGCAAGTCGAAGACTTCGAACCAGGAACAATCAAGCTAGGAAACACTGGATGACAATAGCAAGGGATGGAGAAATGTGGATGCAGGTTGTGATCTGCGCAAATAGGAACACCTGAGTGCGAAAACAGATCAAAAAAAAAAAGGTTTTGCTTCATAAAGTACATGGTGCGAAAAGCGCTGAGATAAGACTGGATGCTGACTCGCAGACAGAGATAGCTAGTTTCAAATGAGAAATGGGTAAAACCAACATTGCGAATCAATAAAATGCCTAACCTCTGGTAAATTGTCATAAAATGTCCACCGCCGATGCCACTCGAATGCGCATCGGTGGCTCCGAGACAGAAAAGGGCCGCCACTCCAGCATCAACTGCGTTTCCACCAGCCAACAAAACATTTCTATAGAAATTTTCTGTTTCTGTTTCTTTCCCATCACTAGATACCTTAAAAATCTGGTACTTTAACAAGTTTTTTTAAAAAATCGGCTACCTTATACAGCGATTCAGCAATCAACTTTAACATTCGTTTTTTCTTCTTTTTTCAAGTCTTGCTATTACTTTTTTTCTTTTTAATAAATAAATTCTGATTGTATTGATGATAGTTTTGTTTAGTGGAATTCAAGAAAATGCTATTTTTTTTCTGTATTTGTGGTCTTTTTCAACACTCGTCGAACAAAAAAAGATCGCCTCCTGACTAGACATAAGAAAGTTCCAGCTCGAACCTAATTCCACCTGTGTTTTCTCAACCGTTTCTTGGCCGATTGCTCTGAGATTTTGTCTATAATTTGAAAATGTCGATTTCTATCTGTAGACAAAATTTCAGAGTAATCGGCCAAGAATCGGCCAAGAAAACGAAGGTGGAACTAGGTTCGAGTTCGAGTTTTCTCATGTCTAATACAGAAATATCTTTTTGAATACATATTCAGAAGAGCTACTGGAAAGAAACAGGTTTTTTTAGCATTTGTTGGTGAGAATGGAAAACCGCCTATTCTTTACCACAAAAACCTCAGCTTTGTTCAAAAAATCTATACATAAACATAAAAATAAAGATCAACACTAAAGGAAAACATCAAATCGTTGTATAACCCGCTTTTCTTATAGTAGTTATAGGTAAGATTCTTAGTAGTTTCTTATAGTTAAGATACTCGATTTAAGGTATCTAGTAATAGTAAAGAGCTATTTTAAGCTGTTAGAGCTGTTAGATATTGTTCAAAGACAATCAAATATTTCGTTAATCTGAAAAGCAAACCTGCCGACTTCTGAACAAATCTGGTTATCAGCCGCTACCGCCGCTTTTACATATTTCCCCATGGGAGCCAAAGAGGGAGCTGGCCAGACAGGCATTTTTGGTGTTGACGAACATTCCGAAAACTCATATTTTAGCAATTTTCGACAAGCTTACTTTAGTTAAATACAAAATCAAGAATGTAATCGTTCCAGCCAGTCCTAAAACGCTCAACAATGCGAGTCCAAAGCTGAATACGCGCGGATTTCTCTCCTCAACGATGCGAGCCTTTTTCGGGGATTTGACAGAAATTACAGATTGAGTTGGGCTTCTCGAATATTCATCGCCGTCTCGATAGTGAACGACTTGATCGACTGGACGCTGCATTTTGTTCTTTGAGCGCGGTGGCCGAGATTGGAATGGAATACGCTTATCTCAAAGCAATTCCAGCTAAAATCTCTACTGATTTCTTGCGTTTTCTCTTGCAGAAAACACTGTTTGATCGTAAAGAAAAGGGGGTTTCCACTGAGATTTGTTTATAGGCAATTTTATTTTTATTCTTATTTTATTTCATTTTCACTGAGATTCTATAAGTTTAAAGGAAAAAACGAACTCTGCCATGAGATGAACATATGAACTTGTAAGCCAGCTTTAGTGCGTTTACAATGCTGATAAGCAGCTAATTTTAACCCCATTCAACTCGTCTTTCCAAGCTCTACCGCATATCGAGATTCCACCGCGATCTCAAACCGGTTCCTTGTGAGATTTTATAGGTTTAAAGGAAAAAACGAACTCTGCCGTGATATGAACATTTCATTTTTCAGATCTCTCCAAATTTATTTATAATTAAACACCGAAAAATCACTGTGATAGATACTTCGAAGGTATTTCATCGTTTTCGGATTTTGTTTAATCGCTCGCAAGAGTTTCCGTTTTTTCCCATTATCCCGATTCGCGTGACTCGTTTTCGATCTCTTCAAATGTGCTAATGCCTGAAAAGTTTACGAATATCATCCATTTATCATTTTTTAAGTATTTCACCTGTTCCGTGACCACCTTTGGTACACCAGCTTCTCGGAAAACCTTCCTCAATTCTTTTTTTCAACTTTTCAGTGTTACTTGTGTATCGAATCAAATGGTAACGACGTGGATTTTGCTGCAAATCACAGAACCTAAAGAATATTGACTTTATTTAAAAGAAATATCGTTTGCAAAGTGTAAAACCGACCAGCTTTGTGGCTGTACATGATAATAGATTTCGTGGAAAGCTTTTTGTGAAATTTGTGGTGGCTTGGTTTTCCATAACATCATTTGATGGACATCTTTTGCGAATTGATCAATCCCGACACCACCACAGTCGTGTTGATAGCTAAAATGTTTTAGAATTGTTGAAGAGCAGAGAATTATCCTTAGAAAATGATTTCGAGACGTTTTCATGTCAAATTTAAATCTCTGTCGCAAATTTTAAATGCTAATTTTTGCGCGACGACGCATTCTAATTGACGTCGCCGCCATTTGGGGGTAGTCGATGGGAGCGGCGCGTCGTCGTTTCTTTTTCATTTTCCAATCATTTTTTGTCAGATGAATTGAAATTACTGTTGTACGCGATAAATTTTGTGTTTCTCTTTGAAATGAGAAAGAAAAAGAGAATCTATTTCCATTTGCGAGCCAAGTGGAGAATCCGGAAATTTTCGTAGCCGGACCACAATGAAGGCCAAAACTAATTGTAAGATGGTTTGGGGAGTTGAATGAAAACAACGAAAGCAAAGTTCGGATCTTTACGGTTAACGGCGGGGGTGCGATTGTCGGCGGCGGCCAATTTTTTGGCCAACTTGCAGCTCATTTTTAAGCACCTTAAACTCATCAGATCAGAAAGTTTTAATAAGATTTAGATAGCTTAAAACGTCAACTTTCAGAAACTATTTGTTTCCTCAAAAGTTATTAATAAAAGCCTATCTAAAGTCGGGCTGCAAGTTGGTCAAAAACTTGGCCCCCGCCGATAATCGCTACCGTTAACCGTAAAGATCCCAAAACTCATCTCTTGGACCGTTCCAAAACTGAAGAAGAATTGTTTGTTGTTTAAGTATTGAATTAAGGTGAATTAAGACCACGGATTTGAATAAAACAATATTTTGATGGTCAAAATATTTTAAGTACTTGTGGAGTTAGGAGGATTAATTTTTTTTCTCAAATATGGTTTTTCTGGGGGTAATTTTGGGCGTCGAATCCGAAAAACACAACGAAAAGTTGGGGTTTTGAATTTTAAGCCCTTAAAATGGGGATTAAATAGAGATTTTTAGAGATTAAAACTCAAAACCCGAACTTCTCGTGTTTCTCGGGTTCTACACCCCAAATTACTCTAGAAAAATTATATTTCAGAGAAAATAGCTCTTCCCAACTCCACAAGTATCGTATTTTATCAACTTTCAAACCAACCCGCACAAATATCCATACAATGAGATAAAACGGTCAATCGGATGCCGAATAATGGCAAAATTCGTCGATTTCGCTTTCCACGTCGCTTTCTTCCGCTGCGGATACCAATCTTTATTTTGACAGACACTAAAAAGGGAAAAAGCGTTCAAAATTGTCCAACATTTCACACTTGTTATCCTTGTTGAAACTTTTCCCATATTCGGGCCGAAATTTGACTCCTCGATAGTGCCGATAAACGTCACAAAGTATCTGTCGCATCAGTGTCGACATCCCCTTTGGCGTTTTGCAATAATGAATCCCCATTTTGTTCCAATTCTATAAGCTTTTATAAAAGATTCGTCTAAAAACTATTCTATTTGGTCAATTCAAAGCCAAGCCAAGCCAAATCTATTCGATTTAGCTTGGCTTTGATCTTTCGCTTTGTCTCAGGTCAAATGTTCTCAAAATTCACAATATCTGCATCTTGTTGTGCATGTCGATACGGTACATTGTCTATCGGAAAGATGGAATCCCAATCCCAACCTGAAATTCGAGAATTTAAAATTAAAAACACGAAATGTACCTGAATTCACCAGTGAGATCAAAGTAAAGAATATAGAAAAAGAGATCCAATTTGTCATTGTCCGAGAATAGTTGCTTTGGTGTTTGGTGAGTTAAAAAGCTCTGAAATCTAATGTGGAAGCTATTTATATGGACAGAGATGTGGATAGGATAAGATTTAGTTTACGGTAGTTTTTGAAAATCGCCAGGTTTTTGAGTAGCAAGGTACGAGAGAGGAACTCCTACTAGTTTTTCAAGTCATTCTCGAAATCCAAAAGCTTTATATAACCAAATGACCGGCATACATAAATGTGTTTGGTCAAACAATTTTAATAAGCAGCTGTGACATAGAATGGTAATATAACAAGAAATATTCAAGGATATCGGGAAAAAGAATGGACAACAATGCACTGTTTCTGTCTTTGTTTCACTTGACGAGATCCCGCTTTGGCAGTGATTGAGAACAGAGAAAAGGACAACAACCGGATGAAGAAAGAAATCGAATGTCCGACTTTGACAGTTCTTTTTCCTTTCAATAGTCATTCGTGGATTTATATGAGATAGAATGGCTATCACTGTGTTTTGAGTTCGAAAAGACTCGTTTGAGAGTGAAGGGTGAAGTTAGATCGATAATGGCACAATTGACAATGACATCTGGAATCTCGTCAACGATAATGAGCTGGAGTTTCTTTTAACTTATATAGAATTGTCATTTGTACTTATTCCTGAGTTATTAGCCCAGCTAATACCCTAAAGTCTCGAGTATAAGTTCATCCGAGTATAAGTTCTGCCTTAATTTACATTTAAAGGGCTCTGATGGAAGCTCGAAGCGGTCAAATTTTCGAGGAAATTTGGAACGAACGCGGCTGCGATCGAATTTGAAGTCGCCGAACAGATGATTAACCGCTGGAAACAGGCTGAGCCGGCACTGATGAGTTCACCAAAAAATAATCGAGCTTTCCGAGGATTGAGGGCAAAATGGCCGGATGTGGAGAAAGATCTGAAGGCATGGGTTCTGGAGAGGCGATCAAAACAACGAGCTGTAAATGAGCTGTAAAAGCAAAAAATTTATGCTGCAGCGGGGTTCGATACACCGCACCGGAGACAGCCGTCAATTTGCATGCGAAAACCAAACAGAACTTATACTCGCGACTTTAGGGTAACTAAAAAATTAGAACAAATGACTAGCCCAGCTAATAACTCAGCTTTCATATTTACAAAAGAAAAACTTTTGTAAACAGCCGTGATTCTAGAGTTTGTTCATTTTAAAGCAAGATTTGGTACAAAGTTTATTTCAAAACAAAATTTGGTACATTATTACATTCAAATTTTATTGATATCAATGTGAAATTGCTTTGAGCTTTGTTTACTTATTTCAGTGTTTCCATTTGTTGGTACAGAGTACTTCTGCGTTGAAGAAACTATATTCAAAAGTCGTTTCCCTCTACAAAAGATTAGATTCATGAAAGCATCCCTGAAATCAGTTTCATCTTAAGCTTAGGTTCAACTTTTACAGGTTTATCTCTACCTGTAGCATTTGATGAAGTAAATCATGACTAAAGGCTCTAGAATCGGATCGATCATGATCAAAATGCACATTGGCTCAAGGTCGAAAAAGACGCCGAACATTGCGGAGAAGTTGATGATTGTGAGTGGGATGTAGTTGCAGAAAAGGGGCACAATTAACTGAAACTTTAAGAATTACGAATCGAATGACTAAAGATAAATTGTTGATTCAGGAAATCATTTCCAGCAGTTCCAGCAGTACATTTTGCCGCATACTGCTTTCGTATCTCAAACTTCTCTTTTGCTTATCGTTATCTTCAAATTTAAACAAAATTTGCTAGATCTTTTAAACTGTTCTTTAAACTGTCCTTTAAATCCTAATTGCATTTTGATTCCCAAGAGGTTTGAAAAGCTCATTTTTTTTATTTTAAGATCAAGAGCAAAGAAATGAATTGAAGATTATTTTATTATTACCTGAACCAAAAGAGCCTTGAAAAGCTCCTTTTGAAGAAATTTCGTTTTCGAGCTGATTGAAGCATTGGAGATCAAGAATTTGTAGATATGAAAACCACAGTAAATTATGATCATCCAAGTAATGAAAAGGATGAAAATGAGAGTGCCAGTTCCCATGTAACCCTGCCAGAGACGAGGGTTCTTTGATGGCTAAAATTTTGGGGGAACTTGGAAGAATGGAATGGAAGAGTTTACGTTTTCATTACTACTGTAAGAATACTGTAACGAGGAATGGAAACAAGAAAAGAACAAGAAAAGAACAGAAACAAGAACAAGAACAAGAACAAGAACGAGAGCAAGAGCAAGAAATGGAAACGTAACGGAACAAGAAACTGAAACTTTACAGTATCTTTACGGTTGATTTACATGATTCACCTGCTTACACCTTACCTCAAAACTCATTCCCAGGCATGGGAAGTCAGAGAGATTCTTTTGAAATTTCTCATTGAAGACTTTTGCCATCTCTCCAAAAACTTCATCTGGAACCTCACCAAGGTTGAAGTGAGCGTTCAGTGTCCATGCAGAGCTAAAGTTTCGATCCTTTTCACTAGAACTAACTAGGAAAGCTATTGAAAACCTATTTTTGCATGTACAATTAATGGTATAAACAGTTCGGGTCTTCTAGTAAACAGTACAGCTTCGGAAATTTCTTGAAATTTTCAACTACGTAGTCACAAAATTCTTTGGTCTTTCTGACAACAACAAAATTCTTTGGTCTTTGGTCTAATTCTTTAAAATTTCTCAATTTTATACATAACCAGCCAAAAAAAACCCCTTAGCAGCGAGTTTTTCTAGAGGTTCTTTGCATCGTTGTGGTAAGGAGTAGTAAGGAGCGTCTTTCTCTATAGCCCTACAGTCATAGTCAGGAGCGTCTTTCTCTACAGCCCTACAGTCGTAGTAAGGAGCGTCTTTCTCTACAGTCCTCACAACCCGGGTTTGCCGATTATTCGACACCAAATTTAAATCTGGTATAGGGGGGTGGAACAAAGTGTTTTTATTAAAATAATTTTTTTTGGGGGTGTTTTTTTTTTATTTTTTTTTTTAGGGGGGGGGGTTTTTTTTTTTTTTATTTTTTTTTTAAATAAAAAAAATTTTTTTAAATTATATTTAATTTTAAATTAAATAAAAAAAAAAAAAAAAATAATATTTATTAAAAAAATATTAATTTTATTTTTATTAAAAAAAAAAAAATAAAAATTTATAAAAAAAAAAATATATATAAAAAGGGGGGTTTTTTTGGTTTTTTTTTAGATCTAAACAATCAACCTTTTGTATTGCTAATTTTCGTGTAGAGTATTTAGCCCGTTTACTGAATATCTTTAACGTTGTTTGCTTTATTTTGTTTTTATTTAATTGTTTGTTGCCAGATTACCAATTTCGCGTCTTTTTTCATTCATACGAAGGAGATAAACTTCTTTTAAATCGAATAAAACTATTGTTTTCAAGTTGATTGGTCAGATTGCACATCAATTTGGGAAAAAGTTTGTCGATTTCGATCAGAAATCACGATGAATTAAGGAGAAAGCATCTCCGCCCGGATAAAAGATTGGAGAGGAAACAGTCCTCGTACAAACCAATTTTATTCAGGATACCGGGTTCAACCTCCCGTAGTGCCACACCAAATTGACTTTTTAAATTTCTATATTTAATTTCTATCTTTAATTTCTATATTTAATATTTAATATATAGTAGATTAACGAATCAAAAGTTTTTCCGCTTTAGTTTTTCCGCTATCTCGTTTGAACGTTTCCTTTCCTCTTCAAAAAGTTCAACACATCAAAGCTAAGCTACTTTAGCTAGAAACCTATCTTTTTGCCGATTTCACTCTCGAATTTGCTTGAAAGTAAACGAAAATTGACTTAAAAAGATGGGAAATTGAGTTTCCCTTCTTTTTTTCTATTTCCCGTTACCGACATTTTCTCATTGCCAACAATACAACAATTAATCAAAAAGTAAGAAATACCGACATATTGGACTCGATCAAATCCCAAGTGGATTCCCCGTTTTCTTACCTAAATCCAATATACGCTACAGAGCAATAAATGATGATTTTTGATAGAGACATCTTATTGAAGATCGAATCTCTAAAAATAACTTTATTTTTTAGTTTTTTAAACCCTTTCATGATCAACAATCGACAGTAATTAGTAAATAGACAATTACTGAAAATAGACTTCTCGCCTTTGAACTCTAGATTTGAAAAATTTTCATAAAAAAGACTTGAAAATTTTTGTGTACTTGTTTGAGCAATTTTAGTGCACAATAGAGAAACTTTTGTTAATATTAGGTTAGTGAATGGCTTTTCGTTCCGTCTAAAAACAACAAATTCATCAATTAAACTACAGTTTGTTTCATTAGAAATGCTAAACATTTTTCTGCAAAAGAACATTAAAACGAGTTTCAAATGTCTTATGTCTGGTGTCTGATGTCTGTTATGTCTGTCCTATGCCTGTTATGTCTGCCTTATCTGTCCTATGTCTGTTATGTCTGTCCTATGCCTGTTAGGTCTGTCCTATGCCTGTTATGTCTGTCCTATGCCTGTTATGTCTATCTTATGTCTGTTATGTCTGTCCTATGTCTGTTATGTCTGTCTTATGTCTGTTATGTCTGTCTTATTTCAAATGTCTGGATTTTTTTTGAAGCTTTGAAGTCGGAAGACGGCTCGATGATGCAACTTAGATACTTTAGCTAAGCTACTTTAGCTAGAAACCTATCTTTTTGCCGATTTGACTCTCGAATTTGTTTGAAAGTAAACGAAAATTGACTTAAAAAGATGGGAAATTGAACAATAAACACTATTTAGAGAAAACTTAGAGAAAACTATAGGTTAATTAGTGGAATTTGTTATTTTTCAACGGAAGTACGAAACTTTCTGAAACGAAAAGACTTGACAGCCTAGTTTGCCAGCTTTAAAAGATACCCAGAAAAGAATAAAGTTTGTCAATTGTAATTCAATTACAGTAAGATTTCTTATTCTATAAAACCCTTACCATTTCTATTTTTTTTAATAGAAAACATAAAGGACAGACATAACAGACATAAGACATACATAACAGGCATAGCCTAACAGGAACATTCCTTTCCTATTCACTTCTTCCACAATCACAATGTCTTCAATCTTCAACCAAACCAAACCAAAACTCACTGGCAAGCTACTGTATACCGAAAGACAAATTGAAACATCATTAATACAATCGCTTGACAGAATAAACTGCAATAGATCAAGAGAAGTCCGTAGTTTAAAGCTTTTGATTGAAAGATTGGCGATAGAGTTGTCAAAATGAAGGTTTGACCAGCTCCTGTTGTTGTCTAGAAAGATGTAGAATTTAAAAAGCAACAGATTTTTTTCTAGCCTTTCTCAATTTACTTACTGGAACGATGAGAAAATCGATAGTCACATACAAGATATCGAAAGCCGAGAAACAAAACAGAAGATATGAATATTTCCCAATGACAGGATGAGTTTTCTTCATGATGAAGTAGAGCATCAAGAAATTCAAGAACACAGCCAACAGACACTCGAATGAATGAGTGATTCGGACGAATTGACGGGAGAACATTCTGTAATGTAAATCCAGTAAATCCGGAGGATAAAAGCGGATCTATTGGGTTGTCCAGTTATGAATGCGCGTTTTTAATATTTTGCAAATTTCTCAAGATATCGAACAGATGTACAGTACTGGACAATGAAATATCATATTTGAAAAAAAGATCGTCACTTTCTCGCGTCTGTACCTCCCTTGTCTTTGAGCTTAAACTATTAGTGTTATACATTTTCTGAAAGCTCTTTTCCAGGGCTACACAATGGTAATATTAATATTTAGAAATACGGTAAACAAACAAACACCAAACATCAAACGGTAAAGACAATGGAGTTACAGACGCGCGAAAGTGACGATCTTTTTTCAAATATGATATTTCGTTGTCCAGTAGTGTATCTGAGTGTTATATATCATTCGAAAGCTGAAGATCTCCTCTACATTTTGGAATAAAAAAGTTTTTTAGAATTCATTCAACTTTTTGGGAAATTGACTGCACAAAGGGAGAGGTCGCTTTCGAAAAAAAAACTCATTCCAGCTTAGCTATTCCTCAAGTTTTATGGTGTAAAATAACCGCCCAGAAAAGAAAAGAAAAGAAAAGTGAAGATGCTCTGAAATTGGTATATTCTTAAAAAAGTTGTATTGATATATCTATTGGCCAAACATCAAACGGTTAACTCAATTTGAGAGGAGCCAAAGCTTCATCCAAAGGCACCCTTCCATTTTTTGGTCACATCTTCTTCTGTGCAGTCAATTTGCCCAAAAGCTGAACAAATTCAAAAACTTTTTAGATTAAAATGTAGAGGAGATCTTCAGCTTTCGAATAATACTCATATATATCTTTTTCTTGATCTTGATCTTTCTTGATCCGATTTTGGTACCATTCAATGAGGAATTACAATGCTCAGTCAATGATACCAAAATTGGGCTGATCGAATGTAAACTAACGGTTTGGCTACGGTACTTTTCTCAAATAGGTCCTTTTTAGAAAACGTATTACTCGAGAGGAACACACTCTACATTCAACATTCTGTAATGCTAAGCTCTGTCAATCAAGGTTTTGGTCATAAGGAAATTTTGACAAAAAAACCTCATGAGAAAGCTCTTACTATCAAAAAAAAAACTCTAAAATATTTAAAACTTCCTCTTTCTTTTGCGAAATATTAGATTAGCAACTTGAAAGTTCGTACACTTTTTTGTAATTTCCATAAAACATATTTAATACACCAATTGAATTAGACTTCTCGAAATAAAAGTTATATATTATCTAATTTAAGAAATGCTTAAGGAACTTTGGGTAACTTTTGAAACAGATTTGAGCAGAAATTCAAGTTTTTTTTCTGAAAATTCTTCAAATGGAACTATTACAAAAGCGATTGATTATATCTAGTTGATTGATTGATTATATCTAAAATTTGGCTACTTATCTAGCTTGTTATGCTCTCTTTTTTTATTAGCACCAAAATGGGTTTATGCGGAGGAAAGTGCTCAAATCGGTCCAACGAGTTTTCATCATTTTTTGGCTCCTCAACTTCTTTTCTTCCTGCCCCCTAAAAACCTACAAAAGTGAAGCTTTTCTAAATATGTCAAAAGCCTGTTTTAGAGAATAAATGGGGCTTTTTATTGGTTTAAAACTGTAGATTGTAGAAAGGTAAATGCGTAAAACTATCTTGCGTAAAACTTTGTCTTTTCAATTTATTTCAAACGAGAATAAGAGGCAAGAAAGCTTTCGTTCTCTGTGCGTGTACATAAACGCGCGCTTTCGGGCACATACCCCTGCATGGGGTCATAAAAAGGAGGTGGGATTTTCAACAATTACCCACGATGATTTTATTGTCATTTCCGTTTGAGTGCGGCGTCTCACTTTGATTTTAAGAGCTTTCTGAGGGGGACTTTTTTACTTTAAAAACTTTCATGCTTATTTCTGCTTCGTGAATCATCTTTTGCCTGATTGTGGTGTCTGAAAAAAGTACGACAAACAAAGCAATATGTTCTGCAAAAAAACTAAACTTAATCCACATTAAAGAAGTTGGAGAAAAATAATGAAAATTGACGAAAAATGGAAGAAAAAACAATAAAAATGGCGAAAATAAATTTTTGAGTGGATTACGGTATTAGTGCATTTTAGTGCGCTAAACCAAATTGCTGTTTCGGAAAAAGCACGAAAGTTTTTAAAGTAAAAAAGTGCCTCTCAGAAAGCTCTTAACATCAAGGGGAGACGCCGCTCTCAAAGAAACCGCGATAGCATCATCGTGGGTATTATTACAATAATCCGATCTCCTTTTTATGACCCCATGGGTGTGTGCCAGAAAGCGCGCGTTTATGTGCATACACAGAGAACGAAAGCTTACTTGCCTTTTATTCTCATTTGAAAAAACAAAGTTCTACGCAAGATGATCTAATAATTATGGATTTTAAAACCGTTGAAAAAAAAAATCAGCATTTCTTTTGATTTATTTGTCTATTTCCTTTGATTTATTTGTCTATTTATTTTTAAAGCTATTTATTTGTTTTTATATTTTTGTTATCTGAAAGGGTTCAAGTGCAAAAGGGTATTTGATTGTATTTTTAATTTTTTAACTGAGCAACTTCGAATAACTTTTCCAATCTTCAATAGACAAGAAAGGTTATAGTCCTTTCAGCTAAAAGAATAACAACAAAGATCAATCAAGAATTCGAAAATGACAGAAAAAGAAAGGTACCGTATCTCTACTCAAATTAAAAAGATTCTTTTCTCCAAATGTAAAACTAATCACGTGTTTTTGTGTTATCAAAAATATTTAGTTTTATCTCTTGGAAAAGCGTTAATTTGTGATCTCAAAGCCATCAAGGGAAATGTTGCTGAAGTTCGAGCTTTAAAGAATTTAAAAAAGGCGACTTTTTGAGTCTTGGAAGATTAATTGCGTCTTTTATACTGGAGGATTCAATTTGACCGACAAATTGTCTCTCGCGACAGGAAAAAGACTTTGCCCACTTTGTAATTGTTTTGAGTTAAAAACTCAAAGTTCATGCGGGAATCTTCTTCGAATTTTGCACTAGAGAATATGCAAGTACAAGAAGAACACAAAAATACTCTCCATAACAAAGAACAATAATAACATCACTATCTAATTGTTAGTAATTGTACTTATAATATTTTGCATGACTGTACACTTAAATAAAAACGAAAGAAATGGAGAGAATGATGCATTGGGAGATTGATGATAAAATCAAACAATCAAAGTTCAAATCTTGTTGAAGCTAAATTGCTATTCAGTACAAAAAGCATATAAAAACGATTTCCAGACTCTTATAGTTGAGCAATTATTAATTACCAGCCACTAATTGAGTTCACTCAAGAAGAAAGTGATCTCATATTTCCGAACAATGAGCACTTTGTGATCCACAGTTTATCAATTTTACAAACCTTGGCTTTAATGTGGTACAAACAATACACAAGCAGAGCCCCTAAATATAGGAAAGAAAAAACCCGAAAAAAAGCACTAATCTAGTAACCGGGACCGAACTCCCGAACCCCCCGACCCGGATACAAGGCTCTTAGCCAGTCGGCCATGAGACAGATGGTGCCAGCGGGGGATGAGAGTTATAAGACAGACATGATGTGGCCCTATGCGTCTTTCTGTGTGTCCGTCTATCTAGGCCATAACTCGCCAACGATACCTCGGATCGAGCTGAAACTTTGACATCAAACAGTCAACTTTTTATTATCTTTAATATGACCAATTGGTTTTTTGATCCCGTCAACTGTTTTCTTGAAAATGCAAATTGCGACCCTTTTTGGGTACTTCTTTCTTTGAGCCCCTGTATAAAATCCCAGAAATGAGCTTTAAAAAAGGTTTTTGGCTCAAAAAAGAGCCCAGATTCTCTAGATTAAAAGTATAATGTTAGTTTTTAAAAATGATTATATTTTTGAATTTTAAAATTCAAAAAACTGAGCGTGACTCTGAGAAGAAATGTTCTGTAGGGGTGGCCGAGTGGTCTAAGGCGCCGGCTACCAAGTTATCATGGAGGCGAGTTCGATTCCTCTAGCCGCCCATTTTTTTGCATTTTTTGGATTTCTTTCAAACCCTATCAGTCTTTTCTCTATATCTGACACGTTTGGATTGAAAATACAATTTAAAATAGAGAAAAACCGTGGGATTTCTGAGAAAACCTTGTGAGTGAGTTGAGAAAAAGTTGAACTCAGGAAGAAATAACTTTTCTGGATCAAACTTTTGTCACGTTTCCCATAGTAAAATCAAATTGTACAATTCGGCTAAAGAAAATATTCTGTAGCCTCGAAGAATCGCGATTCTGTAGCCTCTGTAGCAATTCTGTAGAAAATATTCTGTAGCCTTGAAGTTGGATTGGAGTTTAAAGTTGGATTTCTAAATTGAACGGGTACAGAAAAACTTTTGATAGTTGAGACTGTGGTTTTTGTGTTTGAATGTAATGCAAAAAAAGGTCTGCAATAGTAAATGAGCCACAGTCGATTTATCACAATCGATTTTGAGCTTCAGCGACCATTCTTTGTAAACTTTCAGTGTAATTCTGATGTTAAATAGCAAAAACTAGATTTATTCCTGCAAAAACGATTAATTTCTTTTGATATTGACTTGAATTGATTCAGGATTCGTGTCTTCATAAGGCTTTGATCCTTTTGTAGCTGATGTCTTTGAAGTCTTTGTTGATCCCAATGGATTGACTGATCGAAGAGACCATTCACATTTCAAGAAACTCATCAAAGACTCACTAAAGTTATTTAAACATTTCGAACTATCATTTCTAACATTTAAACAATTTCTAACTATTGAACTTCTCAATTTAATGTGTTTTGTCGTTGCTTTTATTGCTTTTCTTATCAAATTGATAGTCAAAAGTAGACTTCGGAAAACAAAACTTAACCAAAACCAAAACAGACCAAAACCAAAACCAAAACAGACCAAAGCCAAAACCAAAATAAACCAAAACCAAAACCAAAACTAACCAAAACTCGCCAATATCTCGCGATTGGGAGGAGCTAGCGAAAATCTGTTTGCAGATTTGAAATCAGCGTCCAAAAATCTATCCAATAGGCTATTTTTTGTTTCGAAATTTCGAGGTCGTGTTTTGGTCCTTTTTTCGGCCGCGAGATTTTGGGGAGTGAGAGAAAGTGAAAGGCAAATTTGCATTTTACAATTTTAAATTTACATGTTAATTTATATGCAAATTGAGTTTCGGTTTGTTTTGGTGTTTTGGTTTTGGTCTGTTTTGGTTTTGGTTTTGGTTTTGTTTGCCGAACTCTAGTCAAAAGTATTTTAGTTGTTTTCAATTCTCAATTTGAATGAATTAATGAATTTAAAGTTCATAATGAATTAATGAATTTAAAAAGCTGATTTCAAAAACTCTCACCGATAGCTGCGAATGAAATAAATGATGGCCAAGGGTTCCAAAATTGGATCGATCATCATAAGGGCACACATTGGTTCGAGATCAATCGAGAACCCAAAAATCGCCGAATAGTTGATGAGTGTAAGGGGTAAATAATTGCAAATTAAAGGAATGAACATCTGAAACAATGAGTGAGCATTTCCCTTGGTACTGTAGTTCAAAGCATACTTGAATCATCAATGCTTTGAAGAGCTCTTTCTGGAGATGCTTTGTTTTCCTGCTATTTGCTTCGTTAGTTGATAGGTATTTGTAGACTTTGTAACCACAATAGATGATGACAGTCCATGTAGAGAACAAAAGGATCATTAGGACAAGATGGCCCAGGTATAGTTTCCATTGAGAGACGCCAAGAGACGGCTGAATATTCTTTGCTTATTATTGCGAGTTAATCTGGCTAATCTGCGGTATTTCTTTGCTATTTCTGTATCACTACAGTATTGTGTTGAATCGACAATCAAGATCTATTTCATTGTTTGCTAGAGTGTATCCTTTTCTGTCTTGTCCTACTGTAGTTGCGGCGACATTTCGGCTATGTAAGGCGGCCTTTCGGCTATATAAGATGGCCTTTCGGCTATATAAGACAGCCTTTTAGCTATATAAGACAGCCTTTCGGCTATATAAGACGACCTTTCGGCTATATAAGACAGCCTTTCAGCTATATAAGACGACCTTTCGGCTATATAAGGCGCCCTTTTTCTTCATTTGTAACCCTTTTTTATTCATTTTCCACTAAAGTGAATTATTTGTATCGATAGAATTTCGTTCTTTTAATCGCATTTAAGACACACAACTTCTCAAGCAGCAAGCTTAAATACAAGTACAAATCTAGAAACCCATTTACTTGAATCATCCTACAGATCCCGTATTTCTTTTCAAATTTAAAACTTTCAAATCCTTTCCCAAATTCACCTCAAAACTTTCTCCCATACAGCTGAAATCGGAGAGATTTTCTTGAAATTTCTCATAGAAAACCCTGGCCATTTCATTGAATGTCGGCTCTTGATAGATGAAAGAATTGTCCAAGTAGAAATGGAGATCGAACACCCAGATGAGACTAAATCTTGCTATAGCTTGTTCACTTTTTCAAAACTCGTTTCGATTTTCGATTTTTCAGCAGTTTTCAGCAGTTTTTGAGCTTTCTCATTTGAGTAAGAAGTTCTAAACTGACACTAATACTTCCGAAATTTCTCATTAGATCTTGGATAAGCCTTTGATCTTCCACCTCATTACAAAAGTGAATGATGTTCCCCATTTTGTTCAAAACTCATCAAAATTCGAGCTATAACTTTTTCCTTTCATTTCATAGTTTCTGACTTTTCAAAAAACATCTTTTTTTTCATTTTTTCTAAAATTAGAAACTCAATTCGCTTTTCTTTTCAAATTTTTCTTTAATTAGGCTTTGTAAGGCTTTTTTGGTTCTTGAAATGATGAAAATGATCTCAAGTTTCTCTAGAACAAATACCGTAAATACTGTAATAGTACCCCACCCCCATAATGACGGTGCGGAGTGTTGCGTAGCCTAGTTTTGGACGAGTTTTTCTTGACACTGGTTTATGCTACAATGCGCGCTTAGGTATCAAAAAATAGCTGAAATTCAGGGCTATTTTTTGATACCAAAGACGAATTTTTTGAAAGGACGGGCGCTTTGAAAAAAATGAAATACTAAAAAACTTTTGCGACTACGCGACTGTACGAGGGGGGTGGGGTACTATTACAGTATTTACGGTAGCTTGATTTGAAAATATGAAAAGATTACCTAAAGACTAAATAGATGAGAACAGAAAAGGAGATGATTGTCCAAGTGGGGATCTTCTTGAGGCGAGTGTCTCTGAAATCGATGATAAAACATTTGTGATACTTTATAATGAATGTGAGGGTTGATGGGTTACTGTATTTAGTCGATAAACTCTTAAATAAGTAAAGTACAGTAAAGCACAAAGCACAGTAAAGTAAGTAAAGTACAAAATAAGTCAAGTCGAAAAATCATCCCCTAGCCAATAAGCCTTAGCTCTTAGCCAATAAGCTACACACGAGAGAAGAAAGGGCAGCAGTGGCCTAGAGGGTAGTGTGCCGGACTGCAGAACCTATACTGCCTCTTGCTTGGGTTCGACCCCCGCCACCGATGAGCTTTGCGGTTTTTGAAAAACAGACAAATACCTTTTAACCTTTTTAAGCCTATTACAGTCCTGGACCCTAGGAGAACTTATTAATCACTAATAAAACAAAATAGCAAAAGTTGCTAGTAAGCCAGCTTTCTGTAATCCCCACTTCGCGAAAACCCACCCGCTTGCCGCAAAATAGCGAAAAATAAATTGAAACATCAAGAGAACAATCAATTGACAGAAAAGACCACAATAGACGAGCAGCAAGATGTAATTGACGAGTTTCGACGAAAAAATTGGAGCATTTGAAACAATCAGAAATGTTCGTCCGGAGACCATTGTTGTCTAAACAGTTGTCACTTTGTTGTCTAAACAGTTGTCAATTCAAAAGCCTCACCGGTGCAATCAGAAAATCCACAGTAACATAAACGAGATTGAAAACCGAGAAACATATCAAAAGATACGCATATCTGCCGATCGTTTTCGTCATTTTTCGACAAATCAACACCAAGAGAAGCACATTTAAAAGCACCGCCACCACGAATTCGATCGAATGCAATTGTCGCAAAAGATCCAAGCTTGCCATTTATCTAAACAATGAGCAATTCGAAAAGTAAATGAAGCAAAAATTGCAACATTTTCAAGTGGGAATTGAAAATATTCATTAAAAAAACTTCATTAGGTAGAAATCTAATTTAATAGTTGAAAATAATGTTTCACAAGCTTGTTCACCGAAATTTCAATTCCCTCGAAATGTGAACAGTAAACCTAAATTTTTTTTTAATTAGGCAGCTAAGCACAATGTTACAAAAGCTCAAAGAACAAAGAACAAAGAAAAACAAAGGACTAGACGATCTGAGCTATAAGAATCTATAATTTTTTATCGTAAAACTGTTTCACTAATACAAACAGCTGTTTTTAAAGGTGATCAGCAAGAAATTGGCTAGAATCCAAGCAAAAACCATACAAATAAGTTCAAAACAAGAAGAAAATAACGTATTCTCTCTAATAGTAGTGCACCCTAAGCATCGCCTAAATTCCTCGAAATCTTGAGAACCGCTAATCAGAACCTATCGATGTGGGGTCGGAAAATGTAGCTGACGATGAGATCTAGTGGGTGATTAGAGTGTTGAGCTTCTGCAAAAGCTTGGAAGCCATAAAATAGTCACCAACTCGGCTCGGCGAAATTAGAGAAAATACTTATTCGGCACTACGGTAAATGTTAGCCTAAAATGGCTTAAGTTTAGAGCCTATGTACTCTAAAGGGGTTCAGCGTTTTGAATATCTTTAGATAGCTTCGAAGCTAAGGTGTGCTTAAATAAGCCGAAACCATAGGTTAATGTCAGACAAAGCTTGGATTTTTGCCTAAGTTGCCTAAATTCCTCGAAATCTCAAAAGCCGCTTATCAGAATCTATCGATGTGGGGTCGGAAAATGTAGCTGACGATGAGATCTAGTGGGGGATTTGAGTGTTGAGCTTCTGCAGAAAGCTTGGAAGTCGTAAATAGTCATCAACTCGGCACGCCGGGGTGCACTACTATTAGAGAAAATACGGTAAACGTTTATTGCATAATCTTTGAAATTAAAAGGGAAACTAGTCTAATGAGTTTTTCCTCACAACTAACAACTTTATAATGCAACTTTTTAATGATCAGACTCATTGAAGTTAAACGTTTTAAAATGCCAAAGAATCCAAGTTGATCCGATCAAAATGAGAATTTTCTGTAGCTTCTCAAGAATGAGACTTCTCAAGAAAATCCGACTGTATCTTGATCGGAAGTCAAGGCTGGGAAAATCCCATGGAGTATAAAAAATCGTCTTGAAAAACCAGTCTGCTCAACAAAAAAACTCACACGTTACTCATGAATAGTACAATCTTTCTTGAGTTCCTGAAGTAAAACCGATTAGCAACTGAATAACTAGAATCCCATACAAAGAAAATCAGTTGTAGAAAGAACTAAACTAAAGAAAGAAATAAACTAAAGAAAGAACTAAGCTAAAGAAAGAACCAAACTCTATTCAATAGATCTTTTTATAACAAAAACTTCTCTAATCAACAAACTATATCAACAGATTTATCAACAAATAAACCTTTTTGTACTGATTGTTCTCAGAAATTAAAGAAATCAAATCAAATCTTTTAAAAAAAAAACAGAAAGGGTCAGCTTGTACGCGCGTATATCTCAAAGATCTTGATTTGACGTTGCCTTGAAAATTCCTTTTTTTGGGTTTCCAGAAAATTGTTTCTCTTGGGAGTTAGGTACATTAAATAGTTCTTTGAATGATCTCTCGAGACACTGTAGACATAAAAACATTGTTAATTGACTTCTTTTTCCAGAATGTGCAATTAAAAATCTCAAATTTTGTGAACAACAAACGGTGTTCGAATTATGACGAAGGAAGAATAAAATGAGAGATTTCAATTTCTTAGACATAGAACTAGAGAAAGAATAGACATTACTAACTGTTTAGAAATAGAAATGGGAATTTTTTTACAGCTACAGGAATTATAAAGGAGCTATAAAAGAAATTTAAAGGAACTATAATGGAACTATAAAGGAGCTATGAAAGAAAAAGCTCAGCCCAAGACTGGACTAGACTCTCGATTACGAATGGCAAAGCTATTAAAACAACATTATTTACTTAAAAAGCAGATACTATTTAAATTACAGCTTAAATTAAAGTAGGTGACATAGTAGAGAACATTTTCTTTTACATATTTTATTTTATTTCATTTTATAGCCTTTTTCGAAGTAACCTTGAAGAAAAATTCTAATTTTTTCTTTAAAATTTGTAAAATTAACATAAAAGGAAATTGGCTGAACAGATTGTTCTGAAAATTTGGCTATATACCTAACTTTTTATGCTCTATCTTTTATCTATTGACATGAAAATTGGTTTCTTTAGACGAAAGTGTCCAAATCGTATGAAATTGCGATTTTTGATTACTCTGCTTCTCGGCCTCTCGCAAACCCCAAAAAGAAAGGATTTTTAGAAATTCTAAAAAGCTATTCGATGGAGGATTGATAGAAATTCTTGATAGAATAAACCGTAAGTCAATCGGTGAATTAGGGAGTTTTAAATTGAACCATGAGAAATAGCGACATTTCATACTCACAGACATTTCCTACTTACAGACCGAATAGTTCACCGGGCCTGTATCTTTCTACAGTTTACCCTAAAGATTTTAATGACTAAATTGCTAAACTAAACAATCCAAAAAGGGTCATAGAAAAGCGAGCTATCAAAAAATTTCAAAATGAAAGATAAAGTGAGACCTACAGTGCTCCTTTTGAGTTCTCGAATGAATGTGTGTCCTTATGATGATCGATCCTGGCCATTATTGATTTCATTCGCAGCTATCGGTGTTTTTGAAAACAGCGTTTTACAATTCATTGATTCATTTTTTTTTCTCTTTGGTTCGCGATTGCTACAAATGCTAAAAAGTGCCTCTCAGAAAACTGCTAAAATCATTGGGAGACGCCGCCCAAAAACCGATGGTCCACAACATAATCATCGAGGAAACCATTTAAAATCCGATCTGCTTTTTATGATCCCATGCAGAAGCATATGCCAGAAAGCGCGCCTTTATGGGCGCACACAGAAAACTTTCTTGTCTGAATAGCTCAATAGTAAAAGAAGTACAGGGACAAAGACAAAGTTTGTTGGGATAAAGTTTTGAAGGGTTATCGAGTAATTGTGATTACGTGTTTGGATTACTTGGATTACTATAACTAATTAGCTACTGGATTACTGTAGCTGAATCTTTTAAAAAACACTCTCGTCTAGAGGAAACAATGTATCTATTAGATCTTGAACTTTTCATTGTATGGCTATTTCCTTTCTTTGCCGTGGCTGTTTCCTTTCTTTGACGTGATTAAAGTGAACTCTGAGAATATTTTTCTCATCATTTTAACGATTTATTGAAAGGAACAGTGATTTTTGTTTCAATTTCATTTAAATCCCGAGAGGTCAAAGAAAAATTGAAACTCTCAAGGAATTGGGATCCTTTTGGATACTTTTGGATACTTTTGGCCATCAATTAATTGATGCCAACAAACTCAACTCCATAATTCATTTAAATTCTTTAGTCTTTCAGTGCAAGGAAAGCTCGATCTCATGGGAATTTTGAATAAATTACTAGAATAAAAAGTTTCATTTTTCCTTTGAAAACGGTTCACATTTTTTCCATAATCGGCTTTTGTGATGGAAAATGGAAATTTCAAAAAATGACAGAGGTTATCAGATCAAAGCTGGGTTTTAAGTAAAAAGCAGTTTTACTAGTTTTACTATAACTTTTCAGTCTACTACAATTTCTTTACATTTTTATTAACAATTTATTCAAACTGTATAGAAGACACCTTAGCAGTAGCACAATACTTTCCAGTAGCACAGTACTTTCCAGTAGCACAATACTTTCCAGTAGCACAGCACTTTCCAGTAGCACAATACTTTCCAGTAGCACAATACTTTCCAATTCCTCTAGCACAATACTTTCCAATTCTTTTGTAAAAACAAAGCTCAACATAGCAGGAAAGGTTTATTTTTGTTTAAGCAGAAGATCCCAAGGAAAAAGAGATCTCAAGAACTACAAGAACTACTAATTTCCAACTTTTTCCTAATCTTCTTTTACTATTTTGATGGCAGACCAAAAAAAAGCGGCTCCAGTGAGTTCTTCAGTTCAGAAATGCTCACCGAGATTGATTCAAACAAAGAATGAAAAGGGAAAATGGCCGTTTATCAGTCTAGAAGAAAAGAAGGAAAAGAAAAAGGCTGTTGGCATAAAAGCTTAAAGAAAAAGAGATCTCAGGACAGAAACGAGTCAAAAAAAGGCAAAGAGCTTCTTTTTTTTTCTCACATGGCACTGGTCACTCTCAGCTTTCCCCCATTTTTTCCATCTCTTCCCCTTTCCTATTTCTATTTTAAAGTATTGGCTTCCTTATTTTAGCCTCTATTCTGCAAATAGACATTTGAATTTTACATCTTTAAGCTAAAATCAAAGACTAAACTCAAAGTTTAAAATCCTTCTTCGAATTTTTGAGCTCTTTCTTTTTAATCAAAAAATATTCTTTAAATTCTTTAAATTCTTTGAACTATTATCAAAAAGCATCAACAATTCTTGATTCTTTTTTTCCTTTCCTGAGAAAACAATATTGATTGATATTGTTTCTAATTCCTGATAAAACAATATTGATCAACAATTCCTGAGAAAACAATATTGATCAAAATGATTTCTTTGTGAAATGGCACGTTTTTTGACAGAGAAAAGAATGCCTGGAAGAATTCTATTGTCAAAAATAATCCATTTATATCGTTCATTTGTACGTTTTTGTATGTAATAGTAATCATTATTTACCGGTTTTATTTTCGTTTTTATTTTCAATATTTCAATGGTATATTTCAAGTTTAGATTTGACTTGCTTGCGGTAAAAACCTGGCGAAAATGACGAGTAAAGAAAGGTCAATGTTACGAAATATTCTCGCTTTTTGGTGGGTTGAAATTTTAGGATACGAGATGAGTTGTAAAATAAAGAATACCGTATTTTCTCTAATAGTAGTGCACCCAGAGCATCGCCTAAATCGAGATATCTCGAGCTTGATTGCTTGATATCTCGAGAACCGCTTATCAGAACCTATCGATGTGGGGTCGGAAAATGTAGCTGACAATGAGATCTTGACAAGGATTAGAGTGTTGAGCTTCTGCAAAAGCTTGGAAACAGTAAAATGGTCACCAACTCGGCACGGCGGGAGAAAATACGGTAGTCGGTTTTCCGGCTTTAAGATTAGTTGTAAAATTTCCGATTACCGTATTCTCTCTAATATTAGGGTGGTGCAAAAGAAACTGCCGATTTGACGGTAAATTAAAAAAAAAGATGGCGTTCGATGGTGACATGATCACAATGGAATATCTCGAGCAGATTGGCATGGATTGATTGGCAGATTGGCAGATTGGCAAGATCTCGAGCACATTGACATGGATTGGCCTGAATAACGTCCCTCAGCTTGGCTTCGTTCACGACTTCTGGCCTCGAACCGTGCTCGTAATCTTCCAAAGTCTCGTCTCCCTCTCGGAATCGTCGAAACCAAGTCTGAGACTGACTGAGAGACAAACTGCCATCTCCGAAAGCAGCACAGAGAGAACGATGCGATTCGGCAGCAGACTTTCCAATTTTCAAGTTAAACAGCAATGCTGCTTGTAGCACAAACTTTTGCTCGACTAACGATGATCTAAATAAAAAATATAAGCATTTTAAAATAAAATAAACAACAACCAAAAAATTCAAATGTCAAAATAAATAGAAAACAAATATGCGAACAAAACATAAAAAAAATAATGCCGTTAGCAACGCTCGTTTCTGATAAATGAGAGCTGATACCCATCGGCAGTTTCTTTTACGCCACCCTAATAGTAGTGCACCCTGAGCGTCACCTAAATTCCTCGAAATCTCGAAAAGCGCTTATCAGAACCTATCGATGTGGGGTCGGAAAATGTAGCTGACGATGAGATCTAGTGGGAAATTAGAGTGTTGAGCTTCTGCAAAAGCTTGGAAACCGTAAAATAGTCATCAACTCGGCTCGCCGAGGTGCACTACTATTAGAGAAAATACGGTATATTCTTTAAATATCGATAGAGATATATTAAGTTGGCAATAAATTCTTTGCACAGTTTTGAACTGGAATTTCTTAAAAACGAATCACTAATTCAAGAACACTTTGTTCTATCATTTACAAGTCGACTTCAAGAAATTACTGGACAAAAAAATGAGTGCAGCTTCCGTAAAATATTTGAAACGTTAAAAAATTAGATGGAATTTGCTTTAATCGTAAATCTTCTCTGCTTTAAGTACTTCATTTTAGGTTTTGAATGGAATCCATTACCTATCCATTACCTATCCATTATCTATCCATCACCTATCCATTACCTATCCATTACCTATCCATTACCTATCCATTACCTATCCATTACCTATCCATTACCTATTAACCTATTAAAACTTGTTTAAAAGCTTGACTTAAAAAGTGACCAAGTTACTTTAGCTGAAGTAGTTCTTTTGAAATATAATTAAGTTTATCAAAAAAATTTGGGAAGAATTGATGGCTTGGTTTTTGAGAAATCATTGTGCAAACTTTCTTGCTAATCTACTAGTTAAGTTATATTGTAACTTGTACTGTAAAGCTGTAAAGCTGTAAAGTAAAGTGTAAAATAAAACGGGAAACGGATAAAGTATTGACTGGAGAGCTATTCTTCAAAAGGAAGATATAAAATAAAGCTGATATATTTCAATAGTCAATATTTCATTCAAAAACAACTCTTTCATAGCCATGCCACTTTAGGATCTTTGGAATGTGCAACAATTATGGTTATGTGATCATGTTGAGTGCGGCAGAGGATATCATTCATAAGAAAAATCATGATATTGGAGATTTGTCAACAAATGTCACTTGCATTGTAAGTTGCACTAGGTTATCGGAAATTCAAACGCCCCTTTTCCCATCAGCAATCTGACTTTAAGCTCAAATATCTTGGTGTTGAGCTATTCAATTTAAATCTTCTTGTTATCATCTGATCCGCAAAGTCTTTCTCTATCTCTTCTCTTTTACAAAAACTATTTAAATTGAAAAGCCGAACACCAAGATATTTGAGCTTAATGTTGGATTGCTGAAGTTGAATTGTGAATGACAAAAGAGGTGGTGTCTTTCGATTGTCCCACAATCTGCAGAGTACCTAAAATTCATTGATCCAAGACAACATTTAGCCAGAGATCACATCTCGTGCTTGTCATGGACGAGCTTCTACGGGAGCTGTTCTTTTAGCCGATATCCTTCCATCACTTGTGGTCAAAGCTGTGATCCCATTCTTCATGCACAGAATACCATATGGGTAAGATAATGAAACATAAAAACCGTTTCACCACATCCCAAATGTTTCAGCTTCCGTCATTTCATTGTCGTTGGTCTTCAACTAGCCTCCTATTTAGTGGTCGCTTATGCAACGAGCTTTGAGATGGCGATTTTGGGTGAGGAAAAGCCGTTGAGCATTTCTAGTTAGAATCTTGGTTTAAATTATATATTATAAACTAACCGTAGGTGCTCGATTTCAGGAGTTGGTTTGGCTTCATTTGGATCAGGAATCGGAGAGACTACCTATCTTTCTCTTTCCTCTCATTTCCCACCCTCTACAATCGCCGCCTGGTCATCGGGAACTGGAGGAGCTGGGGTTATTGGTTTGTTTATAAAAGAATTTCAGAGGAAAACGAAGTTTGATGAGTCGTTTCTCTAATTGGTATTTCCAGGCTCATTCTCGTACGCTTTCTTGACCGAACCTCATCTTGGAGGCCTATCACCGAAAAATGCTCTCTTGGTGATGCTGGTAAGTTGTAGTTGAAGAGTTGGATGAAACAAAGTGATCAGTGAAACAAAAATTGTTTGCAGATAATCCCTGTCGCATTCGCTGTAGCCTATTGGATCGTTCTACGATTTCCGACCACCGTTTATTCTCCAAAATGCTCACCAAATTCGTGGATTGTTCCAGCGGTGGGTTTTGGTTGATAAAATCTAAACTTATTACTATTAGTAACTTCATACAACTACTACTCCTTGTTTTTAAATCTTTCTTGCTTTCAGGGCTATGATGGAACCTCAGAGAAAAAGAATGGAGCAAAGGATCCGATCACCGGAGAACCACTTCTAGGTTGGTTGATTTTGGTTTTGATTAGTCTAGATGTGACGTCCATAATTGACTCTATTTAATAACGGATTTTCGTTTTTCAATCTCAGACGAATCTCAGACAATTCATTAATAATATACAATACTTTATGAAGCTTTAGAAACAACAGAAAAAGTCCATCGTGTGCCACAGAGAGTTTTGAGCTTCTCGGAGAAAATCTCATTGATAAAACCGTTATTGAAATTGATGATTCCACTGATTTTCGTTTATTATGGAGAGTACTTGATAAATCAAGGATTGGCAAGTGCTCACTAGTCAGAAATTCACTATTTTCAGCTTTAGACTCAATTAATCTACTTTGATTGTAAAAGAGGATTCAATTTGACGAAGAGTAGTCAATATCGATGGTATCAGGTAGAAATATGCCAAAAGTACTGTATTGTATTAAAAGCACTATAAGAATAGTATTTACATGACACAAAATTCAATAAAAACTAGGTTCTCTACCAAGTCGGTGTCTTCATCTCAAGGTCATCGGTGAAATTCTTAGAGTTGCCGCTTGGTGTCCTCTACTTGTTGCCTATTTTGCAAGTAAGCAATTATTTCGATTTACAAATAAACTAACTAGTCTTTTGAACTTCTATCTGCTAGAGTCTATCAAAATATTAGCTATTAGCTGGATAGACCTGGATAGACCTGGATAGACCTGGATAGAGCTGGGTAATTTCGTTTTAGATGGGCAACGCCGTCTTCTTCTACTTCGAGGCGCGATACGCTTTCTTGCCACACATTTGGATAGCTTTCGCTCTCATTTTAATTGAAGGTCTTTATGGTGGATCGAGTTATGTAAATACGTTCAATTGGGTACACAAAAATGTAAGTATTCTCTAGTATTTTTCAACAAAAATATGAAAGAACAAAAAACATTTATGAATCTATTGGGTTAGTGAATTGAATCATGATATCATGATAGATCAAAGGAGATCAAAACTGGTGATGAGTTGCGGTAATGGGATTGGGGTTCTCTGTACCGCATTCCTCACAGACTTTCTTAAGCTTTAGCTTATCCACTAATACATCTTCTGAATCTTTTTTTCTTTATTCTATACAATTGAAGTTTTTGTACGATAAGGCTCATAGTTTTTTTCTTTTCTTTTCTAAAAGATGAATAATTTGGAAAAGTTACCGTAATTTTCTTTCAGTTTTTGTTTGATCGCAATGAATCGATGATCAAAATGGTGATTTGATTATCAATCGCGAAGCAGTTGAAGCTAGGATTTACCCCATTAAATGGGACAAAAACTGAATGAAAATTATGGTAGTGTTCTAGATTACTTAACTTTTAGTATTGGGTTGGTGAATTGAAAACTGCCGGCTATTGTCATATGTGACAGTTTGAGCACTTTCTTCAAAAGAAACCCATTTTGGTGTCAATGGAAAAGTTGTAGAGAATCAAAAATCAAGCTTATATCCAAATTTTCAGAACGATTCAAAAACTGGTTTTCAAGAAATGCCAAATGTTACGAATTTTCACAAAACTTGGATTTTAAGCGAAACTACTAAGTGTATCTTTTTGGAAATTTGGCTATAAGCCTCATTTTTGATTCTCTACAACTTTTCTATTGACACCAAAATGGGTTTCTTTTGAAGAAAGTGCTCAAATGCTCAAACTGGGACATCTCCAGTCCTCCATTTTTGAGTCTCACACTTGTCTCACACACAAACCAAAATCCTACCACGAAAGAGGAATCCGCAAATTGCCTGTAAAAGGGGCAGAAGTCGTCAATAATAATGGAAATTATTTGGAATCAATTGATGGTTTTACGTTGAATAAATTTTAGTTCAAAGTTCGTCATTTTTCAACTCACCAACCCAATAATAGCAATGATTCTAGATTGCACCAGATGTGAAAGAGTATTCTCTTTCAATCACATCAATGTCCGATTCGTTTGGAATCGTTTGTGCTGCTTTTTCGGGAATTGTGGTGAGTTATAAAGAACAAATGATCCAAATGAGTTTGAAAAACTTTTTTTGCTATCTTTATAGTTCGATTGAGCTGATTTTTGATATTACTTGGATACAAGAGAAAAGAAAACTAATTGAAACTAATTAAGCTAAAGATAAGCTAAGCTAAGCTAAGCTAAAGATGAGCTAAGCTTTCATTTCCATGTAGTGTAAGAATACGAATTTGACTTTAATGTAAAGTCCGTGTCAGTAAAGTCAGTTAATCGGTGACATAAAAAGTCCTTTAGGTGCACAACTTCATTTGCGATCAGCTCACTTAACGTTCATCAATCAAAAAATAGTTTTTTTTTGAATAAATATTTATTTAAAGCTATCGAAGTTTAAAGTTTAATATTTTTATTTTTTATAATACCAATTTTCACATTTTAAACTTTTACAGGGGTGCCTTATTTATGATTGTTGTATCACGTCACTTTTTTATATCACATTCAAAGTTTATTAAGGATCTTTTTGTAGGTTTACAGGGAAAAAAAAGAGGGGGAGTGTGGTAGAGGGTAGAGAGATGTCCACCTAGTCCCCCCCTAGGGGGCCCCCACGTGGTTGGTCCCCCCTTTTTTTTTTAGTCCTTGGGGCGGGGGGCGACGTTCTTTTTTTCCCCTTCTCCCCTCCCCGGGTGGGGGGGGGGTTAAATTTTAAAGCTTTAAAAAGATCAATTAAAGCTTCAGACTTTCAATTAAAGCTTTAAACTGTTCTTTTTCAATGACCAACAACAACAAAGTCTGTACCAAAAAGATTTTCGAAAAAGATAGACGTATTTTTATTGTATTTTTGCAATCAAAGCTATGAATTATTAAGTAAATTATTGTTTTTGCACCTTTCAAATGAATTCTGCTTGACGGAATCGTGAGAACTAATAATTGAACGTTTTCTCTTCCCTCCCCTTCTCTCAGCCTCCCCCTCTCATTTTTCTGTTTTGAACCAAAGAAATTACTTTCCAAATTTGATTAGTTGATGTGGAATTGGCATTTAAGCTTTATCTGAGCTTTATCTAAGCTTTATCTCAGCTTTATCAAGCTTGATCTAAGCTTTATCTAAGCTTTATCAAGCTTGATCTAAGCTTTATCTAAGCTTTATCTAAGCTCTATCTAAGCTCTATCTCAGCTTTATCTAAGCTTTATCTAAGCTTTATCTGAGCTTTATCTAAGCTTTATCTAAGCTTTATCTGAGCTTTATCTAAGCTTTATCTAAGCTTTATCTGAGCTTTAACAAAATTTCCTTATGCTTTACTACCCGATCTTGAACGAAACGTGGAGCCTTTTAACGGCGATTTTCTATGATGGAGTTTTCTTGATGGTAAGCTTCTTGAAATCAATCAATCAATCAATTAGATTATTCAGCTTTATATAATCAAATAGTTAAATATGTGATTAGAAAAGTTTTCGTTGAACAAATATTGTAATATTTGTAAAGTATTTGTAAAGTAGTACTCCAAAAACAGTTTTCAGACAATTTGACTCAAGAAAAGCCCAAATTCAGTGCCTTCATTGATTCTATTTTTGACTTTAGGATTGTATACTGTAGTCAAAAGAGTCAAAAGAGTCAATATTTTAATTTTATAGTCAAAAGAGTTTAATTTTGACATATAATTACTTGTCTAATTAGAAATCACTGCTTTACTGTTAGAAATTAAAAGTTTAGCAATTAATCTACGGTTTTCTTCAAATAGAAGACGTTTCTTATACAATTTTTTATCTTTTTACGCCAATTTGAGCCGTTTTCATGAAAATCTAAGCGCATAAACTCGTTTTGCAAATAAAAGCGAATAAAAAGGAATTGACTGAACAGATTGTTCTAAAAATTTGGCTATGGATCTAACTTTTTATGTTCTATCTTTTATCTATTGACATCAAAATAGGTTTCTTTAGACGAAAGTGTCTAAATCGCTTAATCAGGCGGTTGCCGCAACGGAACAACTAACGAGGGGGGCTTTCTAGCTGGATTTTTTGAGGCCGAGACCATGACGCTGTGGCGCAGTCGGCAGCACGTTTGTCTACAACGCGGACGATCCGGGTTCGACTCACCGTATCGGCATTTTGAATTTTGTTCAAAAAACCAACTGAAAAACTAACGAGGGGGGGGGGCTTTGGAGCTAGATTTTTTGGGGACGCTGTTTTGGGGAGCAATGACGCTGTGGCGCAGTCGACAGCACGTTTGTCTACAATACACACGATCTGGGTTCGACTCGCCGTATTGCCGCCGGACTTTGAATTTTGTTCAAAATAGCTTTTTAAATGAAGTGTTCAAAGACTTATATGACTTATATGAAGTGTTCAAAGACAATATTAGAATTATTTCCAAACATTCAAATCTAATATTATTAATTCCAAACATTCAAATCTAATATTATTAATCCCAAACATTCAAACGGAACCCACTCATTCGTTCAGAAAGATCGCGAGACTTCAAGCATTGCCAAAGCTATCTGTATCACCGAATATTCAATTCATTTGAGCACTTTTCTCATCAATCTGATCTTTATCAAAGCTTTGAAAAAATCCTCAAATTTCCACGCTAATTTCAAAAGGATTTTGTTATTCACGGTGAATTGCCTATCAATTCATTCAATCATTCGCCCACTGCAAGCTCTTTTTCAATTTGGTTTTCTACCAATTAGACGTAAGTTTTTTTTTCTTTCTTTCTAATTTTCAAATTTCTATTCGATTTTCTTTCAGATTCTCTAATCCTTGACATTTTCATGCTTTTTCTGGGATTCACAAGGATTTTTGTGGCATGTATTATCGGGAATACAGTAATTGTGGTGGTTATTGAAAGGTAAAGGTTTAAGAAGAAGAACTTGATCGAAAAGATCAAGGATTGTAGAGGGGGAAAAAAAAAAAAAAAAAAAAAAAAAAAAAAAAAAAAAAAAAAAAAAAAAAAAAAAAAAAAAATATTTTTAAAAAAAAAAAAAAAAATAAAAAAAAAAAAAAAAAAAAAATATTTTTTTTTTTTTTTTTTCCCAAAAAACCCGGGCGGAAAAAAAAAAGAAACAAAAAGAATTTAGAAAAAAAAAAAAAAAAAAGGGGGGGGTTTTTTTTTTTTTTTTTTTTTTAAAAAAAAAAAAAAATTTTTTTTTTTTTTTTTTTTTTGGAATTTTGGGGGGGGTTGGGGTTTGTGGTGTTTGTGTTTGGTTTTGGTTGTTTTGGTGTTGGTGGTGGTGGGGTGTGGGGGTTTGGGGGGGAAGAACTTGTCAATTTAAAGCTGAGCGAACACTGAGCGTAAATATTATTTGCTTAATTAAATGAATTGCTGAAATCTTAGAATGCTGGCCACTTATTACATCAAAAACTACGAGCAAATGAGTCGTTTCCATATTTCTCGATGGTTGATAATTGGCACTTCACTCTCATCACTCAATATTTCGATTATCGGTGTTTTCGGTAGAAAAATTTGAACTCTTATGCATAATCGGGACCCTAAAATAAGACAGATTTTCTTCTTTTCTCAGAAACTTTGACATTTTACTCATAGATATTTTCGAAAATGATATTAGCAGGTGATTTGTGGGAAAGTTTGTTCGTACATTTCTTGGAATGCCTCTGATTTTATATGGCTTCTGATAAATGAGAAAAGTGATCAGTTCTGAGAAATTGGGAAAAGGAATTATTGTAAGTTAATTCGCAGAACACAAGCTTGTTTATGTTAAAGATACTGAAGAAGTTATTTGAATAGATTAAGTTAAAGATTGAGTTAAAGATATTCAGTTAAAGATAAGGTTAAAGATAAAGTTAAAGCTTCAGTTTCAGAATAAGGATAGAATATTCAACTAAAACTAGTCTCTGCTCTATCTAATATATATAAGAGAGCTCTGTATGAGCAATTTCAGTTAAAGATTGAGTTAAAGATTGAGTTAAAGATATTCAGTTAAAGATTGAGTTAAAGATTGAGTTAAAGATATTCAGTTAAAGATTGAGTTAAAGATTGAGTTAAAGATATTCAGTTAAAGATTGAGTTAAAGATTCGGCTAAAGATTCAGTTAAAGAATCAGTCAAAGATAAAGTTAAAGATAAAGTTAAAGATAAAGTTAAAGATAAAGTTAAAGATAAAGTTAAAGATAAAGTTAAAGATAAAGTTAAAGATAAAGTTAAAGATAAAGTTAAAGATAAAGTTAAAGATAAGGTTAAAGATTCAATTAAAGATTAAAGATACTTATCTCAATAAAGAATGCCAGAAAGTGAAACTGACAATACTTACCGTAAATACTGTAATAGTACCCCACCCCCCTCGTACAATCGCGTAGTCGCAAAAGTTTTTTTAGTATTTCATTTTTTCAAAGCGCCCGTACTTTCAAAAAATGCGTCTTTAGTATCAAAAAATAGCTGAAATTCAGGGCTATTTTTTGATATTTAAACGCACATTGTAGCTTAAACCAGTCTCGAGAAAAACTCGTTCAAAGCTAGACTACACAACACTCCGCACCGTCATTATGGGGGTGGGGTACTATTACAGTATTTACGATCCATATCAAGAGATACTCATCGTCATTATACAACTGTTTCAGCAAGTGCTCAACTTCGATTTGAAATTGCTTGCCTTTGCGTCCCGTTTTATCTAGTGATGATTGCCGGTTTTCTATTTGTAAGTAAAAGTAATACTTGTAATAACTTTAACATATTCTTAGGGTTTTTATCATTTTACATCAGCAAACTCGAAAGTAATGGAGCGCATTGAAAAGCTGACAATCGAGAGTGGAGGATACAATTTAGCGACAAGATATCAATTAGAGGAAAATCTCAGATCGTTGAAGGTAATAAAAGTTCGGGGGAAAAAAGAATCGATTGAAGGAGCTCATTTTTTTCATAACTGAGCAAGCAGCAAGCAAGCCATCAAACGTAAACATGGCTGTAACTTTGTCAAGCTTTGTCAACTCCATTTTCAGCTCCTTCGCAGTTTCGTCACCTGGGGAGCCTTTGCGGATGTGGTGATGAATTTGTGGATCTGTTACGCACTCGTGTTTTTCGATGAGCGGCAAATTGGTGATCAGATTTTGATGGCAATTTTTGAGCTGATAATTGCCAGGTAAGAAAATGATGTCTCATTTTTTTCTTCAATTCCTTTAAGTTGTTTATTCGCTTTCACTCCGATTTGTTTATTTTCGGTGCCCGATTGGAGGAGACTCTTCATAATGGTGATATGGAGGTGAGTTCAGAAGTTCTTCTTCGTATAAAATTGTTATACAGTATGAAATTCATTGAATAAGGATAGAATAATCAACTAAAACTAGTTTCTACTCTATCTAATATATATAAGAGAGCAATGTCTGTTTGTCCGTCTGTCTGTCTTGTCTGTCCGTCTGTCCGTCTGTCCGTCTGTCCATCTGTCTGTCTGTACAGGCAATTTCTTGTCTTTGACCAATAAAGCTAAAACTTCTTTCGAAAACCTTAGAATATATAGTGGTTGTGCCATTAAAAATCAAAAATTAAAAGTTGAGTGGCACCAGCGGGAGTCGAACCTGGAAACCCGGAGACCCCTGGACCGTGCCGTAGATAAGCGCGTTCCCGACTGCGCCGCCAAGACGCAAAGGCTGAGACAGAAAAACCCGGTGTCAAGCTGGTTGTATTATAAAATTGCTTTCCAGAAGTGAACCGATTCGACCACTTGAATGCTCAATCTCCATTGTTGACAGGGCACAAGAAAGAGATTCATATTTCGCATATTACATGAAATCTTGGTAGAATAATAAATTCATCTTCTCTTTAGGTTCATTTCAAGTCAGAAAATTTTCTGCAGAATAAACTTTGAACTTCTTCTTTGCTAGCCCGAAGATGAGCACCACTTTCGAGCGAATTGTTTCATTGAAAGTCAAGTAGATTACGGCTGGCATACCTAAAAGGTACTATTGTACTGGATTTTAAAAAAAAATTTACTTAAATTCAGATATATCGTATTTTCTCTAATAGTAGTGCACCCTAAGGGTCGCCTAAATTGCTTGAAATCTTGAAAAGCGGTTATCAGAACCTATCGATGTGGGGTCGGAAAATGTAGCTGACAATGAGATCTAGCGGGGGATTTAAGTGTTGAGCTTCTGCAAAAGCTTGGAAACCGTAAATAGTCATCAACTCGGCGCACTACTATTAGAGGAAATACGGTACCTGAATTCTCCCGTTTACAGCTTATTTAATGTCACGGAAAAAAGGGGTGCTGTATTTTCTCTAATAGTAGTGCACCCAAAGCTTCGCCTAAATTCCTCGAAATCTCGAGAACCGCTTATCAGAACCTATCGATGTGGGGTCGGAAAATGTAGATGACGATGAGATCTAGTGGGGGATTTAAGTGTTGAGCTTCTGCAAAAGCTTGGAGACTGTAAAATAGGCATTAACTCGGCTCGCCGCGTTGCACTACTATTAGAGAATACGGTAATTTATTATCAATTTCTTACTGTGCATCATAAACCACGAGAAATCCCCGATATGCATCAAAATTGGCATCCAAGAATTGTTTGGGAGAAAGCCCAGTATAGCCCAAATTGTTGTTGAAATGAAAGTAAAGAAACAAACGAGAATCGCTTGTAAAAGGATCTAGAAACAGTTGATGATTGAAAAATTGAAAAATTGAAAACTAATTGAAAACTAATTGAAAAACCAATTGAAAAAGCAATTGAAAAACTGAGTGAAAAACCGATTGAAAAACCTTTTTCTTATATGAAACCATCTTCAAATTGTATGTTTTCTCCTTTCTCCATTGGAAGAAATAAATGAGAGTACAAGAAATGGCCAAAAATGAAGCGATAAAGATGTTGAAAATGTTTTGTGATGTAACATCGTACTGAAAAAGAATCGAGTTTTTCAAGATGGACCAGTCAATGCTTCTGATTAGTCAATGCTTCTGATCAGTCAAGGCTTGTGATCAGTCAATGCTTCTGATCAGTCAATGCTTGTGATCAGAATGCTTGTGATCAGTCAATCCTTCTGATCAGTCAATGCTTTTGATCAGTCAATCCTTCTGTACAGTCAATCCTTCTGATCCGTCAATCCTTCTGATCAGCCAATCCTTCTGATCAGTCAATCCTTCTGATCAGTCAAACTCACCTCATGATTCAAATTCCCGGCAATCAGTGGCTGAAAGATCCACGCACCATAGCCAGCATTGAAAATAACTGGATGTTGAAAAAGAAGAAAGCAAAATCCGATTGAAATTGAGAGAAGAATCAAAAAAACGTTCGATTTCCCTGCAAAAAAAATGATTCAAAGTTTAAATTATAGCTTACTTTAAACAAAAATCCCTTCACTGGACTCCCGGCAATATCCAGTAAACGATTGAACATTAAAAGGGCAGAAAGTAGACAACTTGTGTTGAATAGAACTAAATTTTGAAGCTAAGAAGTTGACAAGAAGTTGACCAACAAGTAGTCACACCGCCAACACAATAGATCAAGACGGGAAAATCGCAAAATGTTGCTCCAACAGCGACAAAATATCCGGAAAGATCGGCACAAAAGAAGAGATTAAGTAGATCGACAATTCCTAGAAAATTTCAAGATAAGAATCTTGAATATTTTGTTTTGTTTTTTGAAAGAACACTGACCTAATGCAAACATCAGCTTGAAGGCGCAAAATTTGAGATACTCCTTCTGGCCGATTACTGATAAAGAAACAATGTAACCTACCTAAAAGACTAGGATTGTTTAGACAGAATTGAAATGTTACTTAAATCAAAAGGGTAGATTTAAAAGGCTTTTTGAAGGATTTGAAGGATTCTTTCAATTGAAAACAGATTTAAATAGGTGAGCGCGAAGACAGTTTCCCTCCCGCGCACTACAATGCTTCTTTGAAGAGCTAAGTGGCTCTGTTCAGGATGGTTTAGGTGTAGAAATGCTTTTAGAGTTTCAGCTTTAAAACAATATATAATAAGTCCGATTTCGATCTAGGTTTTAGCTGAAAAGTCGAGCGTCTTTTGTAAAAGTGTGAGGACTTTTTGAGCACCCTGTAAAACCTGAGCCACAGCTCCAAGAGTGATCCACAGAATCCCAAGTGGCACATTCCCTTCGTGAACTCCATTTGACAAGCCAGGATTATTTGAACACAGGTTTAAATAGGTGAGCGCGAAGACAGTTTCCCTCCCGCGCACTACAATGCTTCTTTGAAGAGCTAACTGGCTCTGTTCAGGATGGTTTAGGTGTAGAAATGCTCTCCAGAGCTTCAGCTTCAACATACTATATAATAAGTCCAATTTCGATCTAGGTTTTAGCTGAAAAGTCGAGCTTCTTTTGTAAAAGTGTGAGGACTTTTTGAGCACCCTGTAAAACCTGAGCCACAGCTCCAAGAGTGATCCACAGAATCCCAAGTGGCACATTCCCTTTGTGAACTCCATTTGACAAGCCAAGATTATTTCTGAAACTCTGAGTACTCTTGGAATTCTTAAAATGACAAATTTTACTTAAAAACTCAACAAACCTGCAAGAATATTTCGGATTATCTTCCAAGCTATTATAATACCAAAAAGTGTTCATTTAATAAAACAGAAAACAGAAAAATGGCCTTCAAACAATGAATGACATTTAGAAACTAATAATAAACTAATAAACTTTAAAGTTTGTATTTTTAGTTTCTAGTTTTAATAGTAAAAACGAGATTTGCAATTTAATATTGAGAAGTTTTTTTGTTCTTTTTATTCTCGGCGATCTTATGCAATTTGTCGGCGTCGTAAAAGGGTTTCAGGTGTTGGAAAACGATTATAATCACTTGAAATCAAAATCTTATGCAATTTGTCGGCGCCGTAAAGCGTTTCAAGTGGCGAAAAACGATTATAATCACTTGAAATCAGAAAGTATCAAAATAAACTCAAGATTCTAAGAATGAATCTTTAACAAGATCTATATAGTTTTAGATTTTACCATTCCTTAAGCCGCAAAGCTTTTTCGTTTTCAAAACAATCAATACCTTTTTTTGAGTCATCAAGCTAGTCCTCTTGACTGTTTAATGACTCTTTTCACATTAAACCATGACTTCTTGCTTTGTTGATAATGAAGTTTATGAAAATTCAATGACATTCAATGAGAATTCCCAATTACAAACATTTATTTATTGTTAGAAACATGATTTTTTTTTGTTCTTTATTGCTTTCCTTGTGCAATACACACGCGTCTTGAACGAGTGAAAGCCGAGAAATTTCAACACTTCAAGACGAATGGTTTCATTGAAAAATAAATAGATTAATGCAGGTGTACCTAAAATAGATTTTACTTGTTATAAGATGCAAAGTTTATTTAAAGAAATGTATTGGGTTGGTGAATTGAAAACTGCCGGACTTTGAACTAAAATTTATTCAACATAAAACCATGAATTCATTGGAAATAATTTCCATTATTATTGACGACTTCTGCCCATTTTACAGGCAATTTGCGAATCCTCTTTCGTAGTAGGATTTTGGTTTGTGTGTGAGACAAGTGTGAGACTCAAAAATGGAGGACTGGAGATGTCCCAGTTTGAGCATTTGAGCACTTTCTTCAAAAGAAACCCATTTTGGTGTCAATGGAAAAGTTGTAGAGAATCAAAAATTAGGTTTATAGCCAAATTTCCAAAAAGATACACTTAGTAGTTTCGCTTAAAATGCAAGTTTTGTGAAAATTCGTAAATTTGGCATCTCTTGAAAACCAGTTTTTGAATCGTTCTGAAAATTTGGCTATAAGCTTGATTTTTGATTCTCTACAACTTTTCCATTGACACCAAAGTGGGTTTCTTTTGAAGAAAGTGCTCAAACTGTCACATATGACAATAGCCGGCAGTTTTCAATTCACCAACCCAATCGATTAATGCAGGTGTACCTAAAATAGATTTTACTTATTATAAGATGCAAAGTTTATTTAAAGAAATGTAATCCATATGCATGAAATAACAAGGAAAAGAGAAACAAAGCGAAAATACCTTTTCCATCCTTTTTCCTGATTCTTTTCTGACATTGTTGATTTTATAAAAAACAAATGTTTAAAATGTTTTCTATTTTTTGAAAATTAAAGTCTTTTAGCTTTTTAATAGCTAATGGATTTAAATTTTGTTGACTTTAAATGCTTTAATTTTTGCTAAAATCAAAACCAAGATTGATGAAATGTAGATGAGTAGTTCATTTAAAGTTTCTCACTATGCATCATAAACCAGCAGAAATGTCCAACGTGCATCATTAACATTAAATAAGTTGAATTATTGAAAATACTGAGAGTCGTCCAGATCGTTGCTACAGAAATGGAAAGACACCAAACGAGAATCGCTTGTTGGAGGACCTGGAAATTTGTTCTAATGGTGAAAACTTAGCATTTAACTCTAAACAAATAAAATTTTTTTTATGCGATTTTGATTCTTAATGCAATTTTCTTTTTGGTCTAACTTTTGTCGTATAAATTCTTTTACCTGTTTATTATTAGGTTGATGCATAAGTGTTTTCGTTTTCTTCGTACTTCTGTTAAAAAGTAACAAATTCACCAATTAATCTATAGTTTGCTCTATAAAAAAAGTGTTTTTTTGTTCAATTTGCATCTTTTTAAATGAATTTCGGTTCACTTTGAAGCAAATTCGAGAGTGAAAAACGCCTTTTTCGTAAAAATCTATAAAAAACTCTACGGAAAAATTGGCTGAATGAATTTCTCTGAAATTTTGGCGAAATATCAAACGTTTTTTTTCTCTATCTTTTATCTATTGACACGAAGATAGGTTTTCTTTAGCTAAGGTGTCTAAACCGCATCATCGAGTTAGCCCTTTTTGACTACCCGACTTCATACTCTCAAGAAAATCCAGGCATCAAATATTTTTAAACCCGTTTTAATGTTATTTTGCAGAAAAATAATTGGTTTTTCTAATGAAATCAACCGTAGTTTAATTCGTGCATTTGTTGGCTTGAAACGGCAGACGAAAAGGAACAAAAACACTTATGCATCAACCTAATAGGTTTATTCATGGTTTATTAACGTACTCGCCCCTCCACTGCAGTATTCAAGACAAAGCTGCCTAAAGCTTAAGATTTTATCTAGGCATACTGTAACAATTCTACAGTAGAACCCGACAATTACTCCTTTAAAATAATGTTTAGATTCACTGCGGTGGCTGTGAACACGACACACGGGACGACGATCGCTTTCGTGGGCACTGATGACGGACGATTGATTAAAGTGAGTTTAAAATGTAAATTATTTTAAGTTAAATGTTAGCTAGAGCTTGTCTAGAGTACAAATAAGCTTTTACTTTTATGAATTTACTTTACTTTGGCTAGATCGTACTGTAAGGTTGATTAGGAAAGCTGGTTTGGAGCTTTGGACTAGATTTTAGTATTGGATTGGATTGGCAGACGAAAAGGAACAAAAACACTTATGCATCAACCTATTATATAAAATTCTTTTACCTGTTTCTTATACGAAATCATTTTCAACCCATAAATTTTCTCCTTCCTCCATTGAAGCAAATAAATTAAAATTGAGCAAATCCCCAATGATAGACTGACGTTTACGTTACTCAATGTTTGCGTTTTCACATTGTACTGTAAAAGTTTTGAGATTATCTCTGGGAATAACTTGAGCTTGTTTACCTTTTGATTCATATTTCCCGGGATCATTGGATTAAAAACCCAACTACCAAAATCAGCATTGAAAAGGCCTGGAGGCTCAAAAATAAGGAAATAAGTGCCGATCAAGAGAGCGATTAAGATAAAAATCAACGTTCGTTTACCCTAAAAGTCTGTTTTATTCTTTAGCATTTTGAAAGTCGAAAAACTTTATAGAAAAAGCTTTTCAGTGAACTGTCAGCTACATCGAGGAGACGATTGATTAACAAAAATAAAGATAAATATCCAGAAGCATTGTAGAAAACTAAAAGTATGTTGAAAAATCGAGTGTGCTGAAGGATGAACGTTTGCAAAGTAAAAAGTACAATTTTTTTTGTGATTTATACTTGATCTAGAAAGCTAGAAAGCTGACTAGCTAGAACAAAGCTAGTCAGCTAGAACAAAGCTAGTCAGCTAGAACAAAGCTAGTCAGCTAGAACAAAGCTAGTCAGCTAGAACAAAGCTGACTAGCTAGAACAAAGCTGACTAGCTAGAACAAGGCTGACTAGCTAGAACAAAGCTGACTAGCTAGAACAAAGCTGACTAGCTAGAACAAAGCTGACAGCAGAACAAGGCTGACTAGCTAGAACAAAGCTGACTAGCTAGAACAAAGCTGACTAGCTAGAACAAAGCTGACTAGCTAGAACAAAGCTGACTAGCTAGAACAAGGCTGACTAGCTAGAACAAAGCTGACTAGCTAGAACAAAGCTGACTAGCTAGAACAAGGCTGACTAGCTAGAACAAAGCTGACTAGCTAGAACAAAGCTGACTAGCTAGAACAAGGCTGACTAGCTAGAACAAAGCTGACTAGCTAGAACAAAGCTGACTAGCTAGAACAAAGCTAGTCAGCTAGTTAGTGCTTTCATTTAAACTCACAGCATCCAACACATCCAAGACAGTAAATAAGTGTCGGATACCGACAAAACACAGCTCCAATAGCGAAAAAATAACCGGTAAAATGAGCGCAAACAAAAAGATCAAAAAGATCAAGAATACCTGAAGGCTTTGAATAAGCATTGCCTTTCTTTTCTTACCCAAAGCAAACATCATTTTATAGGCGGCATATTGAAGAAGATCTTTACGACCGATTACAATCAAACAAATTGTATAGATTGTCTAAATAAATGAAAATAGGTAACAGATTTGCAAGATGTGGCGAATAGCCACTAAAAAGTTGCCTAACTTTGACAGCTTAAAAATTGGAAAAGTATTGCGGAAATTCGTACAGCTTCATTCTGTTTCGCGCCCCAAATCATTTATTGTTTTTAGCTTGTTAGCTGAAAATCTTGTGTTAAAGCCTATATAAGGCAACTGTTGTTCATTTGATTTTCGTTTTTTTCTTTTTCTTTTTTCCTTTCATCATGTGAAAGTTGTGCTCTAATTATGATGAAATTGTTTCTGTTTTTTATCGCCGCTTTTAATTCAATTGTCGATTTTCTGTGAAAATTGCTCAAGTGAGAGCCCAAAAACTTCCGAGTCAGTCAGCTATTCAATAAAGTTTCTTAGTTCAATTGAGATCAGATATCTCGAAACAAGAAATAACTTGTGAAGAGTGAAGAGTACCAAAAACACAAAGAATATTTCTTTACACAAGATACCGTATTCTCTCTAATAGTAGTGCGCAAGTTCACGAAGGGAATGTGCCACTTGGGATTCTGTGGATCACTCTTGGAGCTGTGGCTCAGGTTTTACAGGGTGCTCAAAAAGTCCTCACACTTTTTACAAAAGAAGCTCGACTTTTCAACTAAAATCCAGATCGAAATTCGATTTACTATACCGTATTCTCTCTAATAGTAGTGCGCACTACTATTTTTTGAACCCCCTCCTGGACCGGAATACTATTAGAGAGTGCACTACTATTAAAGAGTTTTATCATTTACCAAAGTAAGACAGATATAAGATTTGTTCCAAAAATTCTTGCAACTCTTTCACGTACTCCTTTGGCTCCTTTCGACATACAGTTGTGGGCCGGCGAGTTGACAATTTGTGTCTTGACAAACAACAAAAAGATGTTTTTGCCCTTTGCACAATAATTTTAGATTTTTTGCTAACTTTTTCATGTGAAGAATAGTTAATAAATGAATAAAAAAAGCCTCACTTTTGATTGCTTGAATAGCTTTAGAATGTCACATAAACATAAAATGACAAAAAGGTTTAGATGAAAAAGAAGCAAACAGAAATTCAAATTTTCGTGGGTGCACTACTATTTTTTCAACCCCCTCTCGGGCCGCAATACTATTAGAGAGTGCACTACTATTAAAGAGTGCACTATTATTAGAGAGAATACGGTATTTAAATATCAAAGTCTTCAATATTTCTCAAAAACTTGAAAACCTGAATAACAAGTCCGATAAAGACGTAAAGAAGGCCCATTGGAAGATTGGCTTTTGAGTTCTCTTCATCGATTCCGGAATAATTTCTGAAAGAAGTATGACAAAATTTAAAGTGTTAAAATAAGCATTTTTTAAAGCACTTTTTAAAGCACTTTAAATATTATGCACTTTTAAATTAAAATTAAAATTTAGATATTAAACAAAAGCAAAAACCCAAACCCGCAAGCGTATTTTGAATTCATTTCAAGTGGTCCATCGATCCAGAAAGTTTCCATAAGATCAACTAATTCTTTTGAAAATAAAACTTAATAAGATAAGTTAAATAAAATCAAATAATAACAATAAAAAGTATCAAAACAATCGAATTTTATTAAAATCTAATTAAAAATCTATGCTTTTTTTTATTTGAAACTAGCGGCTAGCCGATGGTAATTGAATCACTAGCGGCTGAAAATCACGAGCGGCTGCGACATATAAATACTTTATTTAGAAAGAAATAAAGTGCAAAAACGACATGAAAAATGTAGCAGAGAAAGTCACTTAAAAGGGCACAAAGTCACTTAAAAGATCACAAAGTCACTTAAAATGCAACGAAGTAGCCCTTTTAAAATCAGACACGGTGGAGATCAAACACAACTCGTCGGGAAGGGCATTCCAAACTTTAGTCACACTTTTAAATTAAAATATTAAGCAAAAGCAAAAACCCGAACCCGCAAGCGTATTTTGAATTTAGTTCAAGTGGTTCATCGATCCAGAAAGTTTCAAAATAAGATCAACTAATTCTTTTGAAAATAAAACTTAATAAGATAAGTTAAATAAAATCAAATAATAACAATAAAAAGTATCAAAACAATCGAATTTTATTAAAATCTAATTAAAAATCTATGCTTTTTTTATTTGAAATGATGAACGAAGGCCTTATAAATTTCTCCTAAAACTTTTATCAAATTTTTCGATTTTTAAACTAAACGATTTGTTCTTAATAAATTTATCATGAAATTATTGTTTAGATTTATATTTTTCTTTTGTAACTATTACATAGAATTCATTTCTTTCTTTGTTTTTCTTTTTTGCTCATTGGCGAAAGATCGACGAAGGTAATAATAATACTTTATTCAAACGATAAAGTGAAAGAAATCATAGAGAAATGCACAGTGATACTTAATCATACAATACATACTGAAATCAATAAGCCAATTACTTACGGCAAAGAGCCACTAGATCTAAAGCATCGATACGTTTCTTGAATATGAAAAGCGACTGAATTTCTCGTATGTCGTTTGGGAGCAAGTTCCATAATCTAGCGGCTCTAACGGGAAATGAATTTGATAAAGAGGCATTGGAAGCGAAGGGAATTTGCAAAAGGAATGAGCCACTTCTGGGCCCTGACCGCGGTTTAAATTTGAAAAAGTCTATAAACAAAGGGCTAATCTGTTTACAACGGAGGATTTTGAAAGTTTCGACTAAATCAATGACAAAGCGACGATGCTGTAAAGTTTTTAGTTTTTAGTAATGAATGAAAGCTCTCAAGGGAAAATGAAGAATTTATTTTCACAAAAATAAATGTAGATTTCAAGAAATTAATCAAATAGTCACAAGGTAATCACAAAAATCTTTGGCCTACACAATTTCTACAAAAAAAATGTCATTCTTAACACGTAATTTCTTACTCACAATCAGAATCGATTTTTTTGCTTGGTTACTCAAGAGACTAAGGGACACAGGTAAAACAGTATAATCAAATACAAGAAAAAAAGGTCAAAACATAGACTAGAAGTAGAAATACAAAATATAAGAGCTAAAATTTATGTACAATGTATTACCGTAAATACTGTAATAGTACCCCACCCCCCTCGTACAGTCGCGTAGTCGCAAAGATTTTTTCGTATTTCATTTTTTTCAAAGCGCTCGTACTTTCAAAAATGCGTCTTTGGTATCAAAAAATAGCTGAAATTCGGGCCTATTTTTTGATACGTAAGCGCGGATTGTAGCATAAACCAGCGTCGAGAAAAACTCGTTCAAAGCTAGACTACGCAACACTGCGCACCGTCATTATCGGGGTGGGGTACTATTACAGTATTTACGGTAGGTTGAATACTGTCTTTCACCAAATCCATTTTCTAATAGTTGATACTAAACCAATGCATAGGAAATGGCTAAATGTTTCCAGATTTTCCCAATCAATCATATTTGATTCAAAAGAGTTCTTTTATCATTTGTTGCTAGTGAAAAGTTAATGTTAATTATGTTAGTGAGTCAGTTAAGCAGCTTTTTGATCAAAGATTCCAGCTGTCGAACAAACTATTTCAAGCAATCATCATTTTCATGGACGTTTTCAATTCATTTCATTCAATTCATTCAATCAATTCATTTCATTCAATTCATTTAATTCATTCAACTCATTTAATTCATTCAATTCATTTAATTAATTCATTTCATTCAATTCATTCAATCAATTCAATTCATTCAATTAATTCAATTCATTTAATTAATTCAATCAATTCAATCAATTCATTTCATTCAATCAACGCAATTCATTCAATTCATTAGGAAATCTCAGGCTTTATAGCCTCAAATTATTTTCAAAAACTCGAAAAATATTGACAAATATTCACTGAAATCTTTGAATAAAAGCATGCTGATTAAAAAATATCAAAGTAATAGAAATTTGGCTCAAAAGAACATCAAAGTTGACTTGATCGAAAAGTTTTTCCATCATTTAAAGTCAAATTGCTGTTACTAGCTAAAGATTCTAATTTTGTCATTCTAATCAAAACAGAAATTAGATAGAGATCTAGAGAAATTTACATGGATTAGCCATTTCATAAGCATTCAACAAAAAATGATCCATATCACATCTCTCATTTTCAGATACTGAAAACACTACTTTGACAAAATCGATAATTCAGTAGGGTCACTGAACTGATTACCCAATTTCCTCCTTTACAACGAGAGTTTTCCCACTTCCAATGTCGGCACTTCAAGTTGTTTTATGTGATGAATCTCGGATTTTTCCATTTCACTTTTTCTCACTCGTTCCCCCGTTCCCGTGTTGTAAACTTTCGGTGTTCTTGACGCTAATCCAACAATTTTGAAGACCCTTGTTCGGATCATTTCGTTGAAAGACAAGTACACCAAAGCCGGAGTGCCTAAAAATACGATCAAGCTCGTTCTTCGATCGTTCTTTTAAGAATATTAAGAACGAATCGTTTCCTAAGAGAAAAACTATTTTCGTCTTATTCCATTCGTTCTCAATTCCCAGATGGACCACAAAAAAAAAGACTCATTATAGTTGTGAAAGTGGAAATCTTCTTAAAATTACTGTGCATGAGAATCCATGAAATGTGGCCAATATGCATTAACGTCATCATAAAGGGCCCTTGTGGGATGAAGCCCAAAATGCACCAAATCAGAGCTGTCGTGTAAGTGAAGACACAGACGAGGATCGCTTGTTGAAGAACCTGAAGAAGAGTTAGATTCCTATTGACGGAAAGGAAAGAACTGGCGCGAAAGCGGTGCTACCGTACGCCGCATAAAAATGCCCCTTTTGTCATTCTTTTCATTTTCTACATTCGTGGATGTTGTCCGGCTTTTATGCATAATTTTTCTCCTTCCTTCTATATCTATCCTCCTTTTTATAGCGCGTTTTAAAGTTATCTATCTCCCCAAATTCCCATTAGATTCTTCCACTTGTTTCCTGTTTAAATTTCGAATGATTTTTTTCGTTTCTCTTGGCTCCCTTCTACTTCATTGTCTTCAAATCTTTACGTGCTGTATAAACGTATAAACTTAACCAGTTGTTAGCTGTTGTTGTTAAGCTAGTTATTGTTAAAACTAGTTATTGTTAAAACTAGTTATTGTTAAAACTAGTTATTGTTAAAACTAGTTATTGTTAACCTAACCAATTCTCTTTCAACTAAGACGCACAAACGCAATTAAAATCAAACGGCGTGATCTTCTTGTGTCTAATTATTTTAGAAAAAAAAAATGATGATTAAAAAGATATTGGATAAGGTTAAAGATTATGATATTTTCAATCAAAATCAAATTCCTCACCTTTTTCTTGTAGGAAACCATTTTCAATCGATAGATTTTCTCCTTTCGCCACTGTAAGATATAAATCAAAATGCAACAGATCGAGAGTGATGAGGTCACAATAATATTGCATGCATTTTGAGTTCTCACCAAGTACTGAAACAATTTGTTTTTTTGAGAATTAAAACATTTCAGCAAACCTCATGATTGATATTTCCGGGAATCATCGGGTGAAAGATCCACGTTCCATAATCGGCATTGAAAATAACAGGATGCTCGAAAAAATAGAAACGAGAACCGATCAGAAACGGGATTGCGATGAAGATCAGCGTTCTTTTCCCCTAAATTTACATTGAAACTAATCTGACTAATGGTTATTCAGTTTACTTAACTAAATATCTATAAACTACAGTACCTTAAAGAAGAAATCCCTCATTCCAGACCCAGCCACGTCAAGTAAGCGATTGAAAATGAGAAACACCGACAAGAAGCATGAAACATTGTAGAAACCTGAAAGTTTTCCATGAATTATAGAATTTAGAAGTACTGAAATCTTTCTAGAATTTTGAAATACTATGTGCAAATGCTCCGAGACAAAAGATGAGTCTTGGAAGATCGCAGAAAGCCGTGCCGACAGCAGTGAAATAACCGGTGAACTGACTGTTGATCGTCATCTCCATCATGTCTGTGCAGCCTGAAAGCGACTGGGAAATTGCTTCTGCTTATTGCATATGCTTATTGCTGATGCTTATTGCTTATGCTTATTGCTTATGCTTATTGCTTATGCTTATTGTTGATGCTTATTGCTTATCCTTATTGCTTATCCTTATTGTTGATGCTTATTGCTTATGCTTATTGCTTATGCTCAGGTTTACTATTCCAATCTTTACCTTACTCTAAAACAAACACCCAGTTCTGCACCTTGACGATTCACTTACCTAATGTAAACATCATTTTGTAAGCGGCGAATCGAAGATGTTCTTTTCTTCCGATGACCGTCAATGAGATTAAATAGGCAAGCTAAACATTTGTTTGGAACAATTTTGGAATATGAAAGTGAATGGAAAAGAAGGGAATTACGAGTACTATTAAGTACTCGTAATTCCCAGTTTATCCTTCTACCAGCGATAAAATAATAAGCCTAACGACGAGCCTAACTACCATGTCAGAGCTTAACCGCCATGGTGCAGTCAGAAGCGCGCTTCTCTACCATCCACAGGATTCGGGTTCGACTCCCCGTAGTCCCACTCTGTTTGTATTGATTTTAGATGAACAACTATATTATATTCTAAGACTTTAAAAAGTTTCAGACCAAACCTGAACCATTGTCCCCATCGTAAAGTAGAACATACCAAGCAGGACATTCGGCTTTGGTCGATGCGTTTCAGCGGTTGAAGCATTTCTAAATGATTTCTTTTTAAAAAAGAGCAATCATTGTGCCAGAAAGTGTGAGTTTACATGGGAGTTGATTTAAAGAACATCTAGTTCAAGTTCAAACCTGCACGAGTAAAGGGGATTATTATCAAGACCACCATACACCCAAAAAGTCTCCATTGATTACAAATTTCAATGTCGATGAATGGTGAATAGGTGACAAATAAATAAAAGGAAAAAAAATGGGTAAAGATCAACTTTTTTTCAATTCCCTGAGGAATTTCTGTCAATTATAGGTGTCATTAGTGAGATTTTTTTAAAGAAAAGATAATCAAGTGCCGGCATACCTGAGATTTTTCAAAAAAAGAACAAACTTCACACTGTATTTAGACGAAATCTTTCCGAGAAAAGTACAAGAAATGGCAAAATTATGTATAAAATGATCCCAACGGAATTCGAAACGAATTTTAAGACTAAAACGATTCAGGTCATATGTTTACTGATTATCAAAAATCTTACTGTGCATCAAAATCCACGAGATATGCCTGATGCAGATGCATGAGATACATCTTGAATGGAACTTGTAGAATAAAGCATAGCACACCCAAGATGAAAGCCGTTGTATAAGTGAAAAGAAAGACGAGGATCGCTTGTTGAAGAATCTGGAAGAGAGTACAGAATTATGGGAACTCAAGTTCTTCAACCTAACTCAGTTCTCAATGCCTCAAAGCAAATAATTCTGAATTATTTGCTTTAGGAAAAATATTATTGGATAAAGGTACTAGTTTCTTAAAAGTTCTGAGAATTATTTAAAGTGTCCGCGTCGGGAATTCGATTATTTTGACTCAACAATGCTATCCTCTTCAGTTCATCTTTCATAAAAACAAATTTTTTTTCTATTAGGTTGATGCATAAGTGTTTTTGTTCCTTTTCGTCTGCCGTTTCAAGCCAACAAATGCACGAATTAAACTACGGTTGATTTCATTAGAAAAACTAATTATTTTTCTGCAAAATAACATTAAAACGGGTTTAAAAATATTTGATGCCTGGATTTTCTTGAGAGTATGAAGTCGGGTAGTCAAAAAGGGCTAACTCGATGATGCGGTTTAGACACCTTAGCTAAAGAAAACCTATCTTCGTGTCAATAGATAAAAGATAGAGAAAAAAAACGTTTGATATTTCGCCAAAATTTCAGAGAAATTCATTCAGCCAATTTTTCCGTAGAGTTTTTTATAGATTTTTACGAAAAAGGCGTTTTTCACTCTCGAATTTGCTTCAAAGTGAACAGAAATTCATTTAAAAAGATGCAAATTGAACAAAAAAACACTTTTTTTATAGAGTAAACTATAGATTAATTCGTGAATTTGTTACTTTTTAACAGAAGTACGAAAAAAACGAAAAGACTTATGCATCAACCTATTACAATGACATTCTTAAGAAGCTTGTAATTGTTGATTTTCTATCAGAATATTTTCTTTACTTACCTTTTTCTTATAGGAAACCCTTTTGAAGTGATAAACCTTTTCTTTTCTCCATAATTCTTGTTAAAATGATTTTATGCAAGAGGTGGAGGAAAAAGTTCAGCTCTTGTATAGTTCGTTGATGAAAATTATTTTATAATGCAAACATAATTTTATAAGTATTGGATAAGCTTTTTTCATCCGATTATCAATAAAGAAAGCAAATAGAAAATCCTGTGAAAAGTGCTTGGTTTCAAATAAAGTAATGAGCCTGTACAGTAGTACCCATTGTGATATAAAAACTTTCAAGTAATGCATTGGTTTTGGGACGAGCAATGGGAACTTTTGTGGTATTTCTAGAAGAAATGCTTGCTTTGAAATAGAAACTGGTTAACCTGCAAGAATATCATGGATTGTCTTCTAAATTATCGTAATTTAGAAGACTAAATTATAAACCCAGAAAGTTTTCATCTTGAAAATGAATTTATTTTGAAGGAATTCTTGTTAAAATGATTTTATGCAAGAGATGGAGGAAAAAGTTCAGCTCTTGTATAGGTCGTTGATGAAAATTCATTAGGATAATGAAACAAGTTCTCTTGGAAGTTATTTTCATTGTATGGATGAAAATGTTTGGTAAAATGTTCCGCTTTGAAAGAGCTTATCATTAGATTTATGTGAAAAGATCAAAAAATCAAAGTTTAAGTGACTGCTAACAATCAAAACTGCTTATGGAAACTCATCAAAACTGCTAACAACAGGCAAGCCTGCTAACAAACCACTAATCTGACAGTATTTTGGCGGATTTTAAGATAATTTTGTTTGTTGTCTTAAATTCTAGTCTCGAATTGCGCTAAAGCGCTTGGTCAATTTCAATTTCCAATGAAAAATCTCAGCCAATTTGCTGTGTCTCTTCAAAATGTGATCTTTTGAAATAGCCAATAGAGCCAGTCTCTCTTTCTTCCTTTCAATGCCTACTCAGACAACTTGAAATTCAAGAGAGCATTTTACCGATTCTTCACCGTTCAGTGTTCCTTCCTCAATTGTTGCTCAATTCTTTTCTCCATTACAAGCCACTTTATGCTATTGATCCTAAAATTTTGGCTGTTTATTGCTTACTTTCAAACCTATTATCATGCAACTGCTGGCTGTGTTCCGGTTCAATCAACGTGAGTTTAATGGCATTTATCTTTGCTTGAATTTCCAATAGGAACACTAGTCCAACCAGCACAATCACTACAACGACTACCACTGCAACGACCACCACTACTTCAACAACTACTACGACCACAACAACGACAACAAGTACTACAACAACTACGACCACAACTACAACAACTTCAACTAGTACAACTACGACAACAAGTACCACCACTACCACTACAACGACCACTACTACGACAACTTCAACAACGACTACGACTACAAGTACCACCACTACCACTTCAACCACAACAACTACAACGACTACAACCACAACAACAACGACAACCACTACTTCCACAACAACTAGTACAACGACAACAACTACAACGAGCACCACGACAACTACTTCTACTACAATGACCACAACCACTACAACCACGTCGACGATGACTACAACAAGCACAACGAGTACCACGACAACAACAACGACGACGACCACCACTACAACGACTAGTACAACCACGTCAACTACCACAACTACGACTACCACTACTACGACGTCAACCACAACAACCACAACTACAACAACTACAACGACTACAACCACAACTACAACAACTACCACGACTACTACCACTAGGACCACCACCACTACAACAACTACTACGACAACAACAACAACTACTACTACAACTACTACAACAAGGACTACAACGACAACGACGACTACCACCACAACTACGACTACTACTACGACGACAACGACAACCAGGACTACTACAACCACCACAACCACTACTACGACGTCAACCACTTCAACAACTACTACAACTACAACAACGACCACTACGAGTACCACTACTACGACAACAACTACAACAACGACCACCACTACTACGACCACGACAACGACAACCAGGACCACGACAACCACCACAACCACTACTACGACTACAACTACAACTACTACAACAAGGACTACAACGACAACGACGACGACAACGACGACTACCACGACAACTACGACTACTACTACGACGACAACGACAACCAGGACTACTACAACCACTACTACGACAACAACAACAACAACTACTACTACTACGACCACAACTACAACTACTACAACAAGGACTACAACTACAACTACAACGACCACTACCACAACAACTACGACGACAACGACAACCAGGACCACTACAACCACCACAACCACTACTACGACAACAACTACTACCACTACAACGACTACGACAACTTCAACCACTACTAGTACAACTACAACCACAACTACGACAACCACTACCACAACAAATCGTAAATAAACCTCAAACTGAATGATCTCAAAATTTGTTTTAGCTTGTGCCTCGTGTGCCATGCTTACAGCAAGCTCACTCGGAACTGGTGTTGGAACGTCGACATTTGTTTATGAGTAGATAATATAAAAAGCTGATCGCTAACAAGTACATTTCAGCACCGATGCAAATGGCTGCGGAACAGCGACTTGGGATTGCACAACGACAGGAAATCTTCTGGTTTCTTTGATTGTAGACGTGAGTTCAACATTTGAGATAGAGAATATGAGCACTGTTAGGATAAGTTTGATTTATAGATTGAAATTGCAATTAGCTTTGAACTTTGTATGAATCAGTGGTATTGATTACACTTTGAGGGTGTACTGATGTTGCCCCTTGACACGGGTTGTGGATCAGCAATGACGACAGCGAATGAATTGGTTTGTGATGGAAATGGGCAATGGACAGTTGGGGTAAGGTGACTGAATCGAAAACATTTCATTCATAAATGCAGGGAGTTGCTTTCACAACGCTCAGCTGTTTGGTCTCTACTCCTTGTTTAGGCTGAAAGAAAGGTTTCATTTGAATTTCTTTAACGGGTTTTTTTGTAGGATTTTCTATTTACATTGCTTTTTTGTGTATTGATGTTGAAAATGACACATTGTTGCACAAATCCGAACTTTTCACTAGTCTTTTCAAGCGCTCTAATTGCCACTTGACACTTGCCTTTTTGAGATTCCTTTTCTTTAGCTCTCTTTCCTTTTTGGCCATTCAATTCTTTTGCAAATTTTTCTTGTTAAGATTTCTGTTAGGATTCTAAACTTTTTTCTTGTTAAGATTCCTGAAAAAAGGATCTAAGTTTCCCTTTTTCCATTGAAATCTTTAAAAATTTTGATTTGACATTGTTAGGATTAATAAATTAAAGAATTAAATGATTAATAAACGAAAACGAAAACAAAAACGAAATTGGTCAAGAAACATTTATTCTGTATCTTTATAAAATTTAACATTGAAGCAAACATAAGCTGCCAAGAATAATATGGCGAGTGCAACTAAAAGAAGAACAAAACCAACGGAAACCATGCACAAATTGACTCGATTCAACATTTCGAGATGCGATTTTCCTGAACTTTATTATTTTAATAGATATGAAAGATCTATTCAATTATATAAGTTTTAGAGAATTCGGTATTCTTTTGACTTTATAAATAGCTACGTTTAAAAACTTGTTGGTTTAAAGGTAGGAGCTGAATTAGGACCGATTCCCACTCTCACGATACTTAACGAAGTTTAGAATTAAACCCGAGCAACAATTGGTAAACTTAATAAAATGTATATCTCCAATCGATTGAATGAATATCCCGATCCCGAAAACCCCCGGGTACAAATTTACAGCTGAATATCTTTTTTGGCTATCTATAAAGCAAAAGATCAATATGCTCAAATTACTGGGGAGAATTGTTGCCCCAAATCTAACCGTATTTCCACAATTATTTCCGTATTATTTCCAAATTTAGCCTTATTTCTTGTGCTGTTAAACCAATTGTAGTTGTTAAAGCTGTTAAACCAAAGCTGTTAAACCAAAGCTGTTAAACCAATCTATAATTTGGACTTTAAAAAACTTTGGACTTCTTCGTTTTTCTTACTTTCATTTCGCAACACTTCTTTTGCTATTCTCCTCTTATCCTCAATCGGTTTTCGAATAATAAAAGTCCTCTGCTCAAAGCTCGTCAAAATCGCTGAATTTCGAAGAGCTTGTTCCAATGGTTCACATGGAGTTGTTGGTGTTGCTAAAATAACAAAAATCTCTATCATATCAAAAGCGCAATCACAATTCATGTACCCATCTCAAAGGAAATCGCTTCAACATCAAGATCATTTTTCGAATAGCTGATTGCTTCTAAAAGAAAGAAATATAAAAACCTTAATTGCTTTAAATCACCTAGATGCATATCGGAAAAGTAAAATTGATACGAAAAGGGAATATCTTTAAAATAAATTCGAGAAATAGGAATTGCGTTGCTAGTGTTTTCACCTGTTGCATTGATTGAGATCGTATTTTTTTGCTTTTCGATGGTATTAAACTTTACTTTTTACTTTGTAAACGAGAAAGGAAAACTTCTTGATCTGATCAAACAGAAATTAGCTTCTTTCGATCTTCTCTTCGAAGAATCATTGACCTTAAATTGAACGCCTACAAGCAGACAAGCAGAACGAAGTCCAATCGTTGTCTTGGGCTACATAAGCTAAACGCTGAAATCTAGTTGAAAAGGTGATGTGAAATCAAAATTTGCATCTAACCTACAGATTAGAATAGATGCTTGAAACGTAGCTGAGATTGTAATAGAGCCGAGATTAGAATAGATGCTTGAAACTTCTCATTTTCTATTTCTTTCTTAGTTCAAATGGTGAGTTTTTTTAAAACCAATCCATTTCTGAGAACTTCTTTAGAACAAAACACTTCTTTTCTTATTGTTTTCGTTGAATTGTGTCATTCAAATGGGGAAAACGATAAAGTATCATTCTGGAGAGCAGCACATTAAAACGGTAAATCAATTTGGGATATTGTAATTATTTTGATTACTTTATTGTACTTATCATCTATCTAATCTCTTTTATCCTTCATTCATTTCAGATTGAACACTCTCATGTATTTATTTTATTTTTTCCGGCGCCACATTTTTGTTTGCGGTTTGCTGGATGAGAGTTTTTAGTGAGAATTTTCCCTAAAACCTTTCTAATTTTAAAATCTAATTCAATCATGGCCATCAGACTTCTGGTGGGTTTTTCTATGATTTAAGAAACTAAACACGACATTCTTTTAACAGTACGATATAAAACTCCATCTACAGGATGTCTCAAGGGCAGAGCTTAGGGCAGAGCTTAGGGCAGAGCTTAGGGCAGAGCTTAGGGCAGAGCTTAGGGCAGAGCTTAGGGCAGAGCTTAGGGCAGAGCTTAGGGCAGAGCTTAGGGCAGAGCTTAGGGCAGAGCTTAGGGCAGAGCTCTTAGCCAGTCGGCTATGACGGAAATTGATCTGTTTCATTTTTATTACATGGAATAAACTATTTAAGATAAAAAGGATTAAATAAATTGAAAATATTAGCTTTCAGTTGAAATATTGTTAAAATTCAGGTAATGTACATGCCGTAAATACTGTAATAGTACCTCACCCCCTACCTCGTACAATCGCGTAGTCGCAAAAGTTTTTTAGTATTTCATTTTTTTCAAAGCGCCTGTACTTTCAAAAAATGCGTCTTTGGTATCAAAAAATAGCCCTGAATTTCAGCTATTTTTTGATATCTAAGCGCGCATTGTAGCATAAACCAGTGTCGAGAAAAACTCGTTCAAAGCTGGACTACCCAACACTCCGCACCGTCATTATGGGGGTGGGGTACTATTACAGTATTTACGGTGGGTAACAAGCAAGATGCTCAGCAAGACTTTCCTCAACTGAATACTCAATAGGGATAAAGACAAATACGATATAATAAAGCTTTTATGCAAATCTTCTTTATAAAGTGACTGTCCATGGAGTGTAAGTGTTGTCTGGTGGTAGCTGGGGAATCTAGATTTGAGAGAATAACAATTCTGAATTGACATCATTCTTCTTATAACCTTTTCTGTAATCACATCTTCGCAAGCCATCCTGATTCTTTCCGGAGTTGCCGGCGCATCAAACGAGAAGTAATCAGTTCTTCCCTAAAATTCTCATTTTCATTTTTGCTTTGAATAAACAAGTACCATAAATCTACAGGGTGGTTTAAAATTATAGCAACTCGGTCGGCTTCAATTAAGATGCCGTTCATTTACATTCTTAAAGCTTTATCCACTTTTTTCTCGTTATTTGATTGGATTTTATCTTATTACTCAAAAGCTTTTTAGTTCTTTTTAGTTCTTTTTAGGTTAACTTTAGGAATGATCAAGAAATCTGTTCATCGTGATCTGATCATAGTCTTGCACAAAGGTGGAACATCGGCGCCAAGCGACTGAAGTTCGCCAACAAGACCGTTGTTTATCAAACGATTCAAAGGTTTAAAGTTTTGGGAACAAATGAGGATCGGATTGGAAGAGATCGGAAGCGCACAGCCAGAATTAAGGACACGATCAAAAAAGTTCGGGACAGTTTCCGCAAAAACGGTCCTCGTTTCGCAAAATCGCGAAAGAAATTAGCTTCTTTCGATCTTCTCTTCAAAGAATCATTGACCTTAAATTGAACGCCTACAAGCAGACAAGCAGAACGAAGTCCAATCGTTGTCTTGGGCTACATAAGCTAAACGCTGAAATCTCAAAATTAGCACGCTCAAAGGCCCTGCTAAGGCTAAGGCCCTACTAAGACGTTTCGGAAACAACCGGCATCTTTATGTGGTGTTCAGTGATGAAAAGATATTTACTGTTGAAGAGTATCTTAACAAGCAGAATAATCGCATCTATTCGAAGATTCTGAAACTCACATTTTGAATTCTGTATGCTCTCACAGCTTCTCGAATCGCGAAAAAGGCGGCACTACCGAGGAAAAGCGGTGGTTCGCCAACTGCCTGAAAGTATGAATTTGAGCTTATTTGAATCGAAATCTACTTACAAGTATATTTCTAATCAAAAAAATTACTTTGCTAGCGAAAATCGCATATGGATTGCCGCTGTCCCTCAAAAGCGAGACATTGAACGCGCAAGGAGCGTCATCAGCCGACGGGATCTTGTAAACGCCAGGGCCTGTATAGATTACTCTAATGCTTTATTAAACGATAAGAAATAGTACTGTTTGCACAATTGTTTATGATAAATACATTGATTGACATGAATAATGTGGTACAAATAATACACAAGCACAACCCCTGAGTCTAACTGTAGGGAAGGAAAAAAGAACTAATAATCTAGCCGAGGATTGAACCCTTGACCTCTCGACTAAGATACAAGGCTCTTAGCCGATCGGCCATGGCTGGAGTTTCCTTTTTTTGACTCTTAGCCAGCAATTAAAGGCAATTAGCTCTACCTCTAGTCAGCCGCATCCCATTCGGTCTCACTTTGATCTCTTCCATCGTAAAGAGGCCATAGCCCTAAATATGATCTCAAATTTATTCAAAACCTTTTGATTTCCTTAGCAATAACATATTAAAACAACAATATTGTGATTAGCGCAGAGGTTTAACTTACTTGTGTAAAAGCTCCTTCTATTTGCCCAATATCAATCGCTGGATTGATCGAATCGCCGATATCCATCACGATATCTGTCGATAGTAACTAAAGATTGTAATAGTTTAAATTTGAATTGAATTGAATTGAATTAAATTCAAATTCAAATTCAAATTCAATTCAATTCAATTCAATTGAATTAAATTAAATTCAAATCTCTTTTGTCCTTGAAATCCTCAATTCCTCACCCGATGATCGCCCGTCAAACAATCGACCTCAGCCACACAGCAAGCTGTCCCATAAACACAGTAAGCAAAATGTTTACCGCCTTTTCCCGTCTCAAAATTGATCGGATCACATTTGTTTCTGTAAGATTTCTTCGTTTCTGATTGCTTATCATATAATTACCATTTGCTTATTATTATTTTTTGACTTGAAGTTCATTACTGTAAGTCATTTCATTACCTTCCCTGACTGTAAGCCATTTCATTACCTTCCCTGACTGTAAGCCATTTCATTACCTTCCCTTACTGTAAGCCATTTCATTACCTTCCCTGACTGTAAGTCATTTCATTACCTTCCCATTCCAGTTGCTGATAAGAGTACCCTATCGAAATAAGCCGAAACAACCCAGTCAACCCATTTGCCGGTTGGATTTGAATCCATATAAGGCTTGAGACGAGAAAGCAATTGGGAACAAGCATCCTCAAATCATTAAATTAGATATCAATCTGATAGCTGAATCAGCCTTCACTGACCTTTACCGCTTCTCCATTTAAATCAGATCCAAGACTGGCCACTGTCGGGGTCGTGTTTGGCACCTAAATTTTGCATTAACAACGGAATGTCAACAGGATTTCGATGGTCATCATTGGCTGTATATCCAGAGCAACGGTGTGCCAGATGCTGTACGATTGCGCACACTCAAAACAAAGAGAACAATCAAGTCATATAAAGCTAAAAGAAGCAAAAATGAAACTCAAACTCAAACGCCGGACTCGAATCCTAGAGTACCCGCTTTGTATTGAAGCCCACTGCCGCTTGGCCACCACAACATCTTTTCCTCTCTGGTAAGTCAACTTATAAACTCAGGGTCTGTTTCCTTCTGCGTTTTCTTCCTTCTCAGGGTTTCTGCGATTCCATCCAAAACTTTGAGCGTTTATAACTTTTGACAGAGTGCTGCATTGCAAAAGGGGAAAGCAGATTCGGAATCAGCGCAAAATTCTACATCGTTTCGTTAATGGTTTATGGCATTTGACCACCACACTCTGTTGACATTCTCTTGTAAGTAAAGTCTTTCTTTAATCAACAGTTTTTTTAAACCTTGTCACTAGAAGTTTCCTGGATGTGAATCATCTCGATTGGGATGTTCAGACATCGAGAGGCAATCTAGAAATTTGACTTTTTTAAAATCAAACTTTATCTGTTCTCGAAAGCCAGACTCAGCCAGCCAGACTCAGCCAGCCAGACTCAGCCAGCCAGACTCAGCCAGCCAGACTCAGCCAGCCAGACTCAGCCAGCCAGACTCAGCCAGCCAGACTCAGCCAGCCAGACTCAGCCAGCCAGACTCAGCCAGCCAGACTCAGCCAGCCAGACTCAGCCAGCCAGACTCACCAGCCAGACTCAGCCAGCCAGACTCAGCCAGCCAGACTCAGCCAGCCAGACTCAGCCAGCCAGACTCAGCCAGCCAGACTCAGCCAGCCAGACTCAGCCAGCCAGACTCAGCCAGCCAGACTCAGCCAGCCAGACTCAGCCAGCCAGACTCAGCCAGCCAGACTCGGAAACTTTCTCTGTTCGGGGAAAACTGTTAAGTCAGAGATGTTCTCTGAATAGTTTAAAATGTGGTACCTGTAAAATCTTTATATGCAATCCTTGTCCCATTTCCATTCCCGCGTGCGAGATCAGCACCGATCCATCACAGTAAACGAGAATCAAACAACCAGCCTGTACTTTTTCGAATTTCTCTTTCTCTTCTCTACTAACAAACCTGATTTAAAAACGGTTTTTCACCCATTCCTATTCCGAACTTCGTGCTCACCATGTAAACACCGCGTTTTTTGAACTCATTTTGACTGAATTTATGCTCATTTATCACTCATTGCCGGGAGTGGGACAAATGCGACCTTTGATGCTCTGATATGCCAAAATTTCGATTCTACGCCCTAAAATTACCTAGAAAAACAACTTTTGGAATAGAAATTGGTTAATATTAGCTTTTTAGAGCTTTCTTAAAACGCGAAAAAAGGTGCGCTAATGGGCTAAGTGCGGAAAAAAAGGTGCGCAAATGTCCGGGTGCGCAAAAAAAAGGTCGCATTTGTCCCACTCCCCTCATTGCCTGTTACCTGTTAAACAATTTCACTTCCTCTTTCTTTTGTTCGTATTTTGAAAACTCTTTGCACTCGGTCCAAGTCCTTCGCGCGTTGCACTGAAATCAATTCACTTTGAAAGTGTTTAAATCTTGTTACTTTGTATAGAATCATCCCGCATGGGGTCATTTCTCCTTCTTTGTACATATTATCTTCTCGGAACTGTAAAAAGAATGTTTTTTACAAAGAAATCCCATTATCTAACTTGATCAACGTCTAAATCGAACTTCTCGGCGAGATGCTTGAGAACTGTTTCCATACAGAACATTCCCTAAAGCTTTTTCTTACTTCTGCTCCAATAATCATTGAGTTTTTGGAACACTAGAATATTTTTAATGAAAGAATTGAAAACAATGTTTTTATCACATAGAAATCCTGATTTCACACTTACTTGTGGAGCTCCGAATCCTCTGAATGCTGTTGACGAGGCGAGATTTGTTCGCAAAACTTGCGCATAGAGATCCGCGTTTTTTATCTTATACACACTGTCCATGCTCACAATTGCTCTTGCTTAAAAAGGATTCAAATTTAAAAGCATTGTGAAGACAATTGATTATCTAGTAGTCTGCTTTAACACTCACTTGCCACAGCCAAGCTGAGATCCTCGGAGAAACCACCATTAGAATAAGAGTGAACCTTCAGATCAAGTAATTTATTGTCTTTGGAGATTGCCGCCTAAAATCGAATGATTCTATGAGTTTTTATTTGTTGATCAAACCTCGTAGTCAAATCTGAATGGATGACGGGTGCCTGTGATAGCCATATCATCGTATCGCTCTAAGTAGAAACGGACAGGTCGACGGAGTCTGAATAAATAAGTTCAACTTCTTGTAAAGCTTGTAAAGCTTAGCTTGTAGAGCTTGTAAAGCTTGTAAAGCTTAGCTTGTAGAGCTTGTAAAGCTTGTAAAGCCTGTAAAGCTTGTAAAGCTCTTGTAGAGCTCTTGTAAAGCTCTTGTAAAGCTTGTAAAGCCTGTAAAGCTTGTAAAGCTCTTGTAAAGCTCTTGTAAAGCTCTTGTAAAGCTTGTAAAGCCTGTAAAGCTTGTAAAGCTCTTGTAAAGATTGTAAAGCTCTTGTAAAGCTCTTGTAAAGCTCTTGTAAAGCTTGTAAAGCTCTTGTAAAGCCTGTAAAGCTCTTGTAAAGCTTGTAAAGCCTGTAAAGCTTGAAGCCTGTAAAGCCTCTAAAGCTTGTAAAGCCTGTAAAGCTTTAGCTCAGCCACAGTTTTAAGCTTCTTTAGAAAAGGTACATCTACTTTATCATTCAAAAACTTGAGGAACAAACTTCATTGCAGCAAATGCCGCGGGAACAGCACAGAGAGATGACGCTGCTTCCTTTCCACCAAATGCTCCCCCGACTCGTCGGACTTTTGAGAAGATTTTGTGCTTCGGAATCCCAAGAATCTTGCTGACGTCACTCTAAAATGAAAGTTAACAGCTTTACAGTTTCATTTTTTTTCACCTGAATATCAGAAACTCCTTGTGTACTCACAACCATCTCTATTTCGTCGTCCTCCAATGGGATCGCGATGCAATTCTGTGTCTCCAAATAAAAATGTTCTTGTGCTCCTGTTCGGCATTCACCTTTCACAACTCGATCGTATTTTGACCTAAAAGTAGATTTGATTAAAAGCTTTGAAAGATTTTACTAAAGCTAATTCTAATAATACCAATCGATTTCTTCGTGTTCTTCTTTTCCCTCACTCATTTGTGAAAGAACTTTGAATTGTGGACCCATAAAGGCGTTGGCTGATAGTGCTTCCTAAAGGATTTTTATTGTTATTATATTGGGATATTGTTAAGGTTGAAAACTCACTTCAATCGTCAAAATAGGATTCGGCTTTTCAGTGCATCGAACTTTCACTAAATTCGCGGCTCTTCTCGCTGTTTCATGATCCTCAGCAAGGATCATTCCAACTGGTTGACAATAGTAGGAAATCTAAAAGGAAATCTAAAGTACTAAAAGTAGTTAAAAGCTAAAAGAAGAATTTAAGTCTACAAAGTTTTCAATCAAACCTCTTCACTGACAAAAACCGGTGTATCATTCACAAAGCCGAGTTTCTTATCTGGTAGATCGGAAGCCGAATAAAATTGAACAACACCCGGAAGTTTTAAAGCCTAAACATAAGGTTTTAGAGTTATTTTAAAGAAAATTCGAAATTTCTATCAATTTCTAGAAAACTTTTCGTTTCTTTTCATAATTCCGTTGAAAAATAACAATCATTCAGCAATTAATCTCTGAATTTCTCTGGGGGTGGGACAAATGCGACCTTTTTTTGCGCACCTGTTTTTTGCTGGAAAAGGCCTTAGGAAAGGTCGTAGGGCTTCGAAAATGTTTTCATAGAAGAGAATCGTATGCGTAGATTCCGAATTTCGACAGATCAGACCTCGCTGACACGTCAAATTTGGGCTAAAAGGCAAAAACTGCGGAAAAGCGTTAAGTTGCGTAGTTTTTGCCTTTTAGCCCAAAATTGACGTGTCAGCGAGGTCTGATTTGTCGAAATTCGGAATCTACGCATACGATTCTCTTCTATGAAAACATTTTTGAAGCTCTACAACCTTTCCTAAGGCCTTTTCCAGCAAAAAAAGGTGCGCAAATGTCCAGGTGCGCAAAAAAAGGTCACATTTGTCCCACCCCCATTTCTCTAAATAAAAAGTGTTTATTGGTCAATTTCAGTTCATTTCCATCTTTTTAAGTCAATTCTTTTCATAATTCAGTTCATCTTCAAGCAAATTCGAGAGTGAAAAACGCCTTTTTCGTAAAAATCTATAAAAACCTCTACGAAGAGATTGACTGAATGAATTTCTCTGAAAATTTGGCTAGATACCTAACTTTTTGCACTCTATCTTTTATCTATCGACACAAAGATAGGTTTCCTTAGCTAAAGTGTCTAAAGCGCATCATCGAACCGTCCTTTTTGACTATCCGACTTCATGTTCCCAAAAAATTCAGACATAAGACATTTTTAAGCCCGTTTTAGTGTTATTTTGTAGAAAAATAATTGATCTTTCTAATGAAATAAACCATAGTTCAATTGATGCATATGTTGGTGTTAAACGGAAGTAGGAAAAGGAACGAAAAGACTTTCTGGAGGCTAATACTTCAGACGGATCCAACTCGTGGAGAGTTCCAAAAGTGATTGGCGCCAAGACAAGAACCCCGTGAAGGCAATCTAAATCTCAGTATTCTAGTATGCTGATTTTGTTTTGATTATGAATAAAGTAAAATAAGAAATGGCAAAGAAAGAGCTCCGGAGAGGGGATTGAACCCTTGGCCTCTTTACTTTCCGGGCAGATTAGAGAGCTCAGTAGTTAAAGCAACGGATAGCTCAGTAGTTAGAGCAACTACTGAGCTATCCGTTATCTTCTTGCCAGAGAAGAAATAGGAAAGACAAGGAGAGAAAGAAGAAAAAATATTACCCGGCACAATGACATCCGTTGTATAAATGGCTTTTCCTGTGGTGTGCTTGAAACCACTTTGATGAACCATTGGCTTCCCGACTGCGTCAGTTTCATTTTGATCTTTGGGAACTTCCTAGAAGAAATTTAAATAAAACCCACTACATCTCATTTTATAAGCTTTCTAATTTCTAAGCTAATAATTCTAATTTCAATTCCCAACCTGATAGAGTTGTGTAGCTTTGAGACTTTCCGAGTGCAATTGCTTTTCCTCAACTTTATTCTCGAGTTCACTCATCGTTTTTAGATAGAATTTGAAGAAAAACGATAATGCCAGTGCTTGTCGATATCTAAAATTTATACAAAACTCTATTTTGCTTTGTTTAGTTTGTTTAATTTGAAATTGTGCTTTAAGTTAAACCGCAGGATTGTTTGTGTAACCACTATCAAAGCTAAGACCTCGGCATTCCACCGGGCACCTCAGCCGACAAAGCGAACTCTTCCCTCAACTTCTCCATCCCGAAATCCAAAACAGATCGCTCAAATTTTCTGAATATAATTAAAATCCCAATATAAATTACAAATTCTACTTCTTTTGCAACGTTTCACATGTGATTTTCGCAAATTTTGTTACCGGAGCCATTCCTCCATAAGCAATAGAAATATTTTCGATTCTTTTTGTGACAGGATCAATCTTTACTCTAAAATTTCAATTAAAACAATAAGAATATGATTGTAAAATTGTCTTTGATCTTAAAATTGTTTGTAAAACTGTCTGTAACTTTACTTGAAAGCTCCAGTGACAATTGCAATGTCATCATCTCGTCTCTGAGCCTGCTTGTAAACAGCCAAGTGTTCGTTCTGTAAATGTGTGCTCGTTTAATGACATCATAAAATCATTTCAACTAAATTTTGTAACCAAAGCTACCTGTTTGCTTAACGGCAACAGAATTGCTTTTACGATCTCCTCTTGATTGATCGTTGTCCTCCGATAACCGACAAAGAAATTCTCATCCAAATCCACAACTCTTACTCCAGAGCTTTCCGATTGCAAAACAAGCTAAACAATTTTATTTTAGAGCTTTTAAACTGATCAACCTTTGCTCCGGTAGCCATCCAAATTGGATTCAAATCAGAAATCGGTGAAGCTGTGATGATATTCCCGGCAATCGTCTAAAATTTCATAATTGTACGCGAATTTGGCATCGATTTAAGATCAAAAAATAAAGCTCTTTTAACATGCTAAGAGATATGTGATTTTTATTTCTACTCCAGGGCATACAGTTTTCGAAAAAAACGCATCCAAACGCATATTTTGGAAAAACGGCGCCTTCTCGGTATAAACGAGAATTACTTGCCCGCCAAAAACCGAACTGATGGTGTAGTGGATAATGTGCTTGGGCCCTCGGGCTTGTTGTCCCGGGATCAAGCCCTTTACCGCCATTGCTTTTTGTTAAGCTGGCTGGAAAAATCCATTTTGTTGTTTTAAAGTGTTTTAAAGTTTTTACAGACCTTAATAAGCTATCAAGGGGTCCTAAAAATGGCTGAATAGAACTTTCAGTGACTCCAAAAAGATAGCAGCTTTCACAAACAAAAGTCGGGTTTTTCACTAGCTAGAAATTGTTAATTTTAAGTTAAATATCATATTTGGATCTTAAATCTAATATTTTAACCAAAAATAAGGAATTTTCACAATTTCCTTTTCATTTCCGGTGCCAAATTTTCAGTAAAATCGGTCGATAACCAAGTTAAAGCCACTTTTACAAAGTGTACCGTATTTTATAATATTTTGTTAGAATTTACTCCTTATTTTTTTAAATATTGGTTCTAGAATATAAATATAATATGTTTTGTTTTTCAAAAATATCAATTTTTAATGGACTTTGCAGAGGGACTCTGATTTTAAATTCTTTCGTTCAGATCTTTCGTGGTAACTCTAAATCATTTTCAGGCTTTTATTGTCTTTATCTTTTGTCTTTTATAGCTTGTTAATGTAAGTATCCACTTTAGAACACTTAAAAAGACGTTTTTGGAGCTTAACAAAAAAGTGATGAAGGTGAAGGGACTCGAAGAAGGAAGAAGAGGCGAGGAGAGCGAACTCACTATCCATTAAGACACTAACGCGGAGAGCGAACTCACTAGCGAACTCACTAGCGAACTCACTAGCGAACTCACTAGCGAACTCACTAGCGAACTCACTAGCGAACTCACTAGCGAACTCACTAGCGAACTCACTAGCGAACTCACTAGCGAACTCACTAGCGAACTCACTAGCGAACTCACTAGCGAACTCACTAGCGAACTCACTAGCGAACTCACTAGCGAACTCACTAGCGAACTCACTAGCGAACTCACTAGCGAACTCACTAGCGAACTCACTAGCGAACTCACTAGCGAACTCACTAGCGAACTCACTATCCATTAGGTTTTTTCGATGAAAGTAATTCTCGCACATAATAAGGAGGCGCTGTTTTTCCAAAAAAAAATGCGCTTTTGAACGCCTTTTTCTTGAAAACTGTATGCCATGGAGTAGAAATAAAAAGCACAAATCTCTTAGCATGTTAAAAGAACGTTTTTTGAGTCGCGTATCTTAAATCGATGCTAAGTTGGCGTATTTCCCTAGTTAGTTTATCTTTAAATGCTTCTATACATGGTAAGGCAGCTTTTAGAAATAGTTGTCGATTCAATGCACTTACCGCCACATTTCTGATGTGTTTCCCCGCAAAATAGGGCATCATCTCCAAAAAAAGATCAATCACACCACATTGTGAGGCTGAAATTATGAAATTTGAGTAAGTTTTTTGATTTTTTTGTATTCATTGAATGCACTTAAAAGAAACTCACCAGCCAATTTGGCCTTTAAAAGTTTTAACTCGTAAGTCACTTCACTCAATGAGAGCGCGGCTCCAATTGAAATCGAATCCGAGAGAAGCTCGACTTGGTTCAGTTCAGGAATCTGAAAATCAATTGGACATTTGATTTGTTTGATTGCTTTGATTGCTTTGATTTGATTTAGTTGTTTAAATTCAAGAATTCAATCTCCAGCCTTGACTACCTGTTTTGGGTTGATTCTCCGCTTAGACTCAACGAATCGCCACTTCTGCTCCACTCCCACCTCAGAGTTTCCACTCACAATTCGGGCATTTGGATATTTTCTGAAAAATAGAAGTAAGTAAATGAGAAAGGGAATAATTATATGTATTAAAACTTCTAGAAATCTATAAATCCATTTAACCCAACCAATTTAACCAATAAGCTTGTTTCTAAACCTTTTCAAAGCCAGTAGATGATGAAGAGTTGTCGGCTGGAACCAAAAGTGTTGATTTGATTCGTAGACAAAAGATTGTTGATGCAAATTGTTTATCTAAATATCTCAAATTTCTTTCCCTTTTAGCTTTAAAACTTTCAATTCTGATGGAAAAAGCAACTCTTGTGTCGGATCGTATTTGGCACAATCGGTCAGATCGGTTAGTTTAAGTTTCTGAATTAACGAATACAGGTTTTATTGGGTTGTTCGGATATAAACAAGCGTTGCTAAACTTATTGTTGTGAGAGAAGCTTTTAAAAAAATGTCTTTCTGTATTTAAAAGTACATTATCTTGTCTTTTTAAACGTTTTAAAATATTTGGAATCCTTTTAAACGGATAATTTCCTATTTTTAAGATCTTTTTTCTTGCTTTAGATGACCGACTTCAAACATCAAGTTCGCGTCTGCCTACTTTACGAATTCAAACTGGACAAAACTAGCTATCTGCCTACTTCAAACTGGGCAAAACAGCCGCGGAATTCCATCGAGATTTGGTCAAAGCATTTGGGAATGATGTATTGTTCGAAAGCCGATGCCGAGCCTTGTTCCAACGCTTTCGGAACGGTGATGCAAGTCTCGAGGATGATGAACACTCTCGTCGACCTCAAGCGGTAGACAACAATATTTTGAGGGCCGCAATTGAATCGGATCCATGTCAAACGACGCGTGAACTTGCTCAACAGTGATGAAAGTCTCAGTACTTTTGTGTCTGCCCGCTTAGGTATCAAATTAAAGTTGAGAAAATGGGTCATTTTTTGAGCTATAACACAGATTTTTTTGTATTAACTAGCGCTTAGAAAAAATGATTGAAAAGTGGCAAAAAAAGCCTGAAGTGAAAAGACGGAAAAAATCTTTCGTGGCGGGGTCCTTTTATGGCGTTGGGTTACGGTAGTTTCCGACGCTTGGCGCGGAAACGTCTGGAAACGCGGAAACGCTTGAGGACGACTCTCGTCGTCCTCAAGCGGTAGACAACGATATTTTGAGGGCTGCAGTCGAATCGGATCCATGTCAAACGACGCGTGAACTTGCTCAACAGTTTCTATGTTCAAATTCTACTATGGATGAGCTACTATACTATTTCCACGCCATTGGAAAGACGATCTGGTGCGGGGAATCTCAATCTCCTCATGAGTTAAGCAGTGCAAACGCTCGTTTATATCCGAACAATCTAATAGATTAGAAAGTTATGAATTCACTTTTCATTAAATTTCTTTACAGTTTTCCTTGTCGCCGAATCGCCATTTTCTTGATTTTTACAGCATTTGATCCCCATCGGACAACCATTTTCAGAGTTGTTGACCCCATTTTGAGATAAATTATTCTAAAAGCAGGTGTCTTTTTCGAAAATTTGAAATTACTTGATGTTTTACTTCCGCGAAACTGTAAAAAGCTTCCAAAATTGGTCGATAGCCTGTACAACGACACAAATTACCTGAAATTTATTTGCTATGTTGTGTCCGATTTAGAACAGACTTTGACTTTGAACGCTCGTTTAGAAAGAACTATTGCAATTAAGTTAACGGGGTTTTTTTGGTGAAGCGAGATTTCGTTCTGAAATTTGTATCTAAAGATAAAACACAAAGATACAATTGTAAATATAAAAATGCAATTGTATTTAAAGATATAATTGTTCTAGGCTGGCTACAAGAATATAATCTTATGTAGCAGTTCGAACTAGAGAAGATCAAAAAATTGTGCGCCACCGAACCCGAACACCGAACCCGCGACCTTTCGCTTACCGGGCAACTGTGCTAACCATTACGCCACAATGCACTTGATCTCCTTTACTCCAGAGGGAGTTAACTTTAAGAAGTGAATAGAAACTGAAGTTAATGTCAAAACGTTGCTTTAGTTAAGGTTCTTACGGCTTATGTAGCAGTTCGAACTGAGGCAGCACAAGTTCGGTGGCGCACAAAAACTTGTGCGCCACCGAACCCGAACATCGAACCCGCGACTGTGCAACTGGGCAACTGCCGGGCAACTGTGCTAACCATTACGCCACAACGCACTTGATCTCCTTTACTCCAAGGGGAGTGCCGGTGACGCACAAGTTTTGGATCTACCCTAGTTCGAACTGCTACATAAGCCGTAAGATTATATTCTTATAGCCAGCCTAGGACAATTATATCTTTAAATACAAACTGCATCTTTATATTTACAATTGTATCTTTGTGTTTTATATTTAGATACAAATTTCAGAACGAAATCTCGCTTCACCAAAAAACCCCAGCGACTTTTCTAAATCGAACGCCCATAAAGCAAAAAAGTTTTTGCACCATAACTTTTTCACATGGCTTTATTTTAAGAATCTACAAAAATTTCTCTACAAAACTAGCCATAACAAATTGAATTTGGTCGAGTAGTTTTAAAAATTGGCGTTTTTAGCTTTTTCAGCTTTTCGGCTTTCAGCTTTTCTCAGCTTCAGCTTTTTCGCGTTTTTAGCTATTTCTACTGCACTAATTTTTACGTTTGTAGGCTAGTTTTGTAGTGGAAAAAATTCTGCGTCGAATGGTATCTAAAATATATTATATTATAAATTCTATAGCGCGTACGGAAAAGTGTTCTAATTTAGACGTCTTTTCTAAATCACCTGTTCTAAATCGGGTGTTACAAAGTTCGTTTCAATGAAAGACTTGCCCTGGATAGTGTCATCGATTTGCTCAATGCTTGGTTTTGGATGATTTCTGAGTAAGGAGTACATGGCCATGACAAAGCCCGGAGTACAATAACCACATTGAGAACCGTGACATCTAGAGAATAGCTTTGAGCTTGAAATTTGTCCTTTTTACTTTGCTAATCGCTCTTGAACAGGATGAAGAGCTCTTTCTGTTGAAATCCCTTCTACTGTTGTAATGGCTTTCCCAAAAACGGCACAAATTGGCATGAGGCAAGCATTCACCGAATAGTGGCTAAAGGAAAAATTATTGAACACTATAATAAGTAATGATTTGAATATGGCTAAAATTTCGGCATCTTACCGTAACTCTTTTCTAAGTGGATGCTGATCAGAGATCATCACCGTACATGCACCACATCCGCCTTCATTACAACCAATCTTTGTTCCAGTTAAACGCACTGAAATTGTAAATAGTTGGAAACTAAGAAGAAACTAAGAAAGTTCTACATTTCGACAAAGAATTTGATGCTTATCACTCACAATGATCCCTGAGATACACAGCCAATGTCATTCTTGAATCAATCGTCCCACTTTTGATCACACGCTTTTGACCGTTCACAAAGAAAATCAAATCTTTAACGCCTGAAAATCAAATCTGTTTGATAATCTGATCTGATGATCTGCTTTAAAAGAACCTTACCGTTTTCCTCTCGAAGATCTAATTGATCGCTTTCTTTTACCATTTTGGCTGAAATGTTAATGCAACAGCTGTAAAATCAGTTCTTAAAGAAAAAAAACAAACAAAGAAAAATGAAAGGTTTCAAATTGTGTGTAAAAAAAACAATGGAAATTCCCTGATCTTTTTATCAGTTCATTTCTTTTCTCTTTTTCCGATCTTTCTCGGAGATATGCTTTTTGTTGGGAAGAAATATGACCATTGGCATCAATACATGAATAGTATTGATAATGAGTAATCATAATTGTTTGTTCAAAAGAGTTAGGTAGAGTTACTTTAGTTTTTAGTAGTTATTGGGTTGGTGAATTGAAAACTGCCGGACTTTGAACTAAAATTTATTCAACATAAAACCATGAATTCATTCCAAATAATTTCCATTATTATTGACGACTTCTGCCCATTTTATAGGCAATTTGCGGATTCCTCTTTCGTAGTAGGATTTTGGTTTGTGCGTGAGACAAGTGTGCGACTCAAAAATGGAGGACTGGAGACGTCCCAGTTTGAGCACTTTCTTCAAAAGAAACCCATTTTGGTGTCAATGGAAAAGTTGTAGAGAATCAAAAATGAGGCTTATAGCCAAATTTGCAAAAAGATACACTTAGTAGTTTCGCTTAAAATGCAAGTTTTGTGAAAATTCGTAAATTTGGCATTTCTTGAAAACCAGTTTTTGAAACGTTCTGAAAATTTGGATATAAGCTTGATTTTTGATTCTCTACAACTTTTCCATTGACACCAAAATGGGTTTCTTTTGAAGAAAGTGCTCAAACTGTCACATATGACAATAGCCGACAGTTTTCAATTCACCAACCCAATAGTTTCAAAGAGTTACTTGTACCTTGTTATGCTTGTTAAAAAGATAACAAACTGATTGGAAAAACAAGTCTAATTGTAAATAGATAAACTTTTAAAACAATAAATAAATTTGTATATTTGATAACGATGTTTTGATATACGCTTTATAAGCCTTATAAGCTTTATAAGGAAATCGGTTCGAAATTTTCCGAAAACGAGGGAAAAACGTCAGCTTTTCAATTGATAAGCCGATTTTATGCAAAACTTTTCGAAAAGTACTTGTGAAATAGATAAAGATGCTTTTGAATCGATTGAATCCATTTTATTCAAAACTTTATTCTCATTTCATTCTCAAATCAAATGAGGAATTCCGAACGACCACCGAAACGGCGATGGTGAAACGCCTTGATGCTGAAGCGACCTGCAATTGAATCTTATTTGACTTTGAAATATCAGAATATTGATCTAGCAAATCTGTTTAATAAGATTAGCTAGCATAGCTGAGCTAGCATAGCATAGCTAGCATAGCTATGCACAATTTTCCATTCTCTCACTCAACTTACATGCACAGGAGCTATCGTCGTATTGTCGCTGATGTTGAAGATTCGAGGAGCCAACGCTTAAACGAATCTAACAGAAATTTCATTGCAAACTTACATGGATAGATTTTGCTTAATATTTTCCATGCCATCCGTAAAGCGAATCCTGTATAGGGTCGATAGAGAAAGAATGTCATACATGTTGAAAGAACTGCGTGTTGAGAGAATAGAGCTAATCCAAATGGCATCAGTGCTGGAAATTGTTTCCCAAATCATTATCGAAATTGATTTCAAAGCTTTACTTGTTAGCTCTAAGCTTGTACGTAAGCAGTACTGTGCTTACAGTGCACTTACTGACAGCTTACTGACAGCTTACTGACAGCTTACTGACAGCTTAGTGACAGCTTACTGACAGCTTACTGGCAGCTTACTGACAGCTTACTGACAGTTTACCGTAGCCAAGTGTAATCAACTCACTTATAGAGGCAAAGTTATCCGTATAGAAGATCACCATGCAAGCAAGTAACGGAATCAATATCGTCACTAATGGAATGCAAACCTGAAAGAGAAAGAGATTTCCGTAAAGAGATTTCCGTAAAGAGATTTCTGTAAAGAGATTTCTGTAAACGATCAACCTGTAATGTCACTTTGGCCACCAATCTTCGATACATGCGAAGAGTTTTTGGACTAATCGTATCTTTGCGAGATTCGAAAACATGCCAACACGATAAACAAGCAACTAAACTATTGGATTGAGGAGAATGATTTAAAGCCGTATTTTAAACACACTTTTTAAGCCTTCTTTCATAAATAAAGCATAAAGCCTTCTTTCAATAAATGTTTTATTTCATCAAAAGAGTCCAATATTTCTCTACAAAATGTCTTTTGAGAGACTCCACAAAGCTTTTCTTTCGTAGAGTTTATCAACTCCGAAACACAGCTAAAGTGGCAAAGAGTTCGACTCATCGTTTGGACAATTTCTTTCACATAAACCGCTTTTGGTGTCTACATAAAAAAGGTAGAGCACAATCAATTACATATGTTCCCAAATTTTCAGGAAGATCCCTCCAACCGTTTTCTCTAGATGACAGTTTATAGATTTTGTGATAAAAGTAGCCTTTTGTTGAGCTGAGGCGCTGTTTGAGTTCTCTTTTAAATGCTATTTTGTAGAGAATTCTTTAATCTTTCTGATATCAAACGCAAAGTCTGCTAGAAGTCTGTGAGAAAGTCTGCTAGAAGTCTGTGACAAAGTCTGCTAGAACCTTTTGATTTCTTTTGAATCTGCTAGAATCTGCTAGAAGTTTTCTTTGATTTTTAACACTATTTCATTCTCCCTAACCCAATATCTCATTGGTATCCTTTTTCGAGCTACATTCAAAACATTTCACTCACCCGAAATCCAGCTAACCGCCATCACAATCCATGCACCAATATGTTTCGTCAACCAGGTCGCATTGTCGCGCATCATTGCGTAGAAAAGTGGATGCCAAATAAAATGCTTCAATTTGGGGTACGACTGAAACTTTTCTTTCTTAAAAACCGATTTCTTTTGCAAACCTGAGCATAAAAAGTTTTCGTTGCTTGAAGATCTTCAGTCGAATGGATATAAATCAAAAGTATTGAGATGTGAATATACGGTAAAATTTGTAAAAGAGTATAAGTGATAAGTTTGCTTCTAAAGTAGAAAGAGTTTTTTGTGTTTTAAAATGTTCTCATGCCTACGACTGAGCTTAAAAAAGTGATGATGTGGTAGAATGGTTTGTTGACGAACGATGAACATTGTGATCATTAAAGTTATCATATGACCGAAAAGGAGAGCGCCGGCAAACTGAAGAAAGGCTTATGGAAGAAGAAAAGAATTCCTCTATAAATAAGATTTTCAGAGTTGAATTATTCATGGCTTTTTCTGAATAAAGCAACAGAAAAGCCTCAAGCAACAGAAAAGCCTCAAGCAACAGAAAAGCCTCAAGCAACAGAAAAAGCCTCAAGCAACAGAAAAGTCTCAAGCAAGAGAAAAGAACCATTTTTTTAATATGATAGCTGTTTGCTTTTCAATAAGCCGTACAAATTGATAAAATGTTGACACTACACCGGCCAACCATCCCATTGGAAATCCTCCTGGCAAAGGAAATGTCACATATGGCGCTAAGGCAGAGCCGATCATCAAATCCGTTATAAGTGCTACTGTCTAAAGAAGATTCCATATCGATACAATGTGCTTTCAAACTTGATACACGGTTAGAACTTTCCCGTAAGTTCTCATATTTGGAGGTGAGTGAAAAGCGACCACGTAGACACCAAAAATATTGAAAGCCGTTGTTAGCACTGAATGATTGATTGATTGCTTGAAATTACATTACGTTACTCACATGTGAAAATCTCTAAAGCAACGAACACCCAGGCATTTGTGTCGATGGGAATATCCTCATCCAAATTTACCCAATATATCGCGTTACCCATTAGTCAATGTTTAGTCAATGAAAGGAGAAATGGTATGTTAAGAGAGTGGGTGGGTCGTAGGGAGAAAAAGCACCTGAGCCTTTGAGCTGATCGATTGTAGTCAGCGAGAAAATGAGCTCGCATTTAAATGAGAAAAAACAGGTGAATATTTACTCTAGAAGAGTTTGGCTGGCTTGTGTGCTTTAGATCTTTGAACAACACTAAAAGATGTGCATTCTGTGGTACAGGGTGATCAAAAAGTTTTCGTACAACTTTTTACTCAAGCTTGATTTTTAAAATAACTCAGGAAAGCTTCAACTGATTCAATTAAACTCTTTAAAATCAAAACCTTAATAAAATGATACTTAAAAGCACTAACAAGGAGCCTATAGCTCAGCTTTTTTTATATCGTTGACCGCACAAGTAGTCGATATATTGGGTAAACTTGGATGAGGATATTCCCATCGACACAAATGCCTGGGTGTTCGTTGCTTTAGAGATTTTCACATGTGAGTAACGTAATGTAATTTCAATCAATCAATCATTCATGCCATGCAGGAGATGCCATGCTGCCAAAATCGTCTTTCTTTTCGATTTTTTTAGTCATTTGTGTAGTTTAGACTAGTCCCAAACAAAAATTTATAAGCTTTTAATGTTCATCTTTGTGCTAAAAACGTTAGAGAATAATTTTAAAAGGTTATAGGCTAACATTTATAGGCTTATAGGCTAACAGATAGAAACTCGCTCGTATCAAATCGCTCGTATTCAGCAGATTTTGATGTTTTTATCGAAAAAGAGCATCTCGGAAAAAGCCCCAGAAAAGCTATTCAATAGCACGTTTAGTTTATTTTAATTGGAAAGAATTTAAGGTTTAAAATTTGTGTAAATTGTTTACTTTAATCGGTGCTAAGGATCAAAAACATTGAAAGTTAACTAATTTCGGCAGCGTGTCGTCGACCATTTGTGCGCGACTTACCATATAAAAAAAGCTATGAGCTATGGGCATTAGTGGTTAGCTATTAGTGGTTTTAAGTATAGCTTTGTTAAGGTTTTTATCTTTAAAAAGTTTAGTTGAATAGCTTTCTTCAGTCATTTTAAAATCAAATTTTAGTCAAAAGTTGGACGGGGAACTTTTGAATCACCCTGTATTGTACGCATTTTTACAGGAAATTGCCATTAATCTCTTTCTAGATTAGTCGATGTCGATGTCGTTTAATCCGCATTAGTTTTAGGATATAATTTTGAAGTAAACATATCGATAAGTTGTACCCATTTTTGTTTTGTTTTTGTTTTTGTTTTTTTTTGTTCTCCACTATTTACCCCAAAACACCTTGTCCAACTGAATTGTAGACTTTTCTCAATAACAAGATGTTTTTGTAAGACTTTCTTCAGTTTTTAATTAAAAACATGTTTCTATCAACTATTTTATCACTATCAATTTACAAACAAATACATAAAGAAACAATAAAAAAAACTAGCGATTACAATAGCTAACATCTGCCATTATATAGAAACAATGAGTTGCTAACACCGATAATTGACCCAAAAAAAAGAATCCAAGGCTTATGAACTAGACAAAATAACTAGAATATATAAAAGACTATACCTTATTTTTGGATTTTGGATTTTTTGGATGTACAAGTTTGAAAAGGGAAGAGGAGTTGACTCATTGTCAAGAGAGGCTTCAAGCCAACAAAACGGGGGCACGAAATGAAATCACTATTATAAAGTAGGCACAAAAAAAGGATAAGGGTAAAGGAAAACAATGGACTCTTTGTACTTTAAGCAATCAGAGTCAATCTTTACTTTAGACTCTCCCAAGCGCACACTGTCTGGCATACCGGATCGAAATACGGTTATACGTTTGCTAGAGCGAAAAGTACAGACTTGGTTTGTGTTTGCTTTTTTTGAAGTTGTTATCGCCTTTAGACTTTAGTCTACAGAGTCCATTGTATTTTAAGGCAATTCTTTAGACACAAGCTTGACAAATTTACATTTTAACGTAATAAACATAAGAGGCTTGTGTACATCATATGAACAAAGACGAATAAACGTAGTTACCAATGTAAAATCTTCAAGGTAGACCGGAGAGGATCGCGTTGGCATCTAGCTAAATTCTTTCACTTTCTTTTCATAACTTAAAGAAAAATGGTGAGTGCTTACTCGATGATAAGAAAAATGAAAACGTAAGAAAAAAATGAGTGATTTCCTAATTCTTATGCATAAGTATTATTGCAAATCGCGTTGCTTACCTTGAAATCTTTCCACGCCTCACAGAGTTGCACATCAATTGGAGCCGACGGTGTTGGATATTGAGAGATTTGTGGCTGACTGTTCAATCGATGTCCGAGGAAATGACCAGCATTTGTGTTTGAATGGTGTCCCGAGTTTAGTCCTAAATGTTGGTGATTTTTTTAGATTAAGAAGATGGTTTGTAAAGAGGTTGGGGTATGATTTAATGCTACTTTTGTTTAATGCTTCAAAAGCTTACCGAACATGCTGCTAGAGGTGGAGGCAGGGGTGAAAAATGAGAAATCGAGTCGAGGAGGTGAGAAGACGGGAAGAGGAGACCCGACAGCACCAGAGGAGAGTTGAGATGCATGAGAGACACGACGAGATCTCGGTGCACTTCCCACACTCCCATGTGACACTTGTGCGGCTGCCATCTTAAATTAATTGTTTTATAAAGAGGATTAAAAATTCTTTTTTCGTATTCAGTACCTACTAAATGGTCTTATTACCTTTTAAAGCTTCATTTGTACCTTTAAATTTAATTCTATTAGGCTGTCCAGAAAGTCTTTTCGTTCCTTTTCGTACTTCTGTTTAAAACCAAAAAAAATGCACCAATTAACCTATGATTTGCTCTAAATAAAAAGTGCTAAAAATTGCTCAATTTCCCATCTTTTTAAGTCAATTTCGATTATCTTTAAAATAAGAAAATAACTCTAAAACCTTATGTTTAGGTTTTAAAACTTCCGAAAAGATTTTCTGGTTAGTCAGTCCGAAAAGACAATCTAATAATGTCAGTCAAGAACGAACCCTTGGCGATTGTTGTTGTGCTTGAACAGAGGCGAGGGCTCTTTGTTGAGCGGCTTGTGCCCGAACCACAGCGGTGAGTGCTTGTTGAAGTTGCTCTTGTTGGAGTCGATGTTGTTCAGAAGCTTCCTATGAAAATAAATTGTATGAAAGACATTCTATTGCTATAATTAATCAGTATGATTTGCAAAATTGCTTGTTTTTTTAACCCTTTTCAAAGTTTTCTCACCTTCTCAGCAGCGATGATGGCCGCGGTAAGTGGGATCTCTTGAGCCATCAGAGCAGAGGAAGAACTGAAGAAGAAAAGGATAGGTTCAAGTTATTAATTTGCTCTTATTCTACAAATAAGATGAAAACCGTTTCATTCTGTCATTTCCCTCACCTGGCCGAGTCTTGTGCATCATCTTCATCTTTCCCAATCGTTTCCCCACTGCTGCTCTCCGCTTGGCTGTCCTCATTTGGATCACTTTGTACAACATCTAAAGTTTTTAAAATTTAAAGATATTTTTATGGTAACAAACCAGAAGCCAAATCTTTTCCAAGAAGTCTCAACAATTCAGCTTCCATTTCCGAGGCTGTTGTGTGCTGGGAGGTACTCGGGTTGTTGACCTTAAAAAGTCTTATGTATTGATTATAACACTATTATATTTTGTTTACCTCTTTGCCTTTCTTTGGCTTCGTCTTCTGAACACTTGCGATTTCTTCTTTTGGAGCCAGGTAGACAGGCGAGCCAAGTTTTGGCTTCAAAGGAATTGGCTGAGCAAGTTGCTTTTGGGATTGCGAAATGTCTAAAAATCGATAATGTTTGCAGGGATTTGATCAAGTTTTGCCAAAAGACTGCCTCAGATAAGATTCGGTGTGATGTGTTTTATCTGCATCATCTTAAGATGGTGGTACATGCTTCACATCACCGGCAGTGGCGGGGGTCGAACCCGGGTTGTGTGAGCGGCGGCGTAGGCTGCTACCCATTATACCAAAGGCTCACTTGAGGGGGGCGTCGAGAAAAAGTGCATGAAGGCGCTGCCACTCAATCCTTTCGGCTCATTGCCCACAGGTCTGAAAGAATACAGTAAACATTTGATACAATGGATATTTTGGAAATCTAAAACAATCCAAATCCTAGTGTGACTATTCATAGCTGTTAGTGTTAATAGTTCATTTCTAGTTGAAACCAAATTCTTTAAAACGAGTTTTTTTTCTATTATAGTGATTCAATACTTCTCGCATGGACAATCTAGGACAATCAAGACATGGAATACCTGAAAAGAGCATCAGCAGGCAACATTTTCCGAGATTCCTCTGAAAGTGAGGCTCGTGGAGTGGAAGTTGTGGGAGAAAGCTCTGGATTGGTCATCAGTTCCATTGCCGATGTAATTTTCTCACTGACCGCTAAAAGAAAATATTTGTTTTATTTTGTTAACTATAGTTTTTTTTGTCTTTTGTATCTCGTTTAGAAGTATTTTACTTTTTGGCACAACTGGGGTGAAGGCACTTTGACGATCTTTCGATCGGAGAGCTGACACTTTCCCTTGTGGTCCTTTGGGTCCCTGAAAATTTGGTTTGTTATTGTTAAAATTATTAATTATGACTTATTCATTTACATTTTAATCTAGTTGAAAGCTTTGAAAGCTTTAAACTGACCTTTGAAGCAACTTTTGCTCTTCGATTCTGCTCTCTTTTGATCCAAGCTTGTAGATCGGTGACAAATGGATAAACAGTGTAGAATCGATTCGTGTTTCCCTTTTGAACATTGTCATATTTGTCCGTTGGAAGATCCCAAACTTTGAACCATTGAATTTTTCTAAATTTTGTTGATTAGTTCCAAGTTTTCTCACTTAATGATACCGGATTTCCTTTCTTGTAGTCGGAGCAAAGTCGAAATCGATTGGAACATCGGGAACAATGTAGAGGCGGACCATTGTATCGCCCAAAAATTTCTGAAAGATCAATTTTAACAAAGGTTAGCCAAAAATAGCTTTATTATTTTGTTTTCTTTTAATTATTCCCTGTACCTGAAGCTTGGCTTCTCCTCCATTCGAGCGATCCATTCCAAAATCGTAACCCGTCTCTTCATAGACTTCACGAATCGCACAGTTTCTTGGGTGCTCTTTCTCATTGACCTAAATATCGCTTTTTAACTTTGATCTTACAAATTGATATACTTTCTATTACTTCACTTACTTTTCCCTTTGGGAATCCCCAGCTGTTCTTCGAGTAGTAGCCTAAATAATAATGTAATGGTAACACTTGTTTGAACAATTTCCAATTCAAATTTTGTAAATCTTTATAAATGCAAATTTTGTTAATTTCTAATACTCTTGTTCTTGTTGAATAAATCCTAACACCAATCTTTCGAACCTAAGGAAACTGAAAATGAATAAAATACCTTGTACGAGGAGAACGTGGTTCAACGATGAGTCAAGAAGAATCGCTCCGTATGTGGGCACATTTGACTTGTAGAGGCGCCAGTTGTCGACCACCTGAAAAACTATTAAATGTCAACACTACTGTGTAAAGCTATCACCTTGTCGACATCCTTGACCGAATTTTTGAGGAAATCACAGTTGCCGAACATTTGTCTGAAAGCTTTGTTGTAAAGTTTAGCTCGTTTTTCATTTACCTTGTGAAATCTCGCATTCCAACTTCATGGCAATCCGCTCGCTCCTTGCAATGAAAATCGAGATACATCCACAGGGCCAACTCGATTTGGAAACAAACACGCACTTCATCGCGTTGCTGAAAAGTTAATCTTTGATCTGATTATAACGCTATTATATTTTGCTGAATATTCTGATTACAACGCTATTATTAGTAAACTAATGTATAGATCTTATTGTTAAAGTATACGTATAAGATCTACTTTTGCTCTGGTAGTCTAGCTTTAAAGTTTTTTTACCTCATCTTCGGGAATATTCAGCAAAAATCGAAAGCACAAATCATCGAGAATAGCCTGAGGGAGTTTGAAGCCGGGATGGTTCTGAAAAATTTGAATATTTGAAAAATTAGTCATTTCCTTCACCGATGATTGTATGCGGACTCGCTGCTGTTGCTGTTGTTGTTTGGTTCTCTCAAAAGTGAGTGGGGTTTCCGAATCGAAAAATGGCTGGAAATCATCTTGGGGAAAAGACTAAAAGAATTTGTTTTTGGCATAAGTGTTTTTGGCATTTTTTGCAAAAGCTTCAATTGACTTACCATTGTATTGTCGTCTTTTTTGCACATACGTTGAGCGACAGATGTGGCTTTCGGCGGAGATGACTTGTTTGGGAAATCTTGAGCTTTCGAAGTAGAAGGCTGAAATTTGATTATTGGTTTCTAGATTCAGTTTAATACGCTTACCATCTTGGATGACTCAAAGATGAGGGTTCTCCGCGTTTTGCCTTGTTGGCCTTGTTGACTCGTGGAAGTCGAGGCTGCTGGGGATTTTTGAGAGCTTTTTCCAGGTTGATTGTTCTTTTTCTAAAAACAATTCAATCCAAAATTAATTGGGGGTTTTAGTTGTGCTATCAGTTCACTTGACAAACCAAAAACTTGCTTTTCAAACTTTATGCAGAGTGATTAATAACGCACGTTCATTGTGTTGGTTCGAGGACTTTTGGCGGTCGATGGAGTGTCGTCGTGAATGGAGAGTGGAGGGATCATTCCGAGACTTTGAATTGGACCTCCTTGTGCAAGTTGGACGAGTAAGTTGCGCACTTGTGGACTCGAGACATCGGAGAACTGAAATTATTCGCATGTTACGGATAAAGAGATGAAGTTTAAAAACTTATAGTTAGAGCTAAAAGTTAGTTACAGAATTAGCCTTTCATATTGCTAGAACTATCATTACTCTAATGTGGAAAGAAAGTTAGAGGTTACGCAAATTAGTATTTTAAGAGGCAGGCTATTAGTTCAGTTATTTCGTTGTATGTAAGGTCAACGTACTTGTTCTTTTGGTGGACTCGCTTCAACGGGTGCTGGCTGACGGCGACGTCGTTTCTGGCTTCCAGTTGGAGACATTGTCAAGTAGTTGATGAATTGAATGTAACTGAAAGTTTGTACGTTGGATTGGTGTAATAATACATGTCAGAAGGGGAATAAGCTTAAAAACAATTTAACAATTGGAAAGTTTAACTTATTACAAACAAAAAAAATGGACATGACAATGAAGATCGGAAAGTAGAAGATGAGCCGATAATTTAAAGTTATAACTGCTTTGGCTCGAGCACTCGACTTATAAGCACTTGCGCATCTGGTGCATCTTTAATTGCGTTTAATGCTTAACATTGTTAATTTCTTATAAAAAGTCTCTTGACCGACTCCCCCGCACATATAACCTTGCCATTGGGAAGGGTCGCCGGCAATTGCGATTAATCCGGGAACGACCCGTCATTTGGCCTTTCTCGTATTCCATTCCGAAATTGTGTAATTTTTTCGAATTTATCACTGTTGTTCAAAAAAGTTTTTGAGTTTAACTTTGCATTTAGGTAGCTAAATGAAAATTTATTTATAGCTTTTATAAGCTTGACAATCCTCCTTTATACTTCTTTCAATAACTAAATATTTACTCCTTTTAAAAAGTTTAAATAGCGAAACATCTGCAAAAATGCAGTATTTCATTTTGATTTTGTCTACCGAGCTTGTTGTTTTGCACAAGCTCCTTGTCCGAATTTCTTTCCAGCATTTGTGTTAAAATGAACTTGATGATAAGATGTTTGTAGATAGATTTGGTCAAAAGTTTGTTTGGCTTTCATCCTTGAAATCTAAAAACCATCCGACTGGCTAGAACACCACATTTCACTTAAGCCTCATACTTTGTTTGCTTTTAAACTTTCTTTTATCTTGCTTAACCCTATTTGAATTAATACGGTTGAAATTTAGATATCTTACGCCAGTCAATCCAACAAAGCGCCAAGATGGTAAGTAATTTCTGTTAGTTTGGTTTAAATTGATTTGTTTTTAGACTATCAGCAAGAATAACAAGATGATGCAACATCTAAACTTTCGGATGCGGATTATTCTTCAAGACGGAAGAACATTTGTTGGATATTTTCGAGGTAGAGCTTTGCTTTTAGAAATAAGCTTTTTGATTGACGCTGACTGACTGACTAATCTAATTTGAATGTTTTAGCTTTCGACAAGCACATGAACATCCTTCTCACCGATTGCGAAGAGTTCCGTCAAATCAAGCCGAAGGCAGGCAAGAAAACCGATGGAGAGGAAAAACGTATGCTTGGTTGGTCATTTCATTGCAAATTAGTTTGCATAAGATTTAACGTTGTGAAGTTACATTTACTTTTTAGGCCTGGTGCTTTTACGCGGAGAGCACATTGTGACTATGACCGTCGATGGACCTCCTCCAAGAGATGAAGAAGGACCCCGTTTGCCAAAAGCTGGAGGATCCGGAGGACCTGGACAAGCAAAACCAGCGGGACGTGGAATGCCTATGATGCCTCCGATGGCCGGAGGACCAGCTGCAGCTGCCGGACTTCAAGTAAGCTATAGTTAACATACCTTCTACGTAGTCTTAATATAAAGGATTCTAGTGAAATTACGGCAGAACAGTTTTTAAGCACATTGTAGTTTTAAAATTAAATTCATAAGGAGTCATAATTAAATCTCTTTTGCAACAACTTTTTATTTTAGGGTGCTGTGAGAGGAGTGGGAGGACCGAGCATGGGAATGATGCAGCCCGGATATGGAGGACCTGGCGCCGGACGTGGAGGCTATTAAATATGAAGTTTTGTCTACACTTACAAGTTTTTTTCCGGCTCTTTTATTCGTACCTATCTGTTGAAATTTTATGTCTCTCTTTCAATTTTTGTAATGTCAATGTAATGTTTTTTATTCAAGTTGTGACGTTGTATCTCATTTCTTATTATGGGTCAATAAAAGTTAAGATATAACCAGATTGCTTTAGAAGAAACGTTGGAGCGCTAGGTATTTTAAAAAAAAACACGTACATATTGTTACTTCTATTATTTGTTTAGTTTCAAAAGATGCCCCCAAAGAAAGGTGCCGTCGAGGAGCTGCCTCCACTTCTCGGAAGGCTTGGCACTAATCTTAAGGTATTATTTTGAACTTGCCTTTTTTAGAGTACTTGAAAGAGGTAGCGTGCAGCTAATAATAAATTGATGGCCTATAACTTGTTTTAGGTTGGAATTTTGGGTCTTCCAAATGTGGGCAAGTCTACTTTCTTCAACGTGTTGACCAAGAGCGAAGCGCAAGCCGAGAATTTCCCATTCTGCACGATTGATCCTAATGAAAGCCGGTTAATTTTTTCTATAATTCAAAAAGCAACTTGTTTTTAGAGTTCCTGTTAGCGATCCGCGCTTCGATTGGCTGTGCGACCATTTTAAGCCAGCTAGCAAAGTTCCCGCTTTTCTCAATGTAGTCGATATCGCTGGTCTGGTGAAAGGTTTGTAAATTTTTATGAGGTTTTACGAATCTCTAATTCAGGAGCCTCGGAAGGGCAAGGGCTCGGAAACGCGTTTCTATCACACGTCTCTGCATGCGACGCGCTTTTCCATTTGTGTCGGTCATTCGAAGATGACGATATCACTCATGTTGAAGGTTAGTTGCTCGCCAAGGGTCATTTTTTTTTCCTTTTAGGTGAAGTGAATCCCGTGCGAGATTTGGACATTATATCGGACGAGTTACGACTCAAAGATCTGCAGTACCTTGATGCTCAAGTCTCAAAGCTCGAAAAACTTGTTGTTCGGGCTAATGACAAAACCAAGAAGGTATCTTTGTTTTCATTCTCCTTTATTTTGTGGTTTTAGATTGAATATGAAACTCTACTCAGAGTCCAAAAAATGCTTACCGAAGAAAAGAAACCGGTGCGAAAAGAGGTACGAAATTATTGCGGGCAACTAGTATGTACCTTATTCTACTTTCAGATCTGGAACGAGAAAGAAATCGAGGTCTTGAACACTCATCTTCTCCTTACTGCTAAGCCGCTGGTTTATCTTGTCAACCTTAGCGAGACTGACTACATCCGAAAAGTTCGTATTATGATATGTTGTTTCCATAAACTCTTTCAGAAAAACAAATGGCTTCCCAAAATCAAGGCTTGGATCGATGAAAATGACCCTGGAGCCAAACTGATTCCATTTTCAGGTAAACAGTTTTTGGTTTTTAGCTTCAAATATATGTATGAGTTTAGGAGCATTTGAGCTGAAAATTATTGAAATGCCTGGGGATGAGCGCGAAAAGTTCTACAAAGAAGTGAGGGTATAATGTTTAACATACAACATTGTCGTTTTAGGTCAGTGCTACTTCGAACTTGGACAAAATCGTCCACACTGGTTATGAGGCACTTCAACTGCAATACTTCTTTACTGCCGGCGAGGATGAGGTCAAATGCTGGACCATCCAGGTAAACTTTCATTACGTTATGGCACTTCAGCCTCTTTAGAAAAACACCAAAGCTCCTCAAGCTGCTGGTCGCATTCACACGGATTTTGAAAAGGGTTTCATCATGGCTGAGGTGATGAAGGTTGCCGATTTAATGGAAGAGGGATCCGAAACAAAGGTGCCAATTTGTAAATAGCATTTCTTCATTTAATTTTTAGGTAAAAGCTGCTGGGAAATATCGTCAACAGGGTCGAAACTACGTGTGCGAAGATGGAGACATCATTTTCTTCAAGGTTATTTTGCTATTCGGGTTTTATTACTGTCATGTTTAGTTTAACGCTGGAGCTGGACTGACGACCAAAAAGAAGTAAATCGGAAAAACTTTGGAAGTCGTGCTTGTGATTCAATTTTTAAAAGTAGAGCGTGCTTTCTAAATCATGGTTAGAATTTTGTTAATGGGTAATTGGAATTTTTATGCGCACTTCTGTTATATTTTTCTTTGTTGTCTTTTATTGTTTAATTTATACAACGTAAAAGCATTGATAAATGTTTTTCACAGACATTCTATTGAGAACCTTTGATGCGTGTAAATCGCGCTTCCTATTTGGTGGGTCTTTCTGTTTGCCTGAATAGTCAGTGCGCTGCGAAAAGAGCTCTCTCAAAAATTCATACTATTTTGCCAGCTTGCTTTTTCTATTTTCTGGTAACAACGTAGCACCTCCGTTTAATCGTTTCTGTATCCAATTAACAGCGCATGTTAACGATCAGTTTACCACTAGTTTATGAAAATTCTGTAATTTAAGCTGTGGCAAAGTATCTTGTAGTAAAAGGATTCGATTGACGGAAATTCTTAAATTAAATGTCTTTTTTTTGTTTTTGCTTAAGTGCCACTTTTCTCTTTTCATAAACTTGCAAACAATATTGTTTTTTTTCTAGATGAGGGCCTTCATAGCGCTCGGCATATTGCTTGGGTGTTTTGTCGTCCAGGCAGATGAGCACGACCATATGTACGAGGTCAACGAAGAAGTGGTTCTTTGGATGAACACTGTATGTGCAAAAACTTTTAGCTTTTCATGTAAAATGTTTTAGGTCGGGCCATATAGCAACAGACAAGAAACCTACACTTATTTCTCGCTACCATTTTGCCGTGGTCCAAAGGAAACGATTGGCCATTATCACGAAACGATGGGCGAATCGTTGCTTGGTGTAGAGCTCGACTTCTCAGGATTGGATATAAAATTTAAAAGTAAACATTTTCATTGAAACCGACTCTTATGCATATTTATTTTAGCTAACATGGAAAAGACGCTGTTTTGCAAGAAAACGCTCACCAATGAGGAGTACAAAACGTTTGTTTACGCGATCAAGAATCAATACGCGTACCAAATGTATCTCGATGATATGCCAATTTGGGGTATAATCGTGTTTGGTTTTAAAATCCAAACTCTCATTTCAGGAATGGTTGGAGAAGTTGATACGTCCGAAAATCCACCGAGGTATCGAATTTTCACGCACAAAAAACTTGAAATCGGCACCAACGGAAAACAAGTAAAGGAAAAAGCTTTTTTAGTTAAACTACTATTTATCTAGATTGTGGATGTGAATCTCACTACCGATGGTCGAGTTGAATTGCGACCGAATGTTGAGCTGGAGTTTAGCTACGAAGTGACATGGTCAAAGAGTGACGTTAGTTTCATAACCACGGGACGCCATTAAACGAAAGTTTTAGGTGAAGTTCCATGATCGTTTTGACAAGTACCTCGACCCATCCTTTTTCCAACACAGGGTTGGTTAATGATTGATAATTTTATCTATATCTGTTGCTTTTAGATCCACTGGTTTTCAATCTTCAATTCGTTTATGATGGTTGTCTTCTTGGTTGGTCTTGTCTGGTGGGTTTGTTTAGTTTGCTAGCAATTTTCCTAATTGGATACTAAATGTGGATTTATTGTTAACTCATAAGTAATTTCAGGATGATCTTGATGCGAACACTACGACGAGATTATGCGCGATACGAAAAAGGAGAAAACATGGATGAGCTGGTGTGTCTATTTTATGTCATATTTACCTCGTTGCTTTTCTATTAATACAATTGTTATCCTTTTAGGATGCAGACCTTGGGGATGAGTATGGATGGAAGCAGGTCCATGGTTAGTTTATTGGTGTTAATATAAGGCTTGTCTAATGTGTTACTTAGTGCTTCCACATATAAATCTTCATTTTCAGGTGACGTATTCCGACCCCCCGCTCTTCCAATGGCGTTTGCTTCACTTATTGGCTCAGGTATGTACTTATATGAGTTATCTCAGAAAGCCGTAAAGTATCCTTTAAAACTAATTTTAGGCTATCATGTGTTTTCTGTTGCACTGATCACAACAGTTTTGGCAATTGTTGGAGAATTTTACACCGAGTAGGTTTTTTGCGGGTTTGGCTACCAGTATACGTGACAATACAGGGTATTAAAAAAAAAAAGTCGGTTCAGCTCGGTTTTTCTCAGTATTTCTAGTGGTTTTTGTGGTGGCAAAGTGAATATTTTGGGCGGACAAATTTTGATATTTTTTCATTTTTCCCGATTTCATGACACCCCAATGCATGAGATTTCTGAGCCACCATGGTCAGCACCACCATATGGGCCACCACCACGAGACTTTTGCCATAAAATTAAAACTTTGTAATGGCATCGTGGTGTCATATACGAGTTAACATGTAAACTAAGATTTATAACCAAACACTTTATTGGTTTAGAAAATCCAGTAATCTCTTGTACATAGAACTCTTTTAACTCGCAATTTTCAAAGAGGCAGCCATGTTCTGCTCATAAGCTACTAATTAATAAAGTGTTTGGTTATAAATCTTAGTTTACATGTTAACTCTAATATGACACCACGATGTCAGTAGAAAGTTTCAATTTTATGGCAAAAATCTCATGGTGATGATCCATATGGTGGTGGCTCAAAAATTTCATGTAAAGAAAGTCAGGAAATCGGAAAAAGTGAAAAAAATATCAAAAATTTGCTCAACCAAAATATTCACTTTGGCATCACAACAACCACCAGGAGCCACTAGAAATTCTGAGAAAAATCGCGCTGAACTGACTTTTTTTTGAACACCCTATATTTATACTTGATTTCGATTCAGGCGTGGATCTCTTTTGTCGGCCGCAATCTTCGTTTATGCTGCTTGTGCTCCAATCAATGGATATGCTGGTGGTTCGATGTATGCTCGTTTTGGAGGAAAACAATGGATTCGCCAGATGCTCTTCGGTATATTACTGCTTAAAAGAATTTTGACAATGGAACGTTTAGGCGCTTTCCTTTTGCCATCGGCGGTCTGTGGAGTCGCTTTCTTGATCAATTTCATTGCCATCTACTATCACGCTTCGCGCGCCATTCCATTCACTGTCATGGTTGATTATCACGCTACTATGTAAACTATTCAGTTATTTAGCTTGCTGTCTCTGCCATCTGTTTGTTTGTGATTCTACCATTGACCCTCGTAGGAACTGTTCTTGGACGAAACATGAGTGGTCAAGGCGATTATCCATGCAGGTTCGGAGTTTTCACCAGTTGTTTTATAGAGCATCTGTTTGATTTGGGGGTATCTTTAAGAAGCACACATTTTATGCATTATTGATAGGTTGAAACAAGAAATATCATGCGCATGTAAAGAGTGCCTTCCATACGGTTACCCACGCAGAAAAAGGTGTGTTAGAGCACGTCTTAGTTAAATTTAAATTGGGAAGATAATTGTAAGAGCTATATATAAGCTATTGAAAAAACTTTTATGTTAGTGTTTTATGAGTTCTTTTTTCAGAGTGAATGCCGTTCCACGACCAATTCCCGATAAGAAATGGTTTGTCCAACCATGGTTAGTTGTGCTTATGCGCTGTGTTCATTAAATTATTTTAAGGTTGATTTGTCTTGCCGGTGGAATTCTGCCGTTTGGGAGCATTTTCATCGAGATGTAAGTGTTGGATTTTTTTCATTTCATTATTTATTGGTCAGGTATTTCATCTTTACATCGTTCTGGGCTTACAAAATCTATTATGTCTACGGATTCATGTTCTTGGTTGGTTTATTTAGCTTATATGACGCTTATATACATGTATGTATATTTCGTAGCGGATTATGAATGAAATTTTTGGCAAACCTTTCTAGTAGAGCAACCCTGTATGAGGAAAATATTATATCATTTCGTAGCGAATTAAATTCTGCTTCGATTGGTACCAAATTTGTGCGTTTAGGCTAAAAATTGCGGGCGCTACAACGTTTCATTCGAAATCGGCGGGAACCCCGTAGCCGATTATGAATGACTCGGTCTAGGGGCGTCCAACCATCAAGTGTTTGGTATCATTCAACGCAGAATCATTGAGAATTATGTTAAATTTTTTAAATTAGCAAGATTTGATGAAAAGAAAAAAAATTAGAGCAAAAAACTGTTTGTTCGAGAGAAAACTTTGAAGCCCCGTAATTTTGTTCTTTTTATCCAATCTTTCTAATTTAAAGAATTTAACATAATTATCAATGGTTTTGCGTTGAATGATACCAAATACTTGATGGTTGGACGCGCCTAGACCCACTCATTCATAATTGGCTGAAATGCATAATTGGCTACGACATATACGAGTCAGCTTCAGTTAGTTACAATTTGTTGTATTTAGGTAGTTCTCATCTTGGCTATTGTTACCGTCTGTGTTACAATTGTGTGCAGGTAAGGCATTTGAGAGCAAGTCTTTTACTAACCGATAAATTTCAGCTACTTCCTACTCAATGCTGAAGATTACCGATGGTGAGAATAGCATCGTTGTAAATGCAATTTTCGATTTTAGGAGATGGACGAGCTTTGCTGCGGGAGCTTCGACGGCGTTCTACGTTTACCTTTATGCCGTGTATTACTTTTTGTTCAAGACAAAGTAAGTTTTCATCGTGTTGTTAAGTATAATTGAAAGTTTGTAGCTGCGCATTAAAGAAGTAACATGTTGAATTTTAGAATGTATGGTCTTTTCCAAACTGCCTTCTATTTTGGCTACATGGGACTCTTCGCTTCGGGACTTGGTCTTATGTGTGGAACAATCGGCTACGTCGGCACCGCGAAATTCGTTCGCAAGATCTACCAGGAAGTCAACAAATTTGACTAAGCGGCTTTCTCTGTTGGGGATTTAGCATTAATTTCTTCCATTTCTTGTTAAGCCAACTGAATTTCAATTTTTTTTTGTGTTTTTCTTTTCCAACCCATTGGAAGTCCGAAACAAAAGGTATTGTTTATCTGTGATGGTTTCTGATTCCTTTTCTGTATTTTTGGCATATCCACATGGATCCATTTTTCTCGCTGCTAAATGGTGATTGTTGATTTCTCCCTTTTCTAATGAGTTTTCTTGTTTTTATGTAATTTAAGGGTATGTGTTAGCCTTTGTTATTGCGACTAAAAGTGTTTTGAAAAAGTCTGCTCGAATTTGTCAGCTCGAAGAGAATATTTTTTCAAGGCACTTCTTGTGAGTCAACCGTTTTTCTACTCGTTCCCAATATATGTGATATTTTTCTTTCGATGGTTTCACCATATTTCTGGTATGCGGTTCTATGTGTAACTACTACTGTATTTTTCAGTTTTGTTGGTTTTCCAATGAACTCTTCGCACAACATAGTCAACATAGTCACAACAACATGGAATTGCAAAATTCACGATGTGATCTTCAATGTGCACATGAAACTTGTTTCTTTTTCTGTCAACTCTTCTCCCCTATAAATTATTTCTTCACCGTTAATGTATTTTGGGTTTCTGTTTTTGTTCAGATGCGTTTTATAGATTTTTGTCTGTCGATCTTACGAATCGTGATGATGAATTGGCGGTTCTGAGCAAATACTTTTTTTTGCAATCGCCTGTACATTAGCCTGGTTAAGGTAATAAAATTTTTTCATGACACAAAAATAATTTATCAGTGGCAAAATTTGAAAACAAATTGAAAATGAACCACCATTGATTTTGACGTTTGGTGAGTGGTTCGATATTAAAGGAAACTAACATTTGAGGGTTCAAAAATGAGATGCACAAATGTGGAATTGCTTCAATGCAGAATAGGGATATGTCCTCACGTAGGGCTAAATAAAAGAAGAGAAACGGTAAAATGCAAAATAATCACATGAACTTTTTGGATCCACGAAAATGTAGAAACGCAATGGGTAGGTCGATAAGAGAAAAAACCTCGTCAAGTCGATGATTAAATGATGAATTGATTTTCCCAGAATGGACTTTTTTTTTCAATCAATAGATGTCCACTATGCAAAAATCAACAATGAAAAGTCAAAGTTAGGTAAAAAACAAAAAGCTATCAATTTAAATGCACATAATCTCACCATCAACCGACTAATAACCAAAAAAAGCTGGAGAATAAAGAAGAAAAGACGAAAAATTTAAGAGCATTATGCGTGTATTGTGATCCTTCCGGGAAATTTCAAATGCACTTGGATAAAGCTTGAAAAAAAAATGCAAAAAAAAACGAGTAGAGAAAAGAGTACGGTAGCTTTTACACATTTCCACTACCGTTGAGATCCATTTGATGACCGTTGGCGGCCAGTTGTTGGCTGAGTTGATCGAAAATGTTGAATGGATTCATTGAGACCTGAAATTTGAGGGAATTCTTCGGGATGCTCTTGCATTTTCTGGTTTAGAATAGTCTTTGTCTCGTTACAAAGATGTCTCACTACAGAAACAAAGTAAATTTCTAAAAATATTGTCACTTACCGGCACTTGTGCTGCTTGGCTAAGTGAAAGGAGTTGATTGATCATTGCCGACGGTGAGGTCGAATCCTCGTTTCTGTCACGACGACGGAATCGCTGTTGAATGAAATCCTTGCGCATGTGAACGGGACGGTGAGTCTAGAATTGTTTGGATATTTGAGAATTCGCTGCGTTACTCTATTTTTGTCTTTAAATAACTCGAAATCCTTATTCGAAATCTCAATATATCATAAATTTTCGATCCCCAAAATATCAGCCACTTAAAAGAAAGAAAAAAATGCGGCCACAAGTGCAATTATCGAAGCCAGGTGTGGTATTTGGGAATGGAAAGGCTTTTCTTTCCTTTTTACGGACACCTTCCCCTTCAATGACACGCGATTTTGGTATGGGCCTTTCCCCTCATCGAACAACCATAAAATGGAAATTGAAGTGACAATTTGATGCTTGTTTTTGATGCTGATTCTTGACAAGAGGATTTGAAATGAATTCCAACTAAACTTGTAACGAAAACAGCTGTCGGTCCTTTTTTTTACCGTTGGCAATAAGGTTTTTCGTGTTTTTCTCAGCACAAACTTTTTAATTTTGACTATTTTGACTATCATTTGATGCAGAATAAAATTGCGCATGGAGTGATTTCAAAATTAACTCAAAATATAATATCCATGCAACGTTATGAAGCAAAAAGGTTAAATCCCGCCTATAATCAACAGGGTTTAGGTTTTTAGCAAACCACTTTGCATGGATATTATATTTTGAGTTAATTTTTATATCACTCGACGCGCAATTTTATTCTTCATTTAATGATAGTCAAAATAGTCAAAATTGAAGTGTTGATGCTGAGAAAAACCCGAAAAACCTTATTGCCAACGGTAAAAAAGAAAAGACAGATATTTTCTAATTCCAATGATATTTAAGGGTTTAAAGGTTTATTTCAGAAAAGCTTTTTTACTATAATGTATTTTATAAAGCTTCAAAGTCTATAACTTTATTGTAAATTGTTTAAGAAGACAGAAATTTACAGAATCTACAGAAATTCGATCACCTCCCTAATCTTTACTAAAAGATTTTAGGGACATTGCTCAAGGTAACAATCTTCAATGCAGAGCATCGGTATCCACTCGAAAAGAAAGGGTCAGTGAAGGGGAATGGGAGACTCCATTACCTGAGCCTTTTCTCAGCCCGATGAAATTCAAGGGGACACCTCCCCCCATTCATCTTCCGGTGGTAAAGAGATCCCCGGTGTCCTCACTTTTGAGGAATCCGAGCCACCGATAACAACCTGACACACTCATCCATTCCCCAGCCTCAAGGACACGCTAATTGAGATAGGCCAACTTGAGTCGCCTTCTCTTTTCATAGATCAAATTCGATTCCATTCGATTTTCTCCGATCTCCTCGAAAATTTTTACACGTCTATTTACGAGTCACTTGATAACCGTGGCACTTGAGTATTCGATGAGTTTTTCGCTGAAGAGTGAAATTTCCCGAGATTTCGAGATGATGAGTTTACTTTATTTCACTTGTGCAATCGAAATAAACTTGTAAGATTGTTTTGTAAACATTTTGAGAGGATTTTGAGTTTAGGTTTATGATTCAAATTCGATTCTAACAGTAAGGAGATTCGTGTCAATGGTGTTGATCACAAATGAAAAGCTTGAAGATCTAATTTGCAAAACAAACCCGATGCAAACGATAGTAAAGGCCGCAGGCGTTGCACACAAGTTTTCCCTCAAAGTCGCGGCGCCATGCGGTCGTTTTCGTCGTGTTGCAATTGCTGCATCGGGACACGCTAGCATCATGCACTTCCTGAAAGATATTTTGGTTAAGATCCAAAAAGAATACCGTATTTTCTCTAATAGTAGTGCACCGCGGCGAGCCGAGTTGATGGCTATTTACGGCTTCCAAAGTTTTCCCAGAAGCTCAACACTCAAATCCCCCACTAGATCTCATCGTCAGCTACATTTTCCGACCCCACATCGATAGGTTCTGATAAGCGGTTCTTGAGATTTCCAGCAATTTAGGCGATGCTCAGGGTGCACTACTATTAGAGAAAATACGGTATTTGTATTTGCTTGTAGTTACGAAATCTAGGAATCAGTTTAAAAGAAAAGATCTTCGAGGCTGATTCCCAATCAATCACCCTCAAAAGTTGTAACTGGCAATTTGCCAGCTTGCCTTTCTTTTTTGATCTCTCAAGATACGATACAAATTAGGGATGACAGAAGAATGTTGATTGAAAAGGTCCTTTGTTGAAAAGTTATGACTGAAGTTGGGTAGTAAATCTTTTACTGTAAACACCTTCACTTAAAATTTCCCAGTGTTAAAAAGTTTAGAAAGTAGTGCAAAAAAAGAACCATTAACGACATAAATCTCAGGATGAACTCAGGTAAAGACTGTGTTCTTTATAAAAAGTGATCCGGCCCTGAAAAGATGAATTGTGGAAAAGGAGAAGAAAAGTGGCACCGCTAATTGACGGGCGCTTACTTCAAAAGTAGTTTTTTCGAGTTCATCAAAAAGTTATCCTGTTTTGCTGAGTTGGATAGCTTTCCTTTCATTTACAGATATACTATTAACGTCTTATCGCAAAGTTTTTAGTTTCTTTCTACGGAGATTTCTTCCTTGTTTCTTGCCTCAACAAATTACCTCCTATCTACCTGATGTCAAAGGCGTTCAAGCATAAGGGCCAACATAGATTCAATAATTTCTAAAAGCTAACCGCTTTCCTTTATGTACCTTAAATGACAGGGTCAACTAGTAAAAGGGGAGGAAATCAGCGGGTCTCTGGGTCTCTAATGGAGATTCGAGACAAATTAGTGAACCAGAAAGAAGTGATGGACATTTTTACATTCATTCACACGAATAATTTGGTACAGATGATACGAAAGCACAATCCTTAAGGCCTAAATGTGGGGAAGAGAAAACTCATGGGAAAGAATCAATCAAAAGAAAAAACCTGCGGGATTGAAGCCTTTACCTTTCGACTAAGATACAAAGCCCTTAGCCAGTCGACCATGAAGGTCTCTTGGCGAGTCGGTTTGAGGGCCTTTTAGCCAGCGATGGCTGGTCTTGGAAAGTTGGAACTAGGGCAGATCAAAGGTGCGCCACCGGGACCCGATCCCACGACCCTCCGCTTATCGGACAACTGTGCTAACCATTACATCACGATGCACTTGATCCCCCTTACTCCAGAGGGAGTTAACTTTAAGAAGTGAATGGAAACTGAAGTTAATGTCCAAAGGTTGCTTTAGTTAATGAAGATTTCTTCTACTACAGTAAGAAAAATTTTCAAGGCCAACTATTGAAAGATCTCTTATCATATCAGAACGGCTTTCTGTGATTGGTTGAAAGTGAAATAGGGAAATGAAAACAAAAGCCGCCTGCCCAACATCTATTTGATAATCTTGACATGAATTTACCTGCTCTTGTCCTTTTCCGTCTTGTCCATCATCTTGTCCATTCACTCCATTTGCTAGTGATTGTTGCATGAGTAAATTGAGGATATGCTGTTGTTGGCTCAACTCAGGGATGCCTAAATGAATGGTGAATGTTTTGAAAAGAAAAATGTTTCATCTTCATCAAATGGTTTATAAAATCTATAACAAACCATCAGGTCGAGCACCGCCGTAAAGAATATTCGCGAAATTCAACGAATTGTCATTCATTTGTGGAGTGGTCGGATTTTGGGTTCCTGAAAATGTTATTTAGGCATTGTTTTAAAGCAACTAGTATTCGAGAAATTTGAAACAATTCCCAGAAAGTTAGTTAAAGTAGAGTTAAAGTAGAACTTGTTCTTTTGTGGAGTTGGGACTGGGAATACAAAACGTCGGAAATAGCTGGCGCCGGGATTCGAACCCGTGACTCGCTGGAGACTTGTTTACCGGGCAAACGCTTTACAAATGAGCTACACCGACACCTTACTTGGGACACGACGCCTTACTAGAAACGTACGGTTATTGTCGGTGGAAGGACGAAGCGCCGAGGGGATTGTCGAGGTCGGTGTCTTCGGCTCTTGAAGCTCTGCCTTGATTGGAGTCTCCATTCCGTTTGGGGTACAGTTTGCTTCCACCTAATTTTTGCATAGATAAAGATGAAGGAAAACTCTAACCTTGACAAGCATATTGTGCAAGGCATCCAATTTGTTGTGCTCCACTTTGTGCAAAGCCTCCTTTTGGGGTTTTCGTTTTCGGCTGCCGCCTGAAAGCTTTTCTGTTGTATTGTTTCTAAATTAAAGAATTATATTTGCAATTTACCATTATTTGTCGCTCCATTCAAGATAGCGGTCAAATGATTTTGTAGGGGAGCTGGACTGGGAGCTGCCTCTGAATTGAGGGGTGATGGGGTGAATTGTCGTTCAGCAAAAAGTGTCTCCACCCTTAGCATTATCTAAAAAATTTGATTTAAACCCGTTAAACTCAAAATTCTCTACCTGATCAAGCTTGTTGTTGATGTGCTTTACGGTTTTGATGACATCATCGTGCAATTGTTTACAACTTGAGCACGATTGCGACATCGGAGGCTCGAGTGGAGTGCTCGGAGCACAGTTCTCCGTACAGTTTTCTGGAAAACATTAATTCTACTAGAGAACTTGATTTTTAGGTTAAAAATGATTAAAATCGATGATTGTTGATAAGAATAAGATGATTACAAAACATATTGGTTAATCTGAATGCACTTTTGATTACCTGTAGGTGTGGGTGAAGCCGCTGGTGGTTCGGACATTTGATCGGAAGTCGAAAGTGGAGAGGAGACTAGAGTCATCGATTCAAAACAGAAAATATCGTTTTGAGCCTTCAGAATTGTAGTTTCTTTATTGTTGAGTGAATTCTGTAAACAAAGAACATAAGTCATAAGTCATAAGTCAAGAAAGAACACCAAACAGTAACAATTAATCAAAAAGTAGAGGATTGATCTTTTTGAATGGATGAATCAAAAATCTTGTGGATCTTGTGGATCAAATCGAATGAATTGATGATTGGAGAATCGAAGAGAAGGATCAGAGCAAGGACATTCGAGGATTTGAAGAGAAAAAAAAGTGGAGAAGAAAGGGGGATCCACGAAAAATGTTACCAATCAGTGAGGTTGGCCGTGGGGGATAGAAAAACGAAATGAGGAGTGAAGAAAGGAAAAAGAGATTGGTGAGGGTGAAATTCGAGGTCGTTGACAAGGAAAAGATGGGTTTGAGTGACTGTAGAAGGGGAAAACAAAGAGGGGGGAAACTAGGATAGCTACTGTGCACAATTGGGTCTGAAGGTGGCATTCTGAATGATAACTAAATGATACAGATAACTTTAGACTATAGAACAATGCAAGAGCTAGTTGATGGCTGAAATTTGGATATGAAGCTGGCATTCTGAATGGATCACAGATAACTTTAGACTGTAGAACAATGCAAGGGCTAGGTGATGGCTGAAATTTGGATAGTTGGGATAGAGCTGGCATTCTGAATGGATCACAGATGACTTTAGACTATAGAGCAATGCAAGAGCTAGCTAATGGCTGAAATTTGGATAAGATTAACTGAGTAAAGAACATCTATTACACACTTTCTTCGTATATGAAAAGATTAAAAATCTGCGTAAAAAAAGGAGAAAATCGACAAGTGGAAAGAGTTGTGAAATGATGGAAAAGAGAAAAAGTAGAAGAAGAAAAGGAAAAGATTGACGGTAGAGTTACTCCTCTTTCTCTCAGCCTTTTCAAAACTTCTTTTTCCTTTCAGTCTCCGATCGGATCAAGGGCCTTTTGTCACTTCGATGGAAAAATCGGTATTGAGGGAAAAGAGAGGAGATTGGTGATGAGAAGTCACTTCAATCTCTCACCAATATAGAGTAACCATGAAAAATTATGGAAGTTTAAAGAGTTACAACAGTTAAAACTGTAGAAAGATGAAAATTGCGATTTGTCAAAATGAATGTTTTGTTATGGATACAGAAAAATAAATCAAAATCAACTAAGCGAAAAAGAGAGTACTGTTTAAAGTACAGAATAATAAAGTACAAATGGAAAGTACTGTTTAATACCTTTTGAATCAATTCAACTATTAACATGGCTTTAATTTGGTAAGCTTGAAACGGCTACTTTACTCACACTAAATCCTATCCTTTCCATCTCTCCATCTTTCCATCTTTCCAAACTTTCCCATTCTCCCCAATCCCCGGTCGGTTTCAACGGGCAGATCAGTGATGCGTGATTCCTCTCCGTTTTCACCTTTTCGACCTATCCTTCTTTTCAAAAAGACTTCACTCTGATTTCACTTCGATTTTCTCACACCCCTAGGGGGTCTCTCTCAAAAAAAAGGACTTTCAATCATTGAAATTCAAGGGTGAGCTTTGAATTTGAAAGCAATGAAGACTGCTTGAGGGTACTAAAGAAGTCAAGAGATTGGCAAGAAAAGGCAGATTTCCGGAGAGGAGATTGAACTGTCGACCTTTTGCTTTGATTTCCAGGCAATTGCTCTAATCACTGAGCTATCTTGTAGCTTGACTTGCCAAGAGAAAGAGGTAAAGACAAGGGAGAAGAAGAAAGGAAGAAAGGAAGAAAGGAAGAAAGGAAGAAAGAAAGAAGGCTCAAAATCGTAGGCTCTACTTGAAATCTACTTGAAAATCAGAACCACGTGTATTAGTAACAAAGAAGTAACAAATAAGTGAATGAATTGGCAAGAAAAGGTAGATTCTCGAAGAGGAAATTAAAGTAGCAGGCAATAGATTGAAAACAGTAAAATATTACCCAAGCAGGGATTTTCGTGAAGATAAAGGGGGAGTGGCTTGTCCATATGGATCCGTGTTTAGGGCAGCCTTCTTTTCCCCTTCCCTCATTCTCTTCTTCTACAACCACGCGCATGTGTGCAGGGCGCCAATTTTGCTGTTAACGTGGTCGGTGATAGATGGCCGTCCGAGCTGGGCATTCTCTCTCTCTCTCTCTCTTTATCCAGTCCTCTTTTTCCCCCAAAATTGGCTCCCTTTTCTCCTCGCTAACGGCTCAACCGTGGATTCGTTGTTTAAATTATTGGGTGAGGATTTGGGGTTTCCCTTTGGAAATCAACGGTTCTTTCGATAAATAGTAGAAAATGAATGGTCTTTGTGAGTTGAAAAGTATCAAATCGAAAGATTACAGATGTTTACGATAAAAGAAACAGTTTATAATAGAACAGTGTACAAGAATAGTGTACAAGTACAAGTAGAAGTACAAGTAGAAGTACAAGTAGAAGTACAAGTAGAAGTACAAGTAGAAGTAGAAGTACTAGTACAAGTAGAAGTAGAAGTACAAGTACAAGTGCTATGGTAATCAGTTAGAGTTAGTTAAATCAGTCAGATAGAGAAAGATCAAAAATGAAAGCAAGATCTAAAATCTTCATCTCGATTGCAATGATTGAGAAGCAAAGGTACTGTTGACAGCCTACTCTATTCAATCCCTTAGCGGCTGGCGGAAAGGAGAGATGATAGAATGGTAAGATGGTAAGTAGGTAAACGTTAGATGGAAAGAAGGCTCTATAGGTGAGCTCAGGTTGTAATCGGAGCCCACTGTCTAGAAAGAGACTGGGGAAAGAATGAATGAGAGAGGATGCTCCTATTGTCGGCTGGCCTCACTACCACGATCAACATAAGAAGATAGATGGGAAGCTCCGCCCAGATGGATAACAACTCGTTGGAGAGGAAAAAGATGGGAAAGTTATTAAGTCAATGAATTAGTGTTTAAGGTATTGTTCAGGTTACACTAATCGTTATAAATAACGAGAGCTGTTATGATAACAGTTATAGTTAACAGTTATAAATCAATCCACAATAGTCAAGCTCCTTGTGAAACTCTTTCAAGTTACAAGCCTGAAAAGACATCAATGAAAGCTTCACGAAATAAACTAAGCTTCACGAATTGCTCAAATGAATGAGAAATGAGGGAAATGAGGACAAATCTTGAGATCAAGTGAATGCACATTCGTCTCAAGTCTGAGTGCAATGTCTCCGCCCACCGTACCCTATCAGATCGGTCCAATCACCGCCACTCACCCATTCTTTTCTCTCACTTTTGAGCTCTCCTCTCTTTTCTTGTCTTATCTCTCCACTTACACTCTTCCCCTTTCTTTTTCTCTTCTTTTCATTAAAGACAAAGGCTTTTTGCTGACTGTAGATCTGCTTTTGACAACAGTGTAAACACAATGAAATATCAAGAGAAATGAAGAGAACTTTCTGAAGAGAACTTTCTGAAGAGAACTTGAAGAGTGAGAAGTGTGACTTACTTGGCACAGGTAGAGCACAGGTAGCACTGGTAGGTAGCACAGCACAGGTAAAGTAAAGATGGAGTTGAGGGCGTTAAAGGTTTCAGTTCTGAGATAACTATGTTAGATTTCGATAAGAGATCTTCAATTGTTGAGATTGTTGAGAATAAAAAGATAACTGCTTCAATTGTTGAGAACAAAAAGATAACTGTAAACCTGCTTGTATCAGATAAATCTTTGAATCATCAATTCATCAATCTTTCTTCAATAAAAAAGAATAAAGCACCGATTTCCTCAAAGATCAGAAGCCAGCGTTTTTCTCTTTCTGACTGATTCTATCTTTTCCGAGTGCTGGAGCGAGTCAGGATCTCCCGATTTCGAAAGTGAAGGGAAATGCTTTGAGGTATCGGACCGATAGATATGGATAAGACCCGTCGACCCGAATTCTCAAAAGAGAAGAAAAAAAAGAGAGAAAAAGGAGGGGAAATCGAAAAGAATGGGGAATCACCGAAGGGATGGAAGATCTCTATCAAAGATTCCAGCAGCATTTTTGCCTCTGAATGAGACGAAAGACATCGAATCGGCTCGGAGGCTCTGTTAGATTGTAATCACAAAATCTCATCCCTGAAACATCTTGAAAAGGCGAGCTGTCACATTTTGGGAAACTGGGGAAACTTTTTGTCATAAACATTCAAGCTAGGTGTCTCAAAAGTTCTGATTTTTTGTAAACGATTGTAAACGATTGTTTGACTTGGTTCATACTGAAGTTTGAGTGAATCTAAAGTCTTTAGAAGACTTTAGAATTGTCTGAAGGCTTTAGAATTGTCTGATTCTAAAGCTTGAAGACTTTAGAATTGATACTTGCAAAAGCTCGCAAAAATCTTCATCGATTAGATTCTCGTAAAAGAAAATTGTCAAGATTTGAAAACTTTTTATGAAAATGGGTAAATGTCTGAATTTTTAGAAATCAACATTCCAAAATTCATCAAAATCCAAAATCCAAATGATAGTTTACAGAAAAAGTTTACAGAAACTTTTGAGACACTTTGTAGAAGGTTTTATTGAGATTGAGAGTTGAAGCTGTCAATCTAGACTTTAGGATCGCTCCGTTCTCCGTTAGGATTGTTCCGTTCTCCGTTAGGATCACAAAAGCTCATTTCACAAACTGCATGAGTTGTAGTAAGGCAAAGAAAAGCAAGGTTAAGAGTTTCTCAAACTCCTTTCCACTTTTTGCAAGAACTCTTGAATATCAATCAATCAAAATCATCAAAATCATCAAAATAGCAATAAATCAATAAAATTCAAGAATATTTGATAGAAAATTTTCCATATTTTCCCATATTTTCAAAGCTGCCACAAATGATTGGCACAAGGTGAAAGAAGATGCGAAAATTTAGGCATCCTTCGAAAGAAAGAAAAGAAAAGAAGAAGGGGGTAAAGATGGCCGATAAAGACAGTTTGCGTGTGTGAGTTCTTTTCTGTCCTCACCCACCACCATCGGGCACTATCAACCGGTTTTTTTTTTCGTTTCTTAGCGATACCCGAGCCT